AGTTTACATATATTTTTTTTGCCGGGAGGGGTAATTAAAAAATAGACGGGTGGCGGTATTTTTTCCAATGTTCAACTAATCCGAAGCGTGTACATGTTTCATTAGGAGGAATTGTAGGAGCGGTACTTTATGGAGGGATGCCTTGCAGAAAAGGGCGCCCCCCCCCTGGGAAAAAAATAGAAGAAAAAAAAAAAGGAAAAAAAGAAAAAAAAGGGAAAAAAAAGGGGAAAAAAGAGAGAGTTGTAATGTAAATGTATCATCTTCTTGCTTGGTTGCGCCGCTCTCTTGCATAAAATACTTTAATTTTAAGATATCAAAAGTCGTAGATGTATAGTAAACAAAGATAACTACATAAACAGGGATACTTAAAAGCGATAGAAAATCAATAGGGCTCTACTCATGCAACGAAATACAGTGACGGGGAAGGAGGAAGGCGAAAGGGTGCGTTGGGCAGGCGCGGATCCAGGATTTGTTAGGGGTTGGGGCCCAATTTTTTTGCTCCCGAAAATTGAAAAATCGCGCCGGCCGAAAATGCGCTCAGTGGGGGGGGGGGGGGGGGGGGGGGGGGGGGGGTAATGAGCACTATTTAAAAAAAAAAATTTTTGGCCCCCCCCCCCCCCCCCTCCTGGATCCGCCACTGGCGTTGGGAGTGTCACGTCGCGTCGCGTTGACTGGAACGCGACCATTCCAAAGCCCCCTCCCGGTTTTGCCGAAAGGGTGTGTTAAAAAAAAAGATGGAGAAGCAGAACTATCCTATCCGTACTTTTAGGTTGCTTGAACTTTTTTTTTATTATTGAAACTGTTTCACACAAAAAAACTATGTGAAGTCAAACACAGAAAGACATGAACGTGGACACACACGAATGCATACGCACATAAGCCCATGGAGGCGCGCCGGAAGCAGTTTGGGATGAGGGGGGGGGGGGGGGGGAGGGGATATTCCAGGGGCTCACCTTCCAGGGGCAGTGGCGTAATGAGCAAACACGTTTTTTTTTGGGGGGGGGGGCAGAAGAAAAATCTGCATCACCACCACTCAAATGCAGGCCCCGCGAAACGTTTTTCAAAGTGGAGTATTAACGATCAGGTACAGCGTACGTGTAGGGAGCGTAAATTGGCGTAGGGTCCAGGGGCTGACCCCTCGCTAACTTAGGGTTTTTAGGCATTAAATTACGGTCAGATAAGCATATTTAAATACCTTATTATTTTGTGACACTGGCAGGTCACTAATTGGCGGGGGGGTCCAAGGGGCAGAGCCCCCGGAAGCTCAGGGGTTTTAGGTATTTATTTACGGTAAGATAAGCATCCATGGGGCCCGCCTTAGGGCCCTTGGTGGGGTCCAGGTGGCAGAGCCCCCGGAAGCTTAGGGGTTTTAGGTATTTAATTACGGTCAGATGAGCAGATGAGCAGAAACACAGAAACATATTATGTTATATGTTATATTGTTATACCTCATTTGTGAAATTGGCAGGTCTCTCATTATTTTCTCTCTCTCTTTCTTTCTTTTTCCCTTTAACATACTAAATAGATGGAGGGCAGGCCCTGACAGAAGGCGTCTAAATAAGCATATTTTTTCGCCCGACTGTAAATTTGTGAATTTGTAATTTTCCAACAAACGCATAAAAAGGTACGATTTACAAACAAAATTGAGAAAAAATACCGGAAAATCACGTCATTTTAGCAACATTTGTAAATCACTGGTATCGAATTAGAAAGACACCCCCCCCCCCAACACCCATCAGTACGCCAGTGTTCATGGGCTCATGTCTTCTCACCTCTATAATTAAAAAAATACACACGCTTTCCCATCCTCTCACAATATTTCCACGATATGCGCGTATCGCTATTTTAGAAAAACTTCCATTGATGAATATAGGGGCAATCGAAATGTATACGAAATTTAATTCCTGTTAACTTTCCTTTTCTTTGAATTGAATATAATTTGTATGTGATTCAATTCAGGTTTATTATTTTTATGTTCTTTTTGGTTAAAAAATACAAACCATCTTTACTCCTATACTGCTTCTTTTTTTTTAAGGGGGGGGGGGCGCATTTTGCCCCTCCCCCCCCCCCCCCCACTTCCGGCGCATACGAGCCCATACATACGGTGTCGGATATGCCGAGGAAATAATGCCAGCGGATAAAATTGCCAGCGACAAAAATGCCAGCGGTAAAATGCCAGTGGTAAAAATGGCAAAACTGGGTGGTGGGGAGGGGACTTTGGACGAATGGTCGCGTTCAAGTCAACGCGAAGCGACGCGACGCTACCCACCCTTCCGGCAAAACCAGGGTGGGGGGGGGGGGGCTTTGGACGAAAGGTCGCGTTGAAGTCAACGCGACGCTACCCACCTTTACGGCATAAGCCCTTTCAAATGCAGCCTATCCTCAGATGGTAACAATGTGGATATTAAGATCATACTTTCAATTGCCTGTGTGATCACTGCTGCCCTGAGATGCAAGGCTCAATAATTAAAAAACTTTGCACTATAATATATATTTGCTGAGGGCGTCGTAAGAAAGCAAGTTATCATACTCAAAATGTATTTGAGGGAGGGGGAGAATCGTAACCCCAGTTTGTGTTATATTGCGTTTCTGGAGGTTAAGAAACTGTTTGAATTCTTACTAGTTCAATCCCATCACTTTGTTTGACTTATTATATGTCACTTCATTAGACTATCTCCTCATAAAAACAGGAACGTGACATTACTTTGATCCTTCAGATGGAGCAAACATGGTTTGATTATGAATGAGGTTAAAAAAGGAGGAAATTACTTACCCCAGGATGCTTTTATTTTACCACGGTAGTGCCAATACTAATATTAGGGACTTTTAGATTTGCACGACGAGAACGTAGACTGCTCGTGTGACATCCTTTTAAGGCAATGTGACGTCACTGTCAGTACCTTAAAAGGACGTCACATTGCCTTAAAAGGATGTCACACGTCGCAGTCCACGTTCTCGTCGTGCAAATCTAAAAGTCCCTAATAGCTCGAGACAGTGGCGGATCTAGGGGGAGGGGGCTCCCCTGACCCAGGAATACAGGTAAATTTAACCTTTTTTAAATAAAAAAATAAGACGGGCCCCCTCCCCCTGGCGCAAGAGGGGGGGGGGGGGGTGGAGTGTTGATTCGGCGCTAAATAATTTCCCACGGATTTGGAAGAAGAAAAAGATTAGTGCTAAAAATTCTAAAAAATAATGATAAAGAAAAACGAATTACAATACAAAAAGAATCAACATTTTTTATTGCGTATACACCCAATAAGCATTTTATTCATCATACGACGACAACAGAATGATATTACAATGTATATACTTTGCCCCACACAATTGGAATATAATATCTCATTTTAGCGGCCTTTACCAGACACACTTTCTATCAATGTTAGAATTCAATATTAGATTAAACAACATTTTGGAAGAAACCCGTTTCCAATTAAAAATGACTATGATTTCAATTAGAGGAATATATTGTTCCATCGGTATAATGAATCAGAGGTAACTATAAACGGAATTTCAAAGGCCATGAGAAAGAACAAATATAATTATTTATGTTTCCACTCAAATATCCAAAAATTAAAATAACATACATAAACCATACAGTATTACAATATATAATAATAGAGCAAATTAATTATACAAGTAACAAATACTGATAAGTATCCACGAAACAAAATAAGTTTACAGAGTACATTTAAGTTTGAGAATAAGATAAAATATTTCATATTGCTTGATTTAACTGAGAGGGAAAAAAATGGAATCTCCGGAAAGCTAGGCTTGTTGAGCGAGACTCCTAGTATATCGTCAGCGTGCATCACAATTTATTTTGCGTATGCCTGCTCGAATGCACCCACCCGCGTCAGATCCCCGGGCCTTCACCGCCAATGCTCATCCGCATATACTGCACGGTCGAGCAAGCTAGGCTTTAGCTGGTATCTCTTTGGTATAAACTACTGTACACCGAACAAGGCCCGACAAAAGAGACACAAAGACCCGACATAGGCGAATGAACCCGCTCGTCCGATGACTCTCCAAGAACAAACATGCACCAATCAGAAAAGAACGCCGAAAATGGTCCATTGTAATTATTAACAAGCGTATAATTATGAGCGATAAAAAAATATTTAAAAAAAATATGATGAGAAAAAAAAAATAAACACCACAAAAATGGGTGAGAAAGCTGGAGAAGGGTCACGTAACAGGTACTAGTAGTCTAGTAGGATTAAGAGTAATAATTTATTGAAACATTAAAGCTTCCGCTCTTCGCGCGGTAGGGGGGAAACTGAATTCAAGGACACGATACAACAAATCGTCTTCTTTCTCTAATAATGTAATAAAATATGAAAGCTTCCGCGCTTCGCGCAGGAATGGGCAAAAATGAATTCAGACAAGGATTTAGAGTCGAGAATGGTACATAGAATCGTTTTCTTTCTTTAATAATCGAATGAACCGTCAGAGCTTCCGCGCTACGCGCGGGGGAAGGGGAACTTAATTCAAACATTAATCATTAAGAGTCGAGAATGGTACATCGAATCGTCTTCTTTCTTTAATAATCGAATGAAACGTCAGAGGAAGGGGAACTTAATTCAAACAAGGATTAAGAGTCGAGAATGGTACATCGAATCGTCTTCTTTTTTTAATAATTTAAGGAAACGTCAGAGCTACCGCGCTACGCGCGGAGGAAGGGGAATTTGATTCAAACAAGGATTAAGAGTCGAGAACGGTCCAACAAATAGTCTTCTTTCTCTAATAATTTAGTGAAAGGTAAAAGATTCCGCGCTTTGCGCGGGGCGGGGGGGGGGGACTCCCCCTCCCTGCACCCAACCCCCTAAGAAACGCGCTTCGCGTGCTCACTACCGCCCCCTAAAATTAAATCCTGGCTACGCGCTTGGGAGGGGTGCAACTTGCCACACGCTTCTACCACTATGGTTGCTTTGATCCATTGCCGAAAATATTTTGGCACCTATCATCCCCCCAACCACGGATACAAATCGACACCCTTGCCAGATAGAATAAGAAAGCAAATCCATGCTTCGTGATGGATTCGCAAATTAAAGTTTGGGGTTCAAAAATTAATTATTGTATGTAACAGATTTTCGTTGTTAATCCCTTATTTTACATTATGGATCGCCATAGTCAAAAATGCCAGTCATCGTGCGCGCTTTACAAGAACCCTATTATTATTGTTGTTATTATGCCAAATATCAATTAATCTACACTTTTGTGACACCGAGCACAATTTCGATACAACAGCTATTTATTTTTGTTATTCTGAAACTCGTAGTCAATCTGACTAGAATTCGAATCATCTCTTAATATTGTAGATTTAAACTAATAACAATATCCGAATGACTTTGAATCCACTGATCAGAGAATCAAGATGTACGAGAATGTATTCATATTTAATAGGTTCTTGTAAGTGTCCCTCGTACGAGTTTTCTGTTCATATTATAATAGATTGGCAAATTCATATAGACCTAAATCACAAATTATCAGTTAAAAATACAATGAATTAACACTCCTTTAACTCCACTTATCATTATCGACTTACACAACTCACACAACTTGCACCTAATTCGAAGGAAATGCTATTTGTTCGTTCTGTTACGCCTTCTTACATAAAACAAAACAAAATTAACGAGAAGAAAAACTTTCTCAAGGTTTTTTTTCGGATATACAGAATGACAGAATATCATGTTTTTTTATAAATCTAAGGCAAAGGAAAGCATTGTTTTGGCAGTCATTTCTTCTTTGAGACATGGCGACATGAAATCTATACGGATTTGCCCTCAGCTAACTTGTGAATATTAGTTCGTCCAGTGGCAGGAATCAAGCTGTTCCAATACTGTGGGTTCGCTCTGTAAGGGAATATGGGGAAACGGGAGAAACAAATGAAACAGTTATCTAAAGAAACTTACAGCGAAGCTCTGCAGCATGCTGCAGGCCTAAAACCGGCACATTTCGTCAGATGTTACTTTAAGAAATGTATAAGGGAATTCTATTCATTTGCAGGCACAAATCCCGTAACATATTCCTAAATGTGTATATACACTCCCATTTTAATCAAACAGTTTCATTCTAGACAACTACCGTACATTTTGTAATAAGCGAATCACATTTCTATATCGCCTGTAGATTTGTAGAGAATAGTCTTGAAAATTAATAAATCGTTTAAAAAAACTAAGGAGAAGGACTGGTCACTCATAAGAGGGCAGTACAACATTCAGCATAATAGGAGGGCATGGTAAATATTGGTGTGATGGTTTGATTTTAATACCCGACTGCTAAAAAAGCACGAATATGCTTGTAAGTAACCAACCAGTGTATTACCATGGACTTACTATCCATGGTATTACTGTGTATGATCGAGTCTCGACGGGCTGTATGGATGATGAGTGAAAATAAATAAATAGAGATGACGATAACTCACCTTTCTCTTTGACTTTGGAAAGCGCTTCGTTTGAGTGAAGCATATCCTTCGTGTTTATCTTTACCTGGTGGTCTGCGATTACGCTCTGGACTCAGCTGATATATAAAAGGAAAAAAAGTCAAAATCAGAAATCTACCACTATTCCTTCAATATTGAACGGTAAAAATTGTTCTCATTGAACAAACTTATTGTGAGAAAATCGTGGGAATGATGATTATTCAAACGGCCTAGAGAACAGAGGGGAACTTGATTTGATAAATTATTAACATTAATTCCAAGATTATAGGAATAGAACAGCATCTATAGAACCGAAAATATACTGTACAACATTTACGTACAGTACTGTTGCTTGATTTTACTTCTTCTTTTTTTTATTAAAAAACTTTACTTAACCCCCATGTTCAATAAAGAACTAGATGGAATTTTGACTGCGCGCAGTCGAAAATGATGCCTCCGCCATAGAGCAATTTAAACAGGTTTGGAGTTTAAATCTCCAGTGGTTCTTGAGATATCATGATAACAATCTCAATGTATGGAATTTCATAAGTTGACCTCTGTGACCCTTGACCTTTGACCTACGTGCTCCAACATCTAATCAGATTGTCTTCCTATGGTGATACACACTATCATTAAGTTTGAAGTTTAAATCTCCAGTGGTTCTTGAGATATTATGATATGGTGATACATACTATCATTAAGTTTGAAGTGAAAATTCTCCAGTGGTTCGTGAGATATCGCGATAACGATCTCAATGTATGGAATTTCATAAGTTGACCTCTGTGACCCTTGACCTTTGACCTACGTGCTCCAAAATCTAATCAGATTGTCTTCCTATGGTGATACACACTATCATTAAGTTTGAAGTTTAAATCTCCAGTGGTTCTTGAGATATTATGATAACTAGATGGAATTTTGACTGCGCGCAGTCGAAAATGATGCCTCCGCCATAGAGCAATTTAAACAAGTTTGGAGTTTAAATCTTCAGTGGTTCTTGAGATATCATGATAACAATCTCAATGTATGGAATTTCATAAGTTGACCTCTGTGACCCTTGACCTTTGACCTACGTGCTCCAAAATCTAATCAGATTGTCTTCCTATGGTGATACACACTATCATTAAGTTTGAAGTTTAAATCTCCAGTGGTTCTTGAGATATTATGATAACAATCTCAATGTATGGAATTTCATAAGTTGACCTCTGTGACCCTTGACCTTTGACCTACGTGCTCCAAAATCTACTCAGATCGTCTTCCTATGGTGATACATACTATCCTTAAGTTTGAAGTTTTTACATCTCCAGTGGTTCTTGAGATATCATGATAACAATCTCAATGTATGGAATTTCATAAGTTGACCTCTATGACCCTTGACCTTTGACCTCCGTGCTCCAAAATGTAATCAGATTGTTTTCCTATAGTGATACACACTATCACTAAGTTTGAAGTTTAAATCTCCAGTGGTTCTTGAGATATCATGATAACAATCTCAATGTATGGAATTTCATAAGTTGACCTCTGTGACCCTTGACCTTTGACATACGTGCTCCAAAATCTAATCAGATCGTCTTCCTATGGTGATACATACTATCCTTAAGTTTGAAGTTTAAATCTCAAATGGTTCTTGAGATATCGCGCTAACAAACTCAATACAAGGAATTTCATAAGTTGACCTCTGTGACCTGTGACCTTTGACCTACGTACTCCAAAATCTAATCAGATCGTCTTCCTATGGTGATAAATACTATTCCCGAGTCTTAAGTTTAAATCTTAAATGGTTCTTGAGATATTGTGATAACGGTCAAACGGGACGGACGTACGGACGGACGAACGGACGTACGGACGGACAACCCGAAAACATGATGCCTCCGGCACCACCTTCGGTGGCGGAGGCATAAAAATATAAACTTGAGCAAAAACCAAAGAAACAAATAATGGTATTCCTCCTGCCTAGTATCCAACTTACCTCTTCAGCTATAGCTCTGATGTGGTAGGGTTCGAACCCACAACACCCTCCGATGTATCTTACACCAAGCTCATAGGCTCTACGAGCAAACTTGTGTACGTCTATTCTGGTAAGAGCACGCGGCTCCATGGCTAAAGAGACATTAATCAAGAAAATTAAAACATTTTATGGGAATTCTATGATCCCTCTAACATAGCCAGGCGAGAATAGAGGCTAATTTTCTGTTTAAAAAAGATCCGAGGTTCATTCCCTGCCTGGTAGATAAGATATATCTTTCTCTATATCTTTCTCTAAAAGTATGCCCCCCCCCCCCCAACCATCACTAAAAAAAGCTATGGATACGCCCCTGTGATATATTACATCCTACTCCACGGTCTTGAGAATGCTATGATTGATTCTCTGAGCTCCCTTCGATGTCTTTGCATTTAATTATCATATCAGTATATTCAACTTAACGACAATCACAGTGAAAAGTGTTTAAATGGAACAATCCCTTTCTTTTCTCCTTGAAGAGCTTAGACACATCCCCGATCTATGAAGTGTTGACAAATCCGGAATATTAATTCTCATCATTATCATTTACAAAAGTCTGAACGTACCAAAAGGAAATTCTGGAAGTGCGAAGTATCCTTTAGGATCATTAGCAATCTCTTGAGCATGATACCCAACAGGTTGCACCATGAGATAAGTGTTCTTCATTCCAGCTTCATTCAAAGCATCTTTCATCATCTCGATAGTCAACAAAGTGGTATCAGGATCGTAGCAACAGTTTACACCAACCAAATTAGCACCTACAAACAAAATATAACGTATTCATACTGTCATAATAATAATAATACTTTCATTGTCACTGTGTGGAGCATATAGGACCAATTCCAACGAGTAAACAAAACAAAAAAGAATGTAAAAAGAAGAACAAATTTATTGCATGATTTCAACGATAACGGATTAGCCAAATATCAGGATCGTAGCAACAGTTTACACCAACCAAATTAGCACCTACAAACAAAATATAATCTATTCATACTGTCATAATAATTATACTCTCATTGTTACTGTGTGGAGCATATAGGACCGATTCCAATGAGTAAAAAAACAAAACAAAAATAACAATTTTTTTTTTTTTTTAAATTGCATAATTTCAACGATAACTGATTAGCCAAGTATTTCAATAGAATGGGTCGGGTTGTTACACCTCCTTATCACTCATATCTCTTTCTCTCTTGCTCCCCCCCCCCCCTCTCTCCCCCCCCCCCCCCACCCCCCTCTGTCTCTCTCTCTTTCTCTCACGCACTATTATCACCAAAATGCTCTCGACAAAACATATCCTTGAAACTTCTTTTTTTCGCCGTCTCTATTGCATATTGCAATCATTACCAAAACAACGACAACCAAACTGTGCGCTACACACCTGCCTTGGCCATCCTGACGGCTGCTTCGCCTGGTTTGACCCCACTTTCATCTCCCATGATACCCATCCTCGTCGTACATGCTACTGGCATTCCGGTTTTAGCCATCACTTCAATGGCCCATTCAGCTTCTTCAACCTCACCAAAAAACTGTTTCGAAAGACGAGAATATAGGATTATTATATGACGATCAAAAAAATTATTGTCATCAAGAGAAAATACTTTCATTTCTACTTCCACTTCAATCCCGACGCCGATCACAAATCCCCAAAACTACTGTATAGGTCTTCGACAAAAATATAAATTCAGAACGATTTGACGGAACATACATTTTCTTGTCAAAGCATAATTATATAGGGTAATCTTTCTGGAAGATAATCATAAATACGCATGAAAAGGGGTACCCTATAGGAAATACATTTAGTTAATTTAAGAAGAGAAAATCTCACCTCACCAAGCAGAAAGTCCACTTTCTTTTCGACGAATATATCACATTGTTTCTTAAATTCATTTTGGATGAATTCCTTGCCCTCAGTTCCCTCCTTGTAAGCTGTTATGGGTGACAAACTACCAGCTACTAGGGCGCCACCTTCGTCAGCTACCTCCCGGGCAAGGTCACTAGCTACCTGGTTGAGTGTCTTCCACTGAAATCAGCAAAATGGAGAACAGCAAATAATCATTTTGTTATTGAAAAATATCGTACACGACTTTCTGCTAACAGAACAAAAGGACTGCAATAGCTAATTTAAATAAACACAATACTAAACAAAAAAGAGGGAGATTTACTGTAAACAGAACTTAGACTATCATCGGTTTTGACTGGTACTAAATGACTGAAATTATAACGAGTCAAATATAATCATTTCTGTGTTATAATTTAATGAATGGCTAATTATTTGCGATGGTGTATAATAATGATAAAGAGCATTAAACTTGATGCGATCTTGATGCGATCAATCATCGTCATGAAAACTCACATTACAATTATTTAGGTTTGAGTCGGCCTTTACACTCATACTGTTCTCAGAGGCATAGAATGTAAACGTTTGCATGACGTCAGAACCTGCTCGGAGATATTCACGATGAAGCTGCTTCACTGTAAATTAAAAAAGAGGAATATAAGCAATATCGATTCATTAATGATTCAAAATCCGAAATGATTCATATTACTTCTAAATTTCGGAACTCAGACCCCTTTCCTGATCTTGTTATGAGTGATGGCTCTCTCAGTTGTTGTGCTTCTGTGCGTGACCTTGGTTTAAACATTGACAGCAATCTTACTTTCAAACAACACATTAGTAATATTTGTAAGTCTGCTTCCTTTGGTATATATAAGATCAGTAGAATCAGGAGGCTACTTGACCGACCCACAACTTCTAAATTAGTCCATGCTTTTGTCTCGACCCATATCGATTACTGTAATTCTTCTCTTTCTGGCCTCCCTCAGTCACATCTAGTCCCACTTCAAAGGGTACAGAATAGCGCTGCTCGGCTTGTGACTCTCTCGTGTAAATCAGAGCACATAACTCCAATATTGAACTCACTACATTGGCTTAAAATTCACCACCGCATATCCTTCAAAATTCTTCTCCTGTGCTACAAAGCTATCAATGGCTTAGCCCCCTCTTACCTTTCCGATCTCATATCCTTACGTTCCCGTACGTCGTCACGAACACTTCGTTCATCTTCCACATTACTGTTAACACCTGGACCCCGCACTAACACCCGGTATGGTGACCGCGCCTTTTCAGTTATTGCCCCCGCTCTCTGGAACAAACTGCCCGCCTTTATTCACTGCGCCCCCTCTGTATCTCAATTCAAATCTCTACTCAAAACCTATCTTTTCAAATTGTAAATTGCAGTTGTGCGTCGGTCAATGGAGGTGCGCACCATATTTGTCTTTATTTAGTTGATTGCCACTGTTTTTCTTACCTTATCTATGTTACTTTTGTATTTTTGCTTTTTCTTCTAATTTAATTCTACGGGTTATAGTCTTCTCTTAATCAGAACACTGTGCGCTTAGAAACATCAGTATTAAGCGCCTAATAAATGTTATGTATTATTATTATTATTATTATTACTGTAGTATTCCAGGATTACATGTTTTAGAGAATGTATTCCATAATAACATGAGGCAAATTCCACCTATAAGAAATATACACAAAGTTTGAAAAGTTTATCCATTACAAAGAATCTATGGCGCTACAAATCACAAGAGCAGAGGGCAAATCTTGCAATAACCTCACTGACATCAATGCAATTCATGTATATATAGTTCAATTATAAAAAATATGAGGTATTCTCTAAGTAATTCCGTTACCAAACTTCTTTTGATGTTCGAAACTGTGAGGTGGAAAAGAAATTGTACAAAACATATATTTGGGACAGCAAGTATAATAACTTGATTATGCAATCATCATTCTAAAGTTACCCGCCAATGTAGAATAGCTTAAAATGCTTGGACTATACAAAAATTATCCGTTAAGAATACAAGCAAGTAATGTATTTGTAGGATAACATTGCGTATTCTTTAGAAGAAATAATTGCCATGAAAAGGGCTGATGTTTAGGATATATTTCTTGAAAGAAAAAAAATTATATCTATCGCGATCAAAAATAACAAGGGAATAACCGAATTAGTCTGTCAACAACTGCATCATAAAATCGCTCTAAGAGGCCAGGAAGAATCTGAAGTTTACAGATAAAAATTGCAAGAATAATGAAAAAAACAAGAATCTGGATTTATATAGAGCTTGATACGAAATACCTTCTTTAATCGCTGTACATAAAATTAACATGGTCAGCGGATTCATTCATACACTCCCTGGGGAGTACTCCTACCATATTATGGGCAAATGGAGATTATTAACAAAAATGCTATGGTCATCCTACCAGGTCCCCATTTCTCTCCTGAGTATGGAGTGGCGAATGTAGATTAACCTTGCGGGGCAAGGACATTAGAGTCGTGACGGGGATCAAACCCACGACCTTTGCATTTCAAGTCAAGTGCTTAAACCACTCGACAACGACACCTCATGGCTATGACTCAGTATGTTTAGAAGTAAAGAAACTGTCGAGTATATATACCTGCGTCTGGATATTCTATACAAGCTTCGGGTGTCCAGTTACCGGCCATGACATAGCCCCTCCTCTCTAGGGTGATAACGAAACTTCCATCTCCAACTACTGGTCCTTCTTCAAGCCGCTCTAATAAACCTTTCTTGGACATTGTGACCTGTGAACATGTTTTTTTTAAAGCCAGAAAGGAAAGAAACGGACTGAGACTGAAATTCTTATTGTGTGACAATTATTAATTGTGACCATACTTTGTTCAAATGTCTGCCTTTCGCTGGCCCGGAAAACAGAGTTCATATACCGCCTCAGAAGCGGGAATGAGAAATTAATAATAATACATTGTACTCTCTTAATCATTTATTTTTTGCTATCACACACTTGGACTTTGATCTGAACAGACATTTTCCCCTTCAATTACGAAACACGATAACAGTAAACTCAAATATTTATGGAGGATGGGACCATCATAATAGCACACATGTAACTAGGAAGTGAATAATTTCTATACGTAAATAAAAAGTTGTAAGTTTTTCAACTTTACAACGAGAATGCCAATCTGCTCAAATCTAGTAATCTAGTAATAATACCATTTAAAATATTTCCTACCTTTTCTCCTTGCTTTCAAACTGTATCTTTGTTATGTACATTTTAATAAACAGCTATGGAACAGTATTGAATAATATTTCTTCAGCATTCTTCCGATAATAATGAAAAAAATCAAATCACAATATGCAGCCATTAAGCTAATTATTATTTGACTATATACAATAGTAATTATCTAATTAAAAGTGAATTAGAAACAAACTTATTAATATAATGATGTAATGAAGGATAGTAACGTAGTTTTACAAGAGTCGCTCTTTTAAAAAGGCTTTTTAACCTCATTAGAAGAGCCTTTGCATCTTAATATAGAATGTCATATGAACATGATGACAATGTTTAGTAATGAAATGCCCTCTCACCTTACAAAATAATTATAGCGAGAAATATAAAGTTTGGATCAAAGTTTGAGGCCACAAGTCAAGTGGGTATATCATGTCATGTAGGCCTATATATCTCTCTCTCTCTCTCTCTCTCTCTCTCTCTCTCTCTCTCTCCGTGGACAGGGTTTTCTGGCAAGATTGGGCCAATTTGCTGGGATTTATATGATGCCAAAACTTCACTCTGTTATTGACCCCCCCCCCCTCACCCTTAACTATATCAATTACTTCTGGACTGTTTCTTTCACAACGCGATTGCAATTAAGGCCAACGCGACCAACTCGATATTTTGCCTCATAATAGTTGCTTATGTAATAACAATTATGTAATACCATGTAACATTGCAAAGACCTCAAGTGTGTGTGCACAAACTGTATTGTCAATAGATAGGTGAGACAAATGTTATTCTACTGTTTTGAAAATAAACCGTTGCTGGATCCCTGCATGGACATACGCTAGTAGCTGGATCCCTGCATGGACATACGCTAGTAGCTGGATAACAACTTTCCATTCATTGCATTTAAATAATAGTTTGACAAAGGACGTTACTGGAATCACAGGTTTTCAATAAACTTGTTCTTAGTATTGATGGTCGGAATGTTACTTGGAGTGCCCATCCTCCCCCCTGACCAACTACAAAGAAAATGGCCGCCCATGCATTCACTTCCAACGATTGCAATCGAAGGAGACAGTCACGTGACCTGAAAACCATTATAAATGCTTTCTTTGGAGATTCCTTGTTACAAAACAAAACAAAACAAAATCTAATACCAAAAATACATTACAATGATGTTAAATGAGAAAAGATGAAAGGGGATTGGGGTACATAACAATAATAAAGACAGAACGGAGGATTCATTGTCAATGCACACAAAATATACATGCAAATAAATAAATGAGTGGACCATCTGAGAGGAGAGGGGGTGTACTCATCCAATACGATATATGGGGATGTGCCACTCTTGTGTTGGAAATCCCTAAAATTGCCCCACTTTTAGATCCTAGATCATGTGTTATTATTCCCGTCAGAATAATACCTCATCCATATTCTCGCTTAAGTGCAAAATCCAGATGCAAAAATAATTGAAATAATTTCGCTACCAACCAAATGGGATGCCCCATGCCACTTGTCATTTCTGATATAGCTTCAGTGCTTTTCTCCACAAACACTCTGCCCTAATAAGAAAAGCTACGTATAGGCAGAAACATGTATTCCATAAAACGTATTTATAAAGTATTCCACCATTCTCGAAAATTGTGTTCTTACAACAGTGTCACAGGTGAAATTACTTGGTGTCACGATACAAAACGATTTGAAGTGGGAAGCCCATGTCAGAGATATTGAAGAAAGGGCGAATTCGAAACTATTATGCTCCGTTCTTTAGGGAAGTTCGGCCTTTCCCTTGAAGATCCAATTACTATTTTCATTGGCTATATTAGCCAGGCGCGTAGCCAGGGGGACGGTGGGGGCGGTCGCCCCCTCAAATGCCGCCCCCCCCCCCGCCCCACCAAAAAAAAAAGAAGAAGAAAGGAAGAGGACGTAGGAAGAAAAGGGATTAAGAGTCGAGAACGGTACAACTAATCGTCTTATTCTTTAACAATCTAATGAAACGTCAGAGCTTCCGCGCTACGCGCGGAGGAAGGGAACTTAATTCAAACAAGGATTTAGAGTCGAGGACGGTACAACGAATCGTCTTCGCTCTCTAATAATTTAATGAAACGTCAAAAAAAGAAACTGAATTTAGACAAGGATTAAGAGTCGAGGACGGTACAACGAATCGTCTTCGTTCTCTAATAATTTAATGAAACGTCAAAAAAAACTGAATTTAGACAAGGATTAAGAGTCAAGAACGGTCCAACAATTCCTCTTCTTTCTCTAATAATTTAATAAAACGTCAAAAGAAACTGAATTTAGACAAGGATTAGGAGTCGTGAACGATCCAACGAATCGTCTTCTTTCTCTAATAATTTAATGAAACGTCAAATGAAACTCCCCCTCCCTGCACACACCCCACTAGGGAGCGCGCTTCACGCGCTCTGTAAGTGATTAGCACGCTTCGCGTGCTTACCGCCCCCCACCCCCCTAAAATGAAATTCTGGCTACGCGCTTGATATTCGTCCAACCCTTGAATATGCAACTCAAGTTTGGAGCGGAGGACTGGTGCACAAAAACGACGCATAGAAAGATTACAAAACGTGCTTTGAGGATTATCTTTAGAAAGGATTACCTTAGTTATGCAAACGCTCTTACTCAATCGAAATTACAAACATTGGAAAGTCGTCGAAATTATCTATGTGTTACAATTTATACCCCAAAGAGCCCAAAATAGAACTTTGCGAAGGACTAACAAGATCCCTGAATTCAGGTTCAAAACTAAACGTATGCAGAATAGCTCAATCCCAGATTTGATCCGTTTGTACAACCAGGGACAAAAGTTTTTTATGATTGTATTATACTTATTATTATTATTATTATTTATTCGGCAAAACAAAGTGTATACAGAGGATTACATAGAAGAACAAATCATACAAAACAAAGGATGAAAATCATTAATAAAAGAATTTAAAAAATAAAAACATTATCGTGATTACCATGAGCATTTACAAGTCGCCAGGAATGGGGCAGGCAAACTAAATCACCGAAACCGTGAAGGTCCCCCATTTGGAACAAATTAAATTGTCAAATGTATATATCTATCTATCTATCTAATATATCATGTAATGTTCATTGTGTATCATTTAGTATACTTGTATATGTATCGGGTGCCTTGGCTTTTATTTAGGGGTATCCTAACCATTATTTTGTATTCCTATTTGTATTGTTTGCTTTGAATATATATTTTCGTTGAATAAAGTGAACTTGAATTTGATATAATATATACAAGCACAAACCTGAACATATCGATTTTTGTTCCATCCCTGCTGAAGTGATGAGTTTAATACTACCAATAACATGTGTTTTGCAGTACCGGTATGTATTTTTTCGAAGATACATCAGCATTATGCTGTTTATACATAGTTTCAACATAACGTTAATTTTCTTCCACATTTCCGCCCCCCCTTAAATATTCTAAGACCTGAAGACTAGGCTCATAATCGTTAAACTAGAGCAACGTAACAGACGCATAACAGGTGCATGTAAATACAGGGGAGAAGGCTAGCTAAAATCCCATTTGTCATGCAAGTCACATCGTACGATACAAACACTCTTCATGAGTCAGCAATCATGCAAACGAGCTCCTCAGGCCTCAATCAAACAACCTATGTACACCCATACGGCGATCCGTTCCAATCCATAGAGCTATATATAGCTCTATATGTTCCAATCATACTTACAATAACAATGGTCGTCGTTATTCTTGACCGTACGCTCAGGGAGATGTGAGTTGATGAACGGTTCTACTGGTAGTGGTACTGTACTTGGTATAATGTGATGCGAAAGACAGTACAGCGTACAATCCGTCAAGACGTCTTGGTAAAATGTCAGTGAATGATCAATGGACTTCGTGTATCATCCTTACTCCTTGGTGTGTTATGCTCACAGACAGTCACAGATCAAGGAGTGTAGTAACTCCTTGCACAGATGCAGAACGATTAGTGTTGTGGTTATCAAAATGCTTCTTATACCAAAGAGGCATACCTCACTGCACTGACTGCTTTTATGAACATTGCTGTTGTTGTTGTTGTTGGTAGTTCATGTATGGCATTCATTCAGTACGACGTTGTCGTTCTTGTTGTTTAATTTATAGGAAAGTCAGTCAGTTTATGACCATTATTGCCGAATACTTTAAATAAATAATAATAATAATAATAATAATAATTACATGTATAGGGCGCTTTATACATGCGTTTCTAAGCAGGCACGTAGCCAGAGTTTGATGTTTGGGGGGGGGGGCACATAATCGATCGAGGTAAACAAAAAAGGGGTCTAAAAAAGTTCAACCGATCTTGGGGGGGGGGCACGTGACCCCCCCCCCCCCGTGGCTATGTGCCTGTTTCTAAGCACACAGGTGGAAGTGTCTTACGTAGTATAGTTATTCAACATTTAACAAAATTAAAATAAAATATTACTAATACATGAATAGCAACAGACTACCTTTTATATTTGGAGAGGAGTGCTGTCATGTCAAAAAAACTTGCGGTGACTCGAGACTAATTAATACGCAAATAAACAGGCGCGTAGCCAGGGGTAGGGGGAGCGGTGGGGCGGTCGCCCGCCCCCCCCCAAAAAAAAAGCTGGCAAAACAAACAAAAAGAGAGAGAAGAGAAAAAAGTATGAGGACGTAGGAAGAAAAAGGAGCAGACATAGAAACATTTTTTATAAATTCATGCAAGGATTCGTGAACGGTACAACGAATTGTCTCATTTCTCTAATAATTTAATGAAACGTCAACGATTCGAGCGGAGAGGGGGAACTGAATTCAGACAAGGATCAAAAGTTTAAAACGTTACAATTTTTTAACGAATCGTCTTCTTTCTCTAACAATTTAATGAACCGTCAAAGCTCCCCCCCCCCCCCCCATAGGGAACGTGCGTTGTGCGTCTTGTTGTCACGATCCATCAGATTTTATCCTGAATTATCAAAAGAGATTATTTATGAGGCTTAATTTCATTCAAACTGTCTGATGCCATTTAATCTTCTACCACTCGGATGGTGCGAACAAAACAAAAAACAAATAAAAATGGAAGAGGTAACACATTTTAAAAAATGGGGTAAAGAGAAGGGGATAGATGCCATAAAAAGAAAGAAGAAAGAGGGAAAAGAATTATACTTCCCGCTCCCAGAGGACCCAGACCTCCAAGCCTTGATGGACCTAAATTTATCGGTCCCTCCCCCTCCCTTAAAAACGCATGCAGCGCCCCTTCATTGGCTGTCTGGTGTTGCAGTTGCAATTATAATGTTGTATCATCTTTAATTATACCTAGCAATCAAAAGAATAATCATGTACACGATTATAATCCTAATCCAACAATAATGGGAATTACCAAAGTCCACGAAAAAAAAAGAAAAATAATTTAAGGATTACGAATAATTCATTTTGACAAATGGGCTACTCAACTCCAATGAGCAACTTGGCTCCCGGCTTGCCTCAAAGCTCTGATAAGTAAAGTACGCTCATAGTCATGTAAACGAATAACAAACTTTGTTATATCTCGCGGTGGTGATTATTATAGGTTTAGGGTTGGAAACTAATTATTGCATGTATATAGTATACATGTACATACAAATATGTATCACTTATTTTGTACATTATTTGGCTATGGTGAAGCACCAGGCACGCCAGCCAGGAGTGTCTTGTGACAGACATGAGCTCTCAACATAAAGTCACTATTATCACTATTACTTTTTAATTAAAAATATCTATTTAATATAATCACTCTCGTCGCAGTCGACTCATTTTATTAAAGAACAGCTAGCTATTAAATTTGTTATAGACCCGAAACTTGTCAATCTGGCTATATAGGATTCAAGTCACCTTTAATATTATTCAAACTAATACTTATCAATATTCGAATGAAATTGAATGCATCAAAGAATCCAATGTAGTAGCAGGGAGATGTAAACACACATCTAGCTCCCTGGTACTATATAGTATATATTGATTCGTGATAGGTTTTGCCTTAGTGTCCCTCGTACGAGTTTTTCTATCAAAATCTATATAAACTGCATCTATTCATCCGAGTGGAAAAATTAAAAGGGTCTTTACTTTAGAAAGTGATTACAAAAGTAATTTACAATAATGATAAGTGAAACATAGAACTTTATATAAGCGATGCTATGGTATAATTACGTGAGTTGGCCTAGCGGCTCGTTCAATTAGTCAGCTCTCTGTTTTTTTTCCCTAACTGGCTCATGCGGACCCCGGTTCGAAACTGAATCGGGTCTTTCGGATGCTTAATCGGTGACCATTGGTCCCCCATTAGAGCTGAGTTGATGAGATAGCCATGGCCTTGCGATGTGGTCTAATCCCTCATATAAACAGTACAGATAAGCTTTAAAGATCGGTCCCCAGATGTAAATAGTCATAATCTGATTGATCTAAACCCAAATACACAAAGACACACAAACACACAACAACAAAAACTTAGTTACGTAATAGTACACAATTAGGGTCAAACAACATTATAACAAAAGTAATGAATGGTGATATTAACCGAGCCTCTATAGGCCTATAAGCGATTGAGCATTTTGATTGAAGATAACCCTATAATATGAACATATCGGATCAAAATGATTATTACTCAACTGCCTTCATCGGGTGTTCATCGAAATCAAAGATGTTGCAAGTAAAAGCCCTTTCAACATTAATTCATACACACTTCACAACCGATGTATGTAAACTCTGACCGACGATATACAAAAATATGAATATAAAATATGTAGTATTTTGTTCCACATTTTCAAATACACGTCACTTTCATTTCAGTAAAATTATCATAAATTAGTTTTTAAAGGTAAATGTTCGTCAACACTGTGTTTGACATCGTACTTGGTATCATAGTGAGAAGTATTACTACCTTTTACCGAGCGGGTGGGCGGGCGGGGAAGAGAGCCAGCAAGAATGTTGAGACTCTTGCTGACAGGATGCATTTATTGTTTTTTCTTTAAAATTTAGGAAATTCGTGCATTATAACATTCCTTCTTACATTTCAAATCGCCAGTATTTCAAAACTGGCAAGATTTTGTCAACAAAGTTAGAAGGGATATCCTAATTCAAGATGTTATATATAGCACCCCCCCCCCCCCCCCCCTCCCCACCCTCTCCTGTTTGGGCCTTACCGAAATTGATGATTTGAGTGCAACGGGTGAATAACAGTAATGGACATAAATCTAAAAGTAGACGGTCTGTAGTGATAAAGGCAGATAAAACAACATGTTTGGATTAGGAATCATAGCGTAGACTACCCTCAAGGTCACGTACCTGGTATGTAAAATGGATCTATTATTAGAAACAAGATGTAAACTAGGACTAATTGTATAATAATATAATATTATAGCAAACACGGGAAGATTGATTTTCATTAACCATGAAGACTGTCCTAAAAAATCGGGAAGAATGGAGGCTTTCAGTACTATTGTAGTTTTGCTTTATTATTATAATATATCGAGGTATACTAACCCGGCAGATATCAACAGGACATCGGGCACATTTTCACCTCGGTATTGAGCATTTTTCCCACCGCAGGGAGGGGGGGGGGGGGGTCAATCAGGAACGGGTCTCTAAAAGCATGTATACGGCAAAGACAAATCGGGCATCATGAAAGTGGTCTAAAAAGAAATACTCAAATCGACCCGGCTATAATGAGAGATTGAAAAAACTCAATCAATTTTGGCCTATACAAACAAGATGTTGTATTGCCCTATAGGTGTCAAAACATGGGTCGGTCGGTCGGAAACCTTTTTGGGGGTTTACCTCTCCCCCCCCCCCCTTCTTTGGCCTGCATTTCTCAAATGCTTTAAAACATTATTTTGTTTAAAGCCAACCGTAGATAATCAAGATTTTTGGGTCAGTCGCAACTCGCAAAGGGCAATACAACATCTTTTTTTAGGCCTTATTGATGCCAGTTAGAAAGTCTCAATTCTCATCCTAGTTGGGAGCATTTTCTTGGTAAAGAACAAAATAAAATTATACATCATAAATTACGAGAGCGGGAATAAAATATAATTTTGAATAATGGTTATGTTGTTTCCATGTGGTTCGTCTCGACCCCCCCCCCCCCCAAAAAAAAGGTGCCTAGCTGGAAGATAGAAAATCCTCGGAACATGAAGATGACAATAATACATGAATGTTGATTAGGCTTGAAATGTAAAGTAAACAAATACTATTTATCTTCTGACTAGTGTGTACAAACACGAAAACATACGAAACTTTGGTCCAAAGTACGTGTTCATCAGCGGCGAATCCCGGATCCCTGCTTTTTGCGAAACGCCCTGCGAGCAGGTCCTTCTGTATCGAGTCCGGAACCCCTGGACGCCCTGGGGTTTTAGCATTTCAGAACCTTCAAGATAGCAGTCAAAATATGTATTTACTTTACTGATGTGGTTCTTGGGCCCGCCTTAAGACCTCTTACCTGGGTTCAGGGGGCGGATTCTCTCGACCTTTATCAATTCAGAACCATCAAGATAGCTCTCTTACGCAATACGAGGACAATTTTATACAACAAAGTCTTTTTAAGCAATTCAGAACCACTGCCCATGTTGCTTAATTTGGATTGAACGTACACTCTCTCCTAATGACAATAGAACAAAGGGCTGTCTTGGATTAGGTCCACGTGAGCCCCCAGACGTTTCTAACAATAATATTTAGAAAATTTACACTTCTGTAACATCTCCTTTAGAAGAATAATTACCAGACCATCCCTGTCACTTTGGGCTATATGCTTACTATACGTCTTATGGTGCTACTCGGACGGATATAAAATTATAGTTACAACGCCACGACATTGCTCAAACTGCCCAATAGTGGTGCCTCCATGATTTCGGATATACAAATTCCAGGATGTTTTGCTTTGTAACAATCCTCCAGTTGAAAAGGGTAAAAATGATTAGTGTATGAACATTGAAAGTCATTTGTGACTTGGATTGCAAAAAAGGAATTTTTTAAAAAATCCACTTTTCCAGGTAAAAGTGTACACATTTTATTCAGTGTACCCTGTTTTCCGAACTGCACAATATATCGCCGTAGCGACAGATACGGGGCGGTGACGCTAGAAAGAACGGGATGTCAATCATTCTTTTTTTTTTTAAATATATTTATGACCTCTGTCGGCAAATATGAAATCTTTAATTCTTTGTCTTTGTTAGAATATTCGTGTCTAACTTATCGCAAACCCAAGGGACGCCCATGAACAGCTCTGCACTTTAGCAGTAATCCTCTCGATGATAATTTTGTTTTTCTTCCGAAGTCCAGTGTGACAGCCAGATTATGCTTGTGTTGTTCTTTAGATAAGTGTTATTCCGTATACTAATATCAATATGTATGACCGTTTGCCAGTGGCGTAATGAGCAAAAGCGTTGCAGGCAAACAAAATCCACATCATCATCACCTTTACATGTTACATGAAGGCCCCGCGGAACATTTTTCAAAGTGGGGGGGGGGGGGGGGAGGGAGGGATAAAGTCTTTATGATCATGTAGAGCGGAGTGAGCAAAGCGAGTGGAGATTGGCGTGGGGTCCAGAAGACAGAGCCCCCAGAAGGTCAGGGGGTTTTAGACATTCAATAACGGTCAGATGAGCATTGAGGGACCCGCCTTGGGTCCTGATGAGGTCCAGGGGGTAGAGCCTCCGGAAGCTTTAATTACGGTCAAATGAGCACATTTTGATACCTCATTTATGACAGTGGCAGGTCACTTTTCTTTATTTCTTTTTTCTATTTCTCTTTAACATACTTTCTCAAAAAAGTGGGGGTCGGGGCTCGAGCCCCCGAGCCCCGCCATTCCTCGGGCTCTGACATGTAGTCTTCTAAATAAGTATTTTTTTGCTTGACTGTACATTTGGGAACTAGTCATTTTCCAACAAACGCATACAAAAGTATAATTTACAAAACAGTGAGAAAAAATCCCGAAAAATCATGTCATTAGTTTCAACAACTTTTGTAAATCACTTGTATCGAATTAGAAATAAACCACGTTGTAATTTTATTCAAGCCCCCCCCCCCCCCCCCCTCATCGGATCACCAGTGCCGTTTGCCAAGTGTAGAAATTAGTGTTACCCGGATTAGAAAGAGACGGTAAAGCCTTTTTGCTAATAATTCTTTTTCTTCTCTATTATATTAAAGAGTAAAGATCATATACTTAAATAAAGTATGGATCAAAATGTTCTTATCAAAATATGTTTAGATAAAAAGGGACAGAATACGAAGTTGAGTCGCGCATTCTCATTGTAGCTGTACTTGGGCGTGTGTTATAAGATTATGTGATGAAACATTGATTTGGGTTTTGAGCGTCCAACGGCGTGATATCCAGGGTCAGAGCCCCCGGGAGCTCCTGTTTTTTCACCGTTTTGTATAGGCACTATTAACTAAAATCCTATCTATTTTACTTACAGATACTTCTTTATTGTTTCATAACATGGAGTAATACTTTCTTATTTAGTATTATATTTATATATTATATTTTTCGATATCATTGACTACTACTATTAAGTATCTTTAGTAGTGTGCCATTCAAATTTGTCAAAAGTAGCGTGTTTAGACCTTTCCTTCACCTACACGGCCTACTAGGTCTGGAAGGGAAGGGAAGGGCATCATACCCCCCCCCCCCCCACCGACACTCTGGTGATAATTAATTCACTATCCCCCCCCCCCCTTCCTCTCTCTTATTCTCTCTCTCTCTCTCCCTATTTTATCTCGATGGCTCAGTGTAAGCAGTGGTATATAGTAAACGGGAAGTTCCGGGTTCGAAACAAGTCAATGCGCTCGTGCTCTTTGGCAAGGCACCAATCCTCATAACCGAGTCCCTATAGGACTTCAAGCCATCGGTCCCCTGGCTGCTTACCTACAAATATATACATGCTTTGTTAGCAGTCAGGTAAAACTATCATCAATCATCTCTTTGTAGTCTTGAGCTCCGCGATGATTATAATTATGGAGTTCAGGCTTTTGGGCGTTTCATTAAATTGGTACTTACTGGGGGATTTCTGAGAAGGAGTCCTTCTCAAGTCAGGCGTAAAATTAAAAAAGGAATGAAAATTGGGTCCTATTGATACAAAGTTTGGCGTCGGGGTAGAATATGGAGTTGAGGGTGCATTGTGTGGGCGGCAATCTCTCTCTCTCTCTCTCTCTCTCTCTCTCTCTCTCCCTCATCTCTTTCTCTCTCATCGCTAGGCGTTCTATTTTATTGCTACTCTACCAGGAAATTTAAAAAGAATGAAAATTGGGTTGGTCATAGGGGTGCAAAGTTTGGGGTGGGTCCTATGTCTATCAGGGAAGCTTCGGGAGAGGCAGTTATGGTTGCGCGTGGTTTTAAAATAAAAATGGAGGGGGTATATAGCTGAGATCAGTCGTCTGTCTGTACGTGGCTGGTAGCGTTATCCACGAAGACATTTCCCATTTTTAAATACATTCCAGTTTTGAAATGATTTTCAATTTACTTTTAAATGTTAGCTTTCTTGTCTTATTCATACACGATCTACAGTCCCATCCTATCCTTCTCCAATCCCACCATATGTAGAAAAAGTTGATCGCATTCCAATAGGAGATTGATTACACCTATAGCTGGTTTGCATTCCCTAGAAGAGTCACCTAGTGGTAAGACGAGCGAGCTTGGGCACATAATATAGCTCCATTCAAATCTTGATTTCTTTATATATCTATTTATTATGACGGTACATACATCAAATTATTAATCTCAGGTACATCGGAGGCTCAAGACTGCCGAGCCACGGAATTATCTACTGCTTCTTGTCCTAAAAGCATTGGTCCCAAACGAGCATTAATCCTTTGGGGGGGGGGGGGGCTACAGATAGAATATATTACTGGTGACGAGAGTTTTAATTTGACTTGTATTATGTATTTACTGAATGTGAAAATAGAATGTATCATTACTGTCCAAAGATACCTAGAGCAGAAAACGAAACACAGCATAGGTATAACAACCAAAGAAAGTAGCGACTTATAGTCAAGGGGCACTCGGGGCACGTGCTCCTTACAAATCTCCGCTGCCCCGCCCTGCCTCCCACCAAAAAGAAAACTGTAATACTATAAAGCTTGGCACCATCTCTTTCAATGTAAACTCTTTATCTTTTCGCTTTCTCTCACAGAAAAATGGACACAAAATATCAGCAAAATATAATTTAACGCTCCGCTACAATTTTCTCTGATATCTCCCCTCTCTTCCGGTATCCTCACTGAAATCATTTGGTTAAGCCGCTGTAATTAAGATAATACCCCTTCTTTCTTATATGATAATCATCTAAGTTATGTTTACAAGGGAAGGCGGGATTATAAATTTTAGAGCTGAAATTTTCATAAAACTTGCTCATGTGTCTTTAAATTGCATGAAACTTTGTTCTTCAAAATTGCTAATCACATTTGCATTATTCAACTGTTTGGCAAATTGTGTCTAATCAGGTCTCGCCTTTCCCTTCTCATAATTATTGTGTCGATCCGACAAAAACTAACAAAATATTTAGCAATCATCAGATTAATTCACATCTTTAATTCCTGTATTGACATTTATTTCAATAAATCACGTTCTTGTTCACTGTATATCTATTCGTATCCTCCTCCTCTCATAATGGCTAATTTGGCCAGTCTATATATATATAACCCATTAATCAACGAATTCACTCTTTTTTTGGGGGGGGGGGGGGAGCATATATATAGTGTTCGAGAAAGGCCTGTGTTTATGGATGAATGTTGTTAAGAATCCAATGTAGCAAGCTTTGTGATCCATTCACGACCCGCGGCTGGTTTGAGGTTCATCCAGTATTCCGCTGTAGCTCTGCAATGAAAAAAAAAGGCAATACTTTTTTTAATAATAATAATGATAATAGTAATAATAGTAGAAGTTGGAAGCATATAGCACCTTTTCCATTGGATACAAAGCGCTTTGAGAGGCCATTCGATAGAATCTGGCATTATATCGCGATCCGAAAGAAAAGAAAAAATATAGGATTATTAGCAGTATATTCGTCAATATTCCGATTCTTAAAAATATATGCTGTCCTCTTAAAAATGTTTACTTGTTTGAAATAACTTCATGGTTTGATAGTAACAGGTTGGAGGTTAATGATGTAATATAATGAATCAACTATACTGTTTATTGGAATACGTTATGTAATCTCGATTTGATAAATTATTGTTCGATATATCTCAACAATGACATGAGATTTTTAAGGAAGTTATACGCGTCCTAATGCTGAGAATAAAACATTGAGAATGAGATTATTTTTGACTTATAACGATTGAAAATAGGAATACAGGGCAACATGCAGGAAGACTATCAATAACTTGGAACTTATAAGATTATTGATTCATAATGTCTGAGGAAATATTTAAAAAAGTGACAGTCCACAAAACATTTACTCCAAATAATGTTCGCCCCAGCTTAATATGTTATGAATTCTTTCAGATGTGCACATACACCGATTTCTCATAAAGATGTTTACCTCTTTTGTTGGGTTTCTTTATGACTTCTTTTCAATCCTTCGAAATTGTCAAATTGATCTGCACCTGGTATGCCATGTCCTCGTTCAGTTTTGAGCTAGTATAAGTGAAGAGATTACATGAAGTTCAGTTAATACATGCATTATTTTCGGGAAGAAGAACAAAGACAGAAACTATTGACACAATTCTTTGTAAATCTCTAAATGACCCTTAACTAACTTAAAAGGGAAAGTTAACCCTGATATGAAGTTGCTTTTAATAGAAGCAGCAAGTGTGAGGAATGGGTCAATAAAAGTTTGGAAAAAATCCGATAAATATAAAATAGTAATAATTTTTTTGAAGTGGCGATCAATTAAACACGAATTGACATCTTTGTGACATATTTCGCGAGGTTCCCTCTCATTTCCTCTGTACTAAAAAAAATATCAGAGATCTCTTTTTTCCCCTAAAGAAAGTGTTCAATCATGCAACCTAAATATAATTATTGCAAATATGTTTGTTTACAACCCCTGTATATATGAAACAAATCTTTTCCGTCATCAATAACTAAGAAAATTGAAGTTTATGACATTTCTGTACAGAGCAAATTGGAAAGGACTTCGCAAGATATTCTGTTTGACAGAATACAATCTCAAAAATTCATAACTTTCTTATTCTTTATCGGATTCTGCTCAAACTTACACTGATTTCTATCTCTTTTTCTATTTTTATTAATAAAAAATTATTATTCGGTTGGATTAGGGTGAAACAAAACAGTGATACAAAGGTAGAGTGGGGGTATTCACATTTATTTTGTGTTACTATCAAAGTTATTTCCTCAGTCATGCCAGACAATTTTCACTGGCATCTAAAACTACTGGGAGCAGTTTCTCTTTGGACTGCTCAACGAATGGCAAACGCATGTGAAGCTGTTTTCTGTGAATGATACAAAATATATGAAAGAAAAGTATACTGTTGGTCATAGTAAAACATTACATCGAATGACAAAGATTTATTCGTACTGTCCCTTTAAGTTTAAAAGCAAACCATAAAACCATATCATGATAAAATGTAGATACAAAGACTTGCTTGTTTGCTAGGTGCCTTGTCTGTTCCAGACATTGGCGATCAAGGCTTTCCATCTACTTCTATCTCTAATTCTTTATAATGGGACGTTACTTCTATTACCAGTCAGCCCAATGAACAAAGACATGTAGATCAATACCTCTTCGGCTATAGCTCTGATATGATGAGGTTCGAACCCGCAACATCCTCCGATGTACCTAACCCCTAGATCATAGGCACGGCGAGCGTACTTGTGTACATCGATCCTCGTCAAACTACGAGGCTCCAATGCTGAAACATTATTATAGGAAATTTCATTTGATATACAAAATTATAACAATTATATTTATATCATTTTTTTTAAAGGTAGAGGTTAAGTTTGGTATTACACAATGTACCTGATAAAATATTCATGTCCAAGAATTATTGGACGGTGTGGCACGGTGTGCATAGTTTTCATTAAAAATATGATCCTTTATATGCGCTTGTGGAAACACCATGCTTTCTTTTAGAACAAAATAAATTAGTAGATTATTAAAATTACTTTACATATCTCTCTCTCTCTCTCTCTCTCTCTCTCTCTCTGTATCCCGCTCACTATGTGGTTAATGAATCAATTAGTATGCGCATAAGAATTTTAAAAACGATTCTGCCTCACCGAAAGGAAATTCTGGAAGAGCAGTGTAGCCTTTGGGTTCGTCCTTTAGTTCCTGGGTATGAAAGCCAACGGGTTGGATCATTAGATAATTCTGTAGTCCTGCCTCATTAAGGCCTTCTTTCATCTTAGCTATAGCAGCGAGTGCGATGTCTGGATCGTAGCAGCAATTTACTCCTACCACATCGGCACCTGTATGGTTTGGTCAATCATAGTCTTGTCATATTATTGGATGCTCTTCGTACAGCGTGTAATTTATGTACACCAATGTATACAGATTTTATGTTTTATGTTTGGTTATGCATGTAATGTCAATTTTTGTATTATTTTTGAGGTGTGTTCGCATTTCAAACATTGAACGCGGTCTGATGATATTATTATATTCACCGACTGTCGTAGAAATTGAAAATAATATTAACGTCAGTTTGTAAAAAGGAATTTATCGCTTATCACTCATTCATAGGGAAAATCAAAATGATGAACATTTTATTTCATTGATTCAGTGTCGTAATTCCATCTTCCTTTGGTGTGTGTTTATAATTATTACGATAGTTAATCTAAAGTGATTTTAAGCTTGAGATATGGTGCGGTACCTGCTCTAGCCAGTCTAACAGCTGATTGAGCAGGAGCCACGCCCATCTCATCACCAGCCACGCCCATTCTCATAGTACAAGCCACTGGTATCCCATAAGACTTCATCACCTCAATCGCCCATTCAGCTTCCTCTGTGTGCGCGAAAAACTAGAAGAAACAAGTTTAGTGAATCATATTCAGGACCATTTAGAGAGAAAATATAATCGGAAGGTAAAAAAACTTATAAACTTAAAGGCCAGTCTGAAATGAAAAAAAAAACCTTCATAAGATATTTAATATGGGTTAGAAATATTGGTGTTAAACTGGATAAGTTAGAGTTGACATTGAATAAGTATCATTTTGTCCAAATATAATTATTATTGCCTATTTATATTGCACCAGGTTTGCCCAACAACTTTTCAACAAATTTTGAAATGTTGTTTTCTTATCTGTATGATTAAAGATTTATTTTCCCAAATCTTACAACAGTAATCAATTTGTGAATATAGTTATGAATAACCAGTAGTATGAAACAATGTTGCCAAGGACGGCATAGAAGTTCCCAAGTTGGTAAGTTTAAAGTATAGGTGCCCTTAAACGTTTGACCCCTTTCACCGAGAATGAGTAAAACGAAAGAAAGACCGAATCAATATGAAGAAATATTAGTTACCTCACCAAGAAGGAAATCAACCTTTTTCCTGATAAAGACATCACATTGTTTTCTGAACTCATTCTGGACATCCTCTTTCGTTCCCTTCCCATCTTCGTATTTAGCTACAGGTGAGAGGCTTCCTGCGACCAGGGCGTCGCCTTCGGCTGCTACTTCATGAGCGAGATCACACGCCACCTCGTTCACAGATTCCCACTGTTGAGGAGGTGTAAGAACGAGATGAAAGAAAAGCAGTATATACGTCTTGATTCAGAAATCAAAATGATACCCAGTAGTCAGTGAAGTATTTATGCGGGGCACTTACACAATCCAAAGAGAGAGAGAGAGAGGGGGAGAGGGAGAGAGAGAGAGAGAGAGAAAGAGAGAGAAAGAGGGGGAAAAGGAGAGAGAGGGAGAGAGAGAGAGAAAGATGGAGAGAGAGGGGAGAGAAAGAGAGGGAGAGAGAGAGAGAGATCATAGGAATGAAGAGGGGAAAAGGGAGAAATGGCGATAATGGCTATAGGGCAACTGAGAGGAATTTGGGCACATGAAAATAAGAAAATTTTAATATTTCAAAAACATGCACAATGTATTTCATTCCCTATTACATAATATTTTGGAGTAAAACTTACATTAACGCTACCATTTTCTTCAGAACATTGGATTTTGAGTCTGTCTTCCGAAGCATAGAATGTGAATGTCTGCATGATATCAGCACCAGCTCGAAGAAACTCACGATGAAGTTGCCTCACTGGAATTAATCGAGTTACAGAAGAAAAACAGGAGTTAAGTGTAGAAAAGAGACAGAAGAGCGAGTAGGAGGAGAAAATGATCTAAACGACGAATGATTAATTTGTTTGAAGAACCTGATCAATATGAGAGGGGTAGAAAAGGCTTAGGGAGTGTCTCTTTAAAAAAAAACGAAATAAGATTACATTGCTATTTTCAAAACTTGAAACAGGTAATCTCTAATGATGAGAACAAGATGTAGAAAGATACATAGGGAACTGAGCCAAAAGTGCTACGGACCAACTTTTGACGAAAACAAAATAGTAAAGGATTTTACGCGGACATAATGTTTTTGTCTCTCTCCGCCCTCCCCCACCCCCTGGCTAACAAACCTCAGTGTCACAGCCGAATCTACTCCACTCCAAATCGACCTATTCTAAGGGAAGGCCTACAAAAAAAAGATTGTATTGCCCTTTAGGCTCCAAAACATGGGTCCGTCTGTCGAAATCTTTTTTCTTTTTCTTTTTTAATTTCCTCTTTTGGCTGATATTTCTCAGTTTTTATTGCTTTGATACATCTTTTTTCTAAAAAACGGTAAAAAAAAATATATTAAAAAATAAATAAAAAGCCGACCGTAGATTTCAAGATTTTTGGGTCGGTCGCAAAGGGCCATACAACATCTTTTTTAAAGGTCTAATGTTCGATCTATTGGCTGATAATAAAATATGATACTTCCAGCAATGAATAAGAAAATATCGCTTTGGCTTCCAATGGTTATGAAATTAGAAACCAAAATAAAAACTATCATACACTTGTTTGTTGAAATCTTACCTGCACCAGGGTATTGTATACAGGCTTCTGGTGTCCATTTACCAGCCATGACATATCCCCTCTTCTCTAAGGTCATAACAAAACTACCATCACCAACCACAGGACCTTCTGCCAACCTCTCCAACAATCCTCTGGATGTAGACATCGTCTCGATAACCACTCGCTCTACGAAAAGACATATAGCTCAAAGACGTATAATAATTATCTCAAATCTAATGATAACGAATGATAATGAAATTAAATTAAAAGTTACAAGTATGTAAGATAGTAATGAAGACTAATCATCTTTCTATAACAAAACAATCAACTATAATTTACAAGTAGATATAATGTTCTTTGACAAGACATTAATGCACATTTGCCACTCTCCATCCAGGTGATGTAAATGGGTACCCGGTAGGAAGAAAATAATATGTCCGAGCGCCTTTTCAGGGCCGCCCGGCTTATGTCACTAAGCAATACAAACACTATATAAATGTTATTATTATTAGGCCAATCCTTATTATTGTTATCATAATTGTCATCATAAAATATGAATTCCGGATTCATATTCATTGCCCAAGAGTAATTAATGATGGAGAGACAATTAGTGCAAATGCAAATCTTGTCTATTAATTTCTTCAACTTTATCCTAATCCATACACCCCTTTCCAAAACTCAATGGCCCGAATTCACAAAGGAGGTTTGTCGACAAACCTCCTTTTGTTATTTACAAACCATGTGCAAAAATTCTTGAAAACATACAGAATTGTTCAGATGCACTTTTTCAAAATAAACATTACTCGAAAAGGGACACGAACTGATGAAGGCGCAAACAGAATGAGTACACAAACATACTCCGCAACACCTGTATAGCATTCCTAATCATAATGATTAATATTTACTTTTAGAAAGCAACCCTTACCAAACAAAAGTATATATTAAGTATACATCAACGAGACAAAGTACATTTCCAGCCAGTTATACAACCTTAACGCAGACAAAATATACTCTAAGCTTGTTTGGCGATCGAAGTGCAACTTTCGGCCCTATATACTATGCATTGAATATTCGTCGCTGAACCAAGAAGGCTAGTAACTTCTTGGCTGAACATGAGTTAACATTGCCTTCACACAAACAAACAAATCGCTTGAACTAGCTGAACCCCAAATATTATGTTACGACAGTGTATATACAGTTTGCGGTATGACGTTGATTTTTATAATGAAACATAACATTTGTATTGGAAAAAAAGTTATGACGAGACGGTTGAGGTATTCTTCGAATAAATCAAAATATACAGTAATGAATAAACGAATAATTCATTCGTTAATTATTTACTTACTGCCACAGAGTACATCGTATAGATCTAAAATTATGGGAATGAATTAACAGGCAATCATTGTCAGAGGCGCGTCCAACTAGAGGGCATCTCATTTAGTCATTTAGGTGGATAAAAAACGAGTTAGGGAATCAAGGATATATGAGAGGATCGTATCACATTGTTTGATTGGCATCTCCTTGATTCCCCTATTCGTTTCCCTTCTTTCACCCCCCCCCCCCCCTCCCCCTCTCTTCAATTGTTATGGCCCTATAGCTGACTCGTGCCCTCCCATTACTACGCCACTGGGTGAAGTAGTATTTTTTTATTTTATAATTTCTATTCTTTTGTCAGGGTAGCCCATTCACCAATAAGTAGTGGTCTTCCATGGGGCCCTCCACAAACATGAACATATTTATTTACATCAAAAAGCATAACTTGTATAAAGAACAGTTAAATTAAAATACGTAGTACATTTAGAAATATATGATACAGCAATAATAGACGAGGCAAAAATAATACTCGTTTGCAAAGTAAACATATATCATTAACCTATTTCAACAGAATGAAGCTACGAAGCTGTATGAAACTGAAATCCATTGTGAAAAATGTTTGGGAGTATGAGAATGAATGGCTAGGACTGTCTCCGTTTTAGCGTTGAGGGTGTGTTATTTTCTCATCTGATAGGGCGCCTGACCACAGACCTCTAGTGGCGTACCTGGGGTACTCCGTCAGGGGGGGGGGGGGGGGGGGGGGCAAGCGATCGAAACAAAACAAAACAAAAAAGGCGATGCTAATTTTCACTTCTGGCGAGCGAGCGAGCAAAAAAATATATTTAAGTAACGTTTGGTATATAAATCGGTATTGTTGCAACTCTGGGGTGGGCACATTCATTTTTTAGCCACGTTAATTTAATTTTTGCAAGCGAGCGTAGCGAGCAAGAAAAAATCCCTTCTTTTTTAATATTTGCCACTTAAACTTGGTCCAATATTATTGTCCCATGCCGGGTGCGGGAACAATTATTTAAATTGTGTTTAGGGTGATTTTATACCCATTTTAGCTAGCGAGCGAAAATACACCTTTCTTTTAATGAATTGCGATATAAAACTTGTTTCATTGTTGCGGGTCGGGGTGGGCACAATCGTGTGTAAGGCAATTTCAATCCCATTTTGGCGGGCAGGCAACCCCCCCCCCCCTACATTTCTCTTTTTAATGATATTGTAGCAGGTCAGTGGTGGGCACAATTCCACGAGCTAGCGAGCGAAAAAAATCACTTCTCTACGGTGAGAACATGGTACATAAACTTGATTTCATTGATCCATGTCAGAGACATGATTATTTAAAGCGATGTTATTTTTATTTTGGCGAGCGAGCGTAGCGAGTGAGCCAAAAAAAATTTATGATTTTTCGTTCATAAATTTCAGGTTTTTTTGTTGCAGGTCAGGGCTTACACAATTATGTCTAAGGTGATGTTAATTCCGTTTTGCCGAGCGAGCACACCAAAACTTCTTTGAATAATGTTTGGTACATAATTATTAACTAGTAATGTTCTTGCAGGTTAGGGCGGGCACGTTAGCGATGTTAATTTCATTTTGGCGAGCGAGCGTAGCGAGCAAGAATAAAAAAATCGCTTCTTTTTTTAATAATAATATGGCCAATTAAACTTGGTTCAATTGTCCTCAATGAATTGGTACATAAACTTTGTGTCTTTGTTGCAGGTCGGGGGTGGGTACAATCGTGTTTAAGCCAATGTCAATCCCATTTTGGTGGGCAGGCAAAACAAACTTAATGATGATTAGTGCATAATTTTCAGTTTTTTTGTTGCAGGTCGGGGCTTACACAATCATGTTTAAGGTGAAGTTAATTCCATATTGGCGAGGGAGTGTAGCTAGCGAGCAAACCAAATTTTCTTTGATTAACGTCTGGTACATAATTATCAACTGGTAATTTGTTGTAGGTTGGGGTGAGCATGTTTGTTAGCGATGTTAATTGTAAAGACAGCGTAGCAAGAGAGGGTAAAACAAAAAACAAATCAACTCATATATCAATCACTAAAATCAATCAATTCATCAATTCTGGCGAGCGAGGAAACAATATCTCTCAAAATAACGTTCGGTGCTTATTTACTGGGATTTTCGTTGCAGGCAAGGGAGCGCACATATTTTGTTAGGAATGTCAATTCCATTTTGGTGAGCGATCATAGCGATGCAAAAAAAAAAAAAATTCTCTTTTAATAGAAATTAATACATAAACTTGTTTTTATTGGTGCATGCAGGTCGGGATGGGCGCAATCGCGTTTAACACGATATCAATTCCTTTTTGGCGAGAGGGCGAAAAAACACTTCCATTTTTAATGATGTTGTTGCAGGTCAAGGGTGGGTACGATTGTTTTCAAAGCAATGTCTATTTCATTTATTCGCGAGCGAGCGTAGCGAGCGAGAAAAAATTAATTAGTCTCTTTTAGTAACATTTGGTACATAAACTGGGTGTTATGGTTGCCATGGTTGCAGGTCGGGTCCAGTCGGGGCAGACACAATTGTATTCTAGGCAATGCTAATCCTTTTCTTTTTTTCAGGGGGACGAGCAAGTGAAAATAATTAATACAAAATAGGCTAGCAAGCAGCTCGCGCCAGCGAAGAGTGTCGAATTTGTTATATCACTTATATTTTCCTACATTCATTTGTCTTTTTCTTTGCCGTATGCGGAATATTTTTCTGTTGGGGGAGGGGGAAAGATGCATAAAAGTTTTTGAAGAAACTCAAAAGCAAAAGGATTGAAGGGAGTTCGAGCGACCAAACTGGTTATGAGGGTACTTTTGCATTTTTTAAAAGTAGAATTGAAGGGATTTGGTATAGGCCTTCACTCCTTGTGAGCTTTGTTAAACATTTTCAGGAAAAAAACTGTACGTTTTCAAAATATCTGGGGTCAATTACTGTCCCCCCCCCCCCCCCCCGGTGCGTACGGCCATGGTCTTTTTTTAAATAATTTCCCCATTTTTTTTTCTTTCCTTTTCTTTTCCCTCTTTCTTCCTTTTCTCTTCTTCTTCATTTTTTTCCCTTTTCCTTTTTTCTCTTTCTTTTCTTTTTTTTCTTTTTTTTCTTTTTCTTTCCTTTCCTTTCTTTTCTTTTCTTTCCCCTTTTTTTTTTCTTTCTCCTTTTTTTCCTTTCCCCTTTTTTTTCTTTCTCCTTTTTTTCCTTTCCCTTCCCCCTTTTCCTTCCCCCCCCCTGGAGCCCGTCAGGGGGCACTCTGCCCCCTTGCCCCCCCCCACCCCCCTCAGGTACGCCAGTGCCTCTAGTGCGCCTGACCTTGACACGTAAACAGTATATAGGCAGTGTCAGTGGACTATTGACCGGTAAGCCTGTTAACAAACAACCGCTCGGCAGTCCATTACAAATACAATGATTTCAGCATGGACCTTCATAGGCCTTATAGGTCCATGATTTTAGTAATGTGATATAGCATGCATGTCTGCGATCCGAATATACAATGATAATTTAAAACACATTACATGTGTACTAAATCATGAATGAAATACTTACATATGATACGATATCAAGTTGTCAGGCACACATAGAAACAACAGCAATCAGCAGTGTCGTGAATACGGAAAGGCTGTGAATACTGTCCGAGGAGGCGTGGCTTCAAATCGGCCTTTAGAAGATAATCGTTGTGAATCATAATAAGGCAGAGACGGCGCTCCGGGGGGAGGGTCATGGGGGGGCACGGGGCCCCACATTTCAAGTACCCCGATAGTGCCCTTTTTTATTTACATAGGAAAGTGCCCATTTCACTTTGAAAAATGCCCCTATTACTTTTCACCTATGATAAGTGCCCCTTTTATTTTTAATCTCTAAGTGCCTCTTTTCAGGTACGAGAAGTGCCCCTTTTCACTTTGGATAAATGCCCCTTTTCACCTCTGATAAATACCCTATACAAATTTAAGAGGTGCCCCTTTTACTTTGACATGTGCCCCTTTACTTTCTAATAAGAGCCATTTACCCCTTCTCATAAAAGCCCCCTCAAACCTGATCGGTGCCCCTTTTCTTTCAACAAATACACATTTTGCTTTATTATTAGTGCCCCTATTCATATCTGGTCAGGGCCCCTTTTCAGGTACTATAGAAGTGCTCCTTTTCACCTCTGACATCTTCCCTCTTAACAATGATACGTGCCCCTTTTCCTTTCTTATAAGGGACCTATCCCCTTTTCATAAATGCCCTTTTCCACCTCCTATAAATGCCCCTATCCACATTAGATGGTGGGTGCCCCATTTCTATCGATAAATGCCCATTTACCAAGTGCCGTCGATGTTAATATTATTATTCCAATAACAGGTTTATTTAAGCCTGATAATAATATCAGATTACGATTATTTATCTCCACCCAGATGATATTTTAGACTAAAAATTTGGGCACGGCAATCGTAAGAAAATTTAATCATTCATTTTTTCCTATTACTGAGAGCTCACTCCATTCTTCCCTTTTAGTATTGCTGTATAGCGCCATCTCTTTGTAACTTTGTCGTTTTATTGACAGGCCAGTAGGTTCAGCCCAATAATAATTATATTGATGAAGATGATGGTGGTTAATTGTGATGATGATGATGATGATGATGATGATGATGATGATGATGATGATATGATGATGATGATGATGATGATGATGATGAAGGTGGTGATGATGATGATGATGATGATGATGACATGATGATGATGACATGATGAAGGTGATGATGATGATGATGATGATGATGATGAAGATGATGATGAGGGTGGTGGTGATGATGATGATGATGATGACATGATGATGATGACATGATGATGATGACATGATGATGATGATGACATGATGATGATGACATGATGATGATAATGACATCATGAAGGTGATGATGAAGGTGATGATGACATGATGAAGGTGATGATGAAGGTGATGATGAAGGTGATGATGACATGATGAAGGTGATGATGAAGGTGATGATGAAGGTGATGATGAAGGTGATGGTGACATGATGGAGGTGATGATGAAGGTGATGATGACATGATGAAGGTGATGATGAAGGTGATGATGAAGGTGATGATGACATGATGGAGGTGATGATGAAGGTGATGATGACATGATGGAGGTGATGATGAAGGTGATGATGACATGATGAAGGTGATGATGAAGGTGATGATGAAGGTGATGATGAAGGTGATGATGAAGGTGATGGAGGTGATGATGAAGGTGATGATGAAGGTGATGATGAAGGTGATGGAGGTGATGATGAAGGTGATGATGACATGATGAAGGTGATGATGATGATAGTAATGATGATGATGATGACATGATGATGATGATGATGATGATGAAGGTGATGATGATGATGATGACGGTGGTGATGATGATGATGATGACATGATGATGATGAAAGGTGATGATGATGATGATGCCAGGTGATGATGATGATGATGAAGGGGATAATGATGATGATGATGAAGGTGATCAGTGGCGTACGCAGGATTTTTTCAAGGGGGGGGGGGGTTAACATTTTGAAATCGGAAAGAAAGCAGAAAATAAGAGCGTGATCACTATCTTATGGGCATCTCAGGTTGGCTGAATCGTTAATTTCATTGTGACGTGCACCGTACCGGACAACTTTCCCATTTTTGTTTCAACGTACAAAATGACTGTAATGTCAATTTTAAAAAAAATGTATGTATCAGGAGGATCTGTTTTATGTCTAGAGATCCTATAACAATATGCTATCCATAATCTAAAATAGATTATAGATTATGCTATCCATAATCTATTTTGAGTATAGTACCTCAAGTGAGAGCGATTAATTAGGAGAAAATTTGGTACGATTGTCATTTTCCTGTTTGTCATTTTTTCTACCTGCTCATTTGTATATTATGATGGTAGGATTGCCCTCAACATCATGGTCCTATGACAAAATTTCCATGATGAGATTGGCCTACTTACCGGGGCGGTATTTACCTGAGAAGTCTCAACAAATGCAACAAACCATGGTCCTACCTACTAAAGGAACACAAACGTCGAGGAGCAAGAATTGTATCTCTAACGTATACAATTCCAAGTAATGGGAACAAAAGATAATAAGCAGTGGCTCTAGGGCCGGGGTGCGACTTTGCGTTTTACACCCTGGCCTGGACCTTTTCCCAATAAATTTCAAGGAACCGACTGGGAAAAGTCTATCCATGACAAGATATTGCGCGCGCACGTAGCTCTTCTGCAATGCTCAACGTACGTCCTATATGTCCAGTGTCGCGGTACGCGGTACATGTACTTTTGTATCGAGACGTACGAGTGAGAGAAAAACAACGAATAACAACAGAAGGAAATAGAGAAAAACAATAAATAATTAAAGAACAGAGAGGAAACAAAGAATGTCATAAGCAGAGAGAGAAAACAAAAACTAACTTGAAAGAAAGAGAGAAATTAGAGAAGGAATTAATCAAAGTAAGGAAAGAGAGAAACCAAATAATATTATGGTTTTTGTGGTTTAATTCCGCCTTCTTCAGGGTTTCAATTTTTGACGTGTAGCCTACTTTCAAACCATTTGCTGATTCGGACCCCCCCCCCCCTAACACACGTGTACACATATCGACACATACACAGACTACACTCGAAATAATATGTGTAATGGTAATGTAATACATAAACTGTGATTTAAATATTGCACTCGTACCATTTTCTATTATTGTGGGATCACGTCTTTCATTTTTTAAATTCATGTCATTTGTTTCTAAGACCTAATTTCTCTAATTCTCTTGACCCCTCTCCCTTCATATTTGTTTTCTAAGACCTCCCCCCCCCCTCATCTCTCTTCATATTTGTTTTCTAAGACCCATTTCTCCCCCGCCCCCCCCCCCCCATCTCTATTCATATTTGTTTTCTAAGACCTCTCTCTCTCGACCCACTCTCTCTCTCGTATGTATTTCTCAGACCCCTCTTTCTTTCTCTCTCATTAACCCCCTCTTCATATTTGTTTCTAAGGCCTCTCTCTCTCTCTTCATATTTGTTTCTAAGACCCCCCCTCTCTTTCTCATTTCTTGATATTTGTTTCTAAGACCTCTCTCTCTCTCTAGCTCTCAATTCATGATATTTGTTTCTAAGACCCCCTCTCTTTCTCACTTCTTGAATTCATATTTGTTTCTAAGACCTCTGTCTCTCTCTCCCTTTCTCTCTTTCTCATTTTAAATTCATGATATTTGTTTATAAGACCTCTCTTTCTCTCTTTTTCCATTCATCACTTTGTCTAGTGTAATGTACAGACACATAACATATAAAGGAAATTATACACCAGTTTTACATGAATTCATTTGCACTTTATTTACTGCTTTACATTCATATACTTTTTTTTTCGTGAAGGTAATCTAATCCTTCAATGTCAGAGAAGTAATACAAAAGATACAGGAGTATGTGTATGCATAAATAGTTATATAAAGAAGAAATATGTAGTAAAAGTGAAAGCAAACAATAGTAGAAATTTGAACAGATAATTTGACAGTGTGTTAAGATTTAGATGCAAGAAATGACTATAAGAAATTTTTATTTGAAAATACATGCACATGTAGATAAAAAGAGATCTGAACACTGAGGCGGATTCATGGGCGCAGAGGCGTGCACCGCGCTTTACTTTGGAGATAACGAACTGAATACACATAATAATGGATGATACGCGTAGACTAGACTCATTCAAGCAGTTTCATTGCTATTTACCGGGAAAATGTCCAGGCCAGGGTGTAAAACGGTGACACGACATTTGCTCCTGCGACAATTGCTCCGGGCTTTATTTCGTCTAAGATGTAGGGTTAGGGTTAGGGTTTCAATAGGGTTTTATGTTAGGTTTAGGGTTAGGTTTAGGGTAGGGTATAGTGTTGAATCCAGGGTTGAAGTTAGCCATTCGATTAGTGTATGAAATTTACAGCGGAGCAATTGTCGCCGGAGCAAATGTCATGGAATCTGTAAAACGCAAAGTCGCGGCCGGGGTTGCTTTGCAGAAGAGCTAGTAGGGGGGGGGGGGGGGGGGGCAAAACCGCAACAAAAATATTTAAAAAAAAACATTTCTTTTGGTCGAGGTGATCGCGTCAGTACCTAAGAACTGTCAGTTTCTTCAAATTAAAGGGAAAAGTGTCACTAAAATATGTACTCAGTAGTAAAATGAAAAGAGGCCGTTGAGCCTGCCTCGATCCGTGTGTGGCTCCACAAGCAAGAGCAATCAACATCTCTTTACAGTATGTAAACAAACCATGAAACAAACGCACAGCGTACCTGTACATGCACGCAGCGTTAGCTCGCGCGATCGCATTCATATATCCACGACCACCATAATACTAGCAGTTACATGGCTACAGTACACTCCTCCGGCCATCTACTCTTGCACTTACTTGTTACAGAACTCGCTTAATTAGCTGAGATACTGTCCGTCTCGTGTCTGAATTAAAACAAACTGAAACCCTTTCTCTTTGGAACAGCGGCTTAGAAAACATCTTGCAGAATTAAAGGTAATTCATTTAGTTTATTTTCTGTATGTATCGGGTTTTAAAAAAATTTGCCGTGTGCTGCAGCTGCAGACTTCCAGATGAAGCTGAAGTGGGCGGGCCGGGCGTGGGGCTGAGAGTGATACCAGAGGAACTGAGGGAATCGCCTCATGCTCTGGGGCGCACAATGCATGCAGTGCTCATCACACAGAATGTCACCGGCTAGATAGAGTCACTCGTGAACTAGTTGAAGCTGAGCAAAGACTGATACTGAAAGAGTTACTAGAGATGATGGTCTGGTGTTCCATAGATTCTAGTATAATGTAGGCCTAATCTAGAAATAAGCTTTTTGGAAAACATTTGTTCATGTAGTGGTAGTGATACCAGTAAAAAGATTGTATTGAAAATTGAACATGAACTAGTTGAATTAGCCCGACTGCTGAGAACACCACTCACAGCATTCTTCCAGAATCTCTGGTAAAGGTAAAAGATAGTTACTTCAACAAGACTGAAGAGATGATATACACATGTAATGTATAAAGCGGTACTAAAAATGTGAAAAATATGCCTGTGTCATGATACATGTAGGAAGGTGAACTCTGCTTTAAAGGGATAGTTGAGTTCTGTTGCAGAGGGCGCTACACAAAATAATTTTTTTGTGAGATAATGAAAAACGTGAGCGTCGAATTTGGAAGAACATAATATTTAAATGACAAAATCATCTTTGTTTGATCAAAATTGGTTCAGAGACGGCTGAAATATAACGATTTCTAATACTTGTTTAACACCACAAATATTAAATATTTTGAAAAATTTGAAAAAACTGTTGGAAAAAAACACGAAATAAAGCCTTTTGCGTTGTATTTCAGCCAAAGCCGATGTTGGCATTTTCGTGTTGCTTATATTACCCACAATTAGCCGGCTCATGTATTGTTTTTTTTTAATTAAATAATTAATTAACGGTCACCATGTTTTTTTGAAAGTGGAGCTGAATTGGTATGAAATCGTATTGGCTAAATTTCACACATTTTGGGGTCTAAAATTACCTTCATAGCAACTTTAGGTTCTAAAACAGCACTATAAATGTCATAGATAAGAATAAGAGCAATAACCATGCACTTTGAAGGCATTTGCGGTCTGAAAACAGAACTCAACTATCCCTTAAGTGTAGAAGACTGGGAGATGTCATCTAATGATATGTTTAGAAAAATTTGTTCTTTAATTGGATATCAATGTCTTATTCATCTCTCTTACTTTTTCTTTACATTATTTTCTAGAATGATGCAATTTTTTTCTTATCTCTGTTTTCTTTTACTTTATTAGCTACTATTTCATTACAAATTTATATTAAAAAAATGAAAAGAAGGACTTGAAGCCAGTCATAATAAACCTGAAGAGTTTCCTCCCTGGATCTGGAAGGACACACTCTCCCTCCCAATACTATTTGTAAACAATCCTCTCTTTGTATATATGGGAGCTCATTTGCATAACAGTATATCCAGGTTTTCAATAATGCAAAAACATGAAAAGGTCCCCTGCTTAGATATTACATAATAGGCAAGGATAGAGTGGGTGTGTAAAGTAGGATTAAGTCCAGTCTGTAATAACAGACAGCAAAGTCTGAACTCAGTAAATGGGTTTGATAACCACTGCATGGGGTACACATTCTCCCATGCAAACATTTTTAAAGCCAACATACTTGCATTTGGGATTTACAGATAACAACTTTGGACAAACTGCTCTCAAAGTTATGGGAGACAAATTTTTAAATTTTCTAATAAAGACATGTATGTAGGAAGTTGTATTGATTCAAGGTACAATAAAGCTCCAAACTTCCCCAAATCATTGTATTTATTTAAATCTTCAAATTTACATGTTTTTGTCATGAATGCAGTGCAAAATAGCTTTCTTTGCCCCCTTGTGATACTACAATACACCACTATTAATGTTATAAACAAGGAGACAAACATTTAGTAACAACAAAGTTTGGGAATTTTAATTTGGGTAGTAGTTACATGTATTTTCATGTATAATTTTGCTCCTGAAGTCAGGCCTTGACCAATCATATCAATTTCAACATTATGATTTATGAGGACTGCTGAGAGTCAGAGATGTGTGCCACTCTGGATCTCAAAAGAAGATAATGTAATACCGGTATTCATTCTGAAATACTTGGTAAATAATTTTCAGGAAGTACAATGATTTCATACTGGTAAATTGTTGATACAATAAATCATACTCCACACATGTACATATGTAAACCTACATCTTTGTAGTTGTCAATGACCAAAGACAGACAGTGATTGTACTATGATATGAAGTAGAGAAGAGGGAAGTCTGAGGGGAAACACAGATTATCACTGGTCTCTTTTTTCTCATGTGCATCCTGTTAGAGTAACCAGGATCTCTCTTCAACTACACATGTTTACTTTTCTTTTGTGATGTATAGATGATTGTGCAAAACCTACTCTATCATTTTGAAGTTTGCATTTACAATTACACATGTAGATGCTATGTGACATGTATCCACACATAATGTAAACAACTTATTTTGTGATTTCCTTTACAGTTTGGTATTGATTTGAAGACGTCCACCATGCCTAGTAGTGAAGATGTCCCCATGAGATTGGTTGGAAGGAGAAAGAATCAAAATGGTTCCCAAGGATCAAGATCACCTACAGGATCACCGTCAGGTTCACCTACCCATAGTGCACCTCACATACAGAGGATGGCTAGTACCATCTCCAACAAATCAATCAAAGGTATGTTACTCATGCACCACCGTGTCCTGTCATCCACCATGTCATGCACGGTATCACCTTTCATGTCATGAAATTGATCTCTTATTCTGTTTGTATGTCCTTTATCTTTCACATGAGTAACATGTACAGTACTTTTCAATGTTACAATTCAAATTTTTGTAATTTTGTAATTCTTTTATTCTTTAGACTTTTCAAAAGATTTTTGTTTCTTAGAATTTAGTGACAGAAGATATTTTATTTAGTGCTATACGTACATGTATGTTTTAACAGATCATTCTGATTCATTATTTAATTGTGCTAAATAGTAAAAACATACATGTACATTGTACATTGTACACTGTACATGTGTTTATACCTTATCTGCTTCACATGAAAAAGCAAGCCCATTATCTTGAAAAAGAAATTGGTTTCAAAGTTAAAATAGTGAGGTACACAATGCTCATAGATATGTTAATTTAGTATTTCTAAAAGAAAATGAAACAGTTCACAGATACACCACTGGTTTTGATTTCCTAGAAAGATACCAACTAATGAGTAAGGTTGATTCTTGGAATTGTTTAAGCATGGCACTACGCTTGAGTCATATGATGTTATTGGACTTGTGTGATATAGGGCAGAAGTAATTGGTTTCAGCAGAGTTGGTAATGAGAGTCATAGAAAAGACTGGAGGTTCATACTCCTTGCTCTCAGCTATCCTGTGCTTGGGGCTTTCATTGTATGCATAATGTATGGTTCACATGTAGTCTACGTACAATACGTGTTTGAGTCACTATACAGTCAAATATATAGGACATAATTACGGTAGTACTGTAGTTTGGTTCCTTTAATAGTACAATCAGAGAAAATGCACTTTTGTTTTGATAATAGACTAGTATTGGTTAACATGAGGGAATACAATGCATGGCTATTTGCCAAATTGCATTCTGAGGGTTCCAATCAGTATTTATAACCCAATCCATTACATATTTAGCACATGTTTCCTGTTGATGTGTTATATTATAGAATGCACAGTGATTTCATTCTGAATGTCTCTCGACGCTGTTATAGTGATTGATGATATATTTGATGTTTAAAATTATGATTTGTTTTTATTAGAGAGATGCTTCATGACTTGTTGACTACTCTATATAATAGGCCTTTCTTCTTAGAATATCATTAACAAGCATGTACACTGTACATGTACTGTATATTTAATTGACCCATATTTAATCAGTTCTAGGATTACTGGTAAGTACCCCCTCCCCCCAAACAAAAAACAACAACAAACAACCTAGACAAACAACTGATAAATATTTTATTGATTTAAATGAGGATGACTTGATTTACGTGTTTTGCTTTCCAACTATTTACAAACATTAATGATTTCCCAATCGTGGACAAATTGAAAACATTAAAACATTAAATCATAATGCTTTCCATTATTTCCAATTAGTTGTCTTGAAGTTGAACCTACAGTGTAAGTTGGTAATTTTTCTGAATGACGCTCAAATTATTCAAACTGTTTCTAATGTATGTTTGTCCTTTTAATGTCCTTACAGCAATGGATGTGTGCATCTTTCAGAAAGGTGGTTCTGCTCATGAAATCTTTGTAGAGAACGCTTTAACAACGACAGCCGGAACTCTCTTCTCACAGATGATGGATTGTCTGACTTTACCAAATGAAGCATCTGAAATCTTTTCATTATGGCTTACATCTCCTCTTCTTGGTAAGACTATATTTCACAATATTCCTCCATATTTTAAGTGTAATTACAAAATTAGGTTTTTGTCCATGACAGCTCTCCCACCCTTTACACTTGTGTATGTATATGTAGACCTGCTTACAATTTTGCTTCACAGCAAGCAAAAAGAAAGAAGAATGTATAAAGGATAATTTGACAAACTTTGATTTGCAATCGCCATCTTTTGAAGCTTTGGGATCTATAAATGTACTCACACATCAAGTGATTTTTATTGATCCTGCAGCAGATCTTGTGAGAATTTTATTTACCGGTATGCATCACCTATTTAAAGACATTAATTGTTTTGAAAAGGAGAAGGACTGTATGTACTGTAATCTGTATGTATGATTACCCAGATTTTTTTTTATTACAAAACTCAAATTTTTTGACATGGCATCAATAATAGAGTACTACTAGTATATCTTTTATTATAATGTAGGTTGCATGCGGATGTAGTTTTGCCATTTACAGTGTAGGTCGACTAACACAAGCTATCTTACCATGTCTGTCTTACCATGTTGTGATGTATGCTTGGTCATCAAAAAACAAACTCATCTCCGTCACCACAAAACACTGGGATATTGCCAAATGGCATACTGTCATCCAATTATACCAACCTGGCTCCAAGACCTTCATCTTTATTTTTATCTGCTTTGTCTCTTATCACTGATGGGTTTAATCAAAAACATAATCCCTGGTTTAATAAGTCATGAAGGCCTAATTGATGCAATCTGTTGTGGTGTATCAAATAATTGACAGCTTTTATGATTAGGAAGAGATTCATGTGATGACAAGATAGATCCTGTGCCAGTTTAGTGCCTAGTGGTTAGACTACTTAATGATGGAGAAGGGAAGTTGTGGTGTCAATAAATGTGACCTTTTGGTTTCTGGTAGTGTGAGGTCAGAAGGTCACCTGGATGATATGATGAGATAATGTGAAGATATGTACATCACGAGTGTCATTGAATAATAATGATTACGGTAGAGAGGTCTCTTGTTTTCCTGGTGTGTGTTTGGTAGGTATACATGTAGGTGATGATACATTAGAAACAATATCCTTGATTTATAAGGAATAGATGGATATGATATGGGAGTGATTGTAAACAAGGAATCAAGATGTACATTGTAGCCTTGGGAGACCTTGTACAAGGCAAGTTTACCAGAATGAAATAGGAAATATTCATGCTGAGTGCTATCAAAGGTCATAGAAGACTGCATGGGTATATTACTTTCTAACTTCATTTCATTATCAGACTGATTTTTTTACTCAGCGGGATTTCTTGAAAGTGAGCCCCTACTGCGAGATTTGTTTCTATAGGATAGGCCCATGCATGTAACATGCATTTGTACACTAACATACATTTCAAAACTTGCAAAAATATTGACAATCACAAATGTAATTTTCATGATCTTTTTTGGAATTAAACATGTTCTTGTGTACTTCTTAAATGTTCAGTTATTTTTTTTTTTTTTTTTTTTTTTATGAGCAATAATTTTTATTTTGTTAAAAAGTGCAGCCCACTAACATATTTTTTCAATGCATTTTAAAAATAAAAAAACAAAGTGTGGATCCATTTTGTAGTGTTTGTGTGTTTATCACTATTTTGTTAAAGTTCAAACTTCATTTACATGTACATTACATGTAGCAGATAGTAACCCTGATATGTACATGTTTATATCATACATCCTGTACATGAAAACCCATCTTTCCTCTTTTGTTGTGTGTCATCATTGTCATGGTATTCAGAAACTATTACGTCGTAATTTAGTTTTGGTTGCCGTGTGGGCAGTAGGCATAAAGGTTACTTTACTTTCCTGCCAGTTGACTGTAAAGGTTATGGACATGTCATGTCTGTTTCCATTTCAACTTGACATGAACCATCATCTTGTTTACAAAATGCACTGTGTATGCCTACATGTACAGTACAAGATAGAAGCAACTTTTATAGTACATGAAGGATATATATATATATATATATATATATACATATATATATATATATATATATATATATGTTGTATGTTGTAAATGCTGAATGTACATAGGCTGTAGACTGATTTTACAAAAGGCTGATGGGAAAAGATGATTTTATTCCAGTTGCAAGGAAGTTGGAAACTATTAGAAACAGTATGCAAAACTATTCCCAACAAGGCTGTCAACATCACTCTTTTTTAAAACTACGGTAGATATGGGCAGATATCACTGATGAGATAATATTAGATGTGGCAGGGGGGGGGGGGGGCTGAGAAAAAGGATCACTGATCATGTGAAGTACAGCATGTACAATTTACATAAAGTATGCCTACATTATAATATTACAAATGTGGGATGTCAACACTTTCACTGATTGTTTCATGCGATGTACATGTACACTGTAATACTGTTAAAGTAAATTGTACCCACTGCCCGATGACATTTTTTGTTTCATCATGTAGCGAAATGCTATGTCAGATAAAGTAATGTGTGATATAAGTCATGCATAAATACACAATGCTACTTATTGATTATACAAATTTGTAAAGAATAGTAAATATTCCTACTATCTTAGTTTGTGACAGTGATGAAGTCATCACCACCACAAATTATATTTATGGATTATTGTCTAGAATTCTAAATTCAGAGTTACACTCTAGCAGTAGAGTAATTATGTGATACATAATATTATGACTAATTCATTGAACCACGCATGCACCCTCCCATAATGTGTATAGATCTGTTTGATTGCCCCCCTTTAGCCTCAGTAATTACTTGTAAAGGTTCATTATTGGTAGATGTAGAATACTTTTATCCAACACCATTTGGGTGGCTGCCAACACAACAGACAGTATTGACCAGTTTCATAACATCCAACTAACGTCACAATCCATGTCGGCTGTCTTCTCCTATGGTTTTAGATTACAATACTTACCCCAGATATGCATTGGTGCATTACATGTATCTGGGCATTTGCTACATGTATATAAATTGGTATGAGAAAGAAGAAAAAAAATAGTAGAGAATGAAAAATTAGATCATTTAAAATTAGATTTATTTTGGTTTTTGTTAACACAGTAAATGTACTTTACATTAGTCTAGAGGCTTCATATGGGAAATTCAATAGAATCTTTTCCTTTTCTTTTTTTCTTTTTGTGACTAATATTAAACCTGAAATAGAAATTGTGCTAATAATGAATGTACCGTATAGAAAAGGAAAGGTGTTATTTTCTATTGTTGAATTATGGAGAGTCATTTCCTTCACACAACCCTTTCTTTCCCATTTATTTCCCTTTATGGTCCCCTTTTTCCCCCGAGATAGCTCTGTTTATAATTTTCATAATGATATGAATACTGCCACACTGTATTTACAGGGACCAAAGTGTTCCACATCATTGATGAAGCATTCAACCCCAAATGAGTTATTGTAGATATAATAGTAAAATGAGTTTGCTCTTCTCAGCGTAGCCTGGTAATGGATAGTTCGTGAGGAGCTCAAGGTGATACACGTAGGCAGGGATACGCCAACACACAATGTACATAGTAAATAATTAATCATCAATTAAATCGCTTGGCTCTTATCCTACATCAAACCGGATAATCAGTTGGACTATAATGTCTAAAAATTGGGAGTCCTTATTTATCTAAGTGTGTATCATAATCCTAATTGTTGATGCCCATTACATGTACGTATCATAATCCTCTCTTTTTTTATCTCCTGAATGATACGTTGTAATTTTGCTTATAATTCTTATTAGGTGTAAGTTCTCCTTAAAAGATGCAAATTTTGTAGGTTGTTCAAGTTTGAAGATCGAGGCACTCCCGTATAATGTGACATTGTTGTTGTTCACTGATTTGATATCATTTTTATTTTTTTTAAATGTACTGGTATTTTAGCATCTTGGCCCAATCACCAGTATATGCAGGCATGTAGAAAAGCTTCAGGTCATATTACTAATTACTTGCACGTTGTATAGTGGTCTAGTCTTTTTTCTTTCGAACACACAACAAAGTAGGAATTTCACTTATTCAAGAAAACATAATTCTCCCTGCTTGATTTCCTTGCTATCTTGCTGGTCATAGAACGATTGTTCCCAGTGACACATACCAGTACAAGACAACATTGTTCAATTAACTATGCAGCTTTATTATGACATTGTAGTAGTACATGAAGTAAAATGTGATTAAGTTAATCAATTGAACACACAGGAAATTGCTAGTGTAAAAAGGGGAAGCTTTTGGTGCTTAGCCATGAATGAGATGATTTCCCTGCTGATAGTAAAAACAATTTGACTGTTTATATTAATTTTAGATCAGGAATAGACTCACAACATTTACAACATTCATTATGAGAAAGTTTCCTGTCCATGTTTGCTTAATTCTTAGTCAAATGTCATTTACAAATCAGAATGTATGTACACAATGTACATCTGGCTGGTACGTTTATTCTTATTGTCATTGTACATTGTGTATCTCATACAAGTTGTTGGTTCTGGAGGATGGCAATTTAAAAAGAGAATACCAGAAATAGAAATAAAGGACAGGGTTATAGACATAGTACATGTACATGTTTCATCCACATGTAGCTAAGGACTCAGTGAAACTGAAAAGCTTTTTCAATCAAATACATTTGTTAATTGAAACAAAATGCATACAAACATTTGGGAAATTTACAATTTAACATGTTTGCTGAAAATTCCAGGGGGGGGGGGGGTCATTGTAAATTGTATAGATATGCTTACAGTTTAGGGTCCCTTTTTTACTACTTTTTTTACTTTACTATCTCAAAGGATTAATCTGTAGACTTTGTGTCATCAATCATGAACTTCTGATTGTGAAGTCATGTCCAGAAATATGTATGTAGCCTACTCAATGCTATATCTGTCATGATTGTGTGATAAGAGATCTTAAATGCTAGACTTTGAACGTAAACACTTGATATAAGTAAAGAAGAAAAGTTCATCACATTTGTGTCGCATAAAATCAGGCTTTGATTCTCAAAAATCAGGCTTTGATTCTCAAAAATCAGGCTTTGATTCTCAAAAATCGGTTAAAAAAAGGGAATAAAACTTGACCAGTGGGAAGAAAATAAGAAAATGTGTAAATGCTAGACTTTGAACGTAAACACTTGACACACTCAAATTAAAAAAGGTTCATCATATTTGTTCTTCACAAAATCAGGCCTCATGACATTGATTCTCAAAAATGTTTTTTTCTTTCTTTTTCATTTAAAGCTCCTTTAAAAGTGTTGGGAGCCCCACAAATTTGATGGGAAAATTTCCCTTACAATGTTGTATCATAATATGAAAGAGCATGTCATTTAAGACACATTTCTGCAAGGATTTTCAAAACAAGTGGTTTGGAGTCGAATATTGATGAAAGAATACAAAATTTAGGTTTTTTGCGTAGAACAGATCAAATTTGGGGCGAATTTGGGGCTCCCAACACTTTAGAGGGGCTTCATAACCCTGTGTACCCAATGTGTAGTAATAACAATCATTTGAATGTTTGATGTTTATCATGTACACGTGGCATATTAATACATTTGGGTGTGCGTTTATTGTAAACAAGTTTTTCCTCTTTGAATAAGATCTTGTATTCTTATCTTTTGATCTGTATTTTGAACACAATATATTATATGAGTTGTGGGATGTACACAATAGCACAGCCTTACTCACAGTCACAGATAGTGCTGTACAGTGCACGTCATGAATAAAATCAATATGTTGCATTATTCATGGACATGGCTAGTCACTTTGCTTTAATAATGGTGGTAGACAGACAATACATGTCTTATAGACCGCAATCAATGAAGGTACAAACCAGAACCACTACAATAGTATATTTATACCACTCGTCAAACAATGAAAACAACTAATCATATCCCACACATCACAGTATTACAGTGCACATCCTCATCACAAGTTTGTTGCTCATAGTCATACTACTTTGTCCCTGTTTGGTATTAAAAGGCCAGGAATAGATATATTGTAATTACTGTAAGATGATTATAGTTCAGGGTATATGCAGAGTGATTCCATTCATTGTTTGATAACTTATCAAAAAGTAGTACATGTACATGTACGTCCGCATCATAAAATCCACTGCGATCAAATTGAAAGTGGAAGGTAGCTCTACATATAATTTATATTGGAGCCACATGATTATATTTTACTTGAACTCTCTTTGACCATTGTTTCAGAGAAGACATAACAGTTACGTGGAAGTACAATCTATGGCTACCTACTGTACATCATACAATACTTAAAAAGATAAGCTTTGAAGCTGGGATGTTACTAGATAATTATGAACTGATGAGCTTTTACGTGGTTTTATGACCTTGTACTTATTTTCAATGACGGAGAGTAAATTAATTAAACCCACACACCTTTGTTTACCTTCAATCAGCACGTGAGTAGTAACTCGTTTGTGAACGTGTGTAAGTGGTACTGTCAGATATGCTTTATGATCAGGTCAATCCCATGACCTCTATTAGCGTCTACTCCTCTGCTATCAACATTTCCTTTCATGTCACTATTAACAAACAATGGATTTGCATTTTATTTCACCATGACAATAATTATACATTTGATAACTGGAGCCAAAAAATAGCAAGAGCTAGTCCAAAAAGAGAATTATAAATCCAAACTTAGAATGTACATGTATGTGTAAACGAAGGAGTACTGTAGATTACCAAACACACTGTGTTCAAGGATTAGTTTTGTTATCATATTGATTTCATTTTTTATACTCCATATCTTTTTGAAAAATTAAATCCTTGTGTTAATTTAGAACAAAAAAGAACAAAAATGTGTTGCTTAATAGGAAAACCATGATTTTTTAAGAAAATTGACTAGCAGTAGTTCTAATCATAAATATGAAGAGGAAACAGTTAATATACTAGTATAGTGTGAGAGTCGCCATTCCTTCTCCACACTTTCCTGTCCATACTACCAACCCAAAAAATATTTGTGTCAAAATCCATTTTTGCAAATTACTTATCCTTGCCTACATTTATAATACCATTTAGATTCTCAATAATCAAGTTTATTATCCGGTTAAAAAGAGTCATAAAGGATTCATTCAAGCAGCTTTGATGGATGTTCATACGATCTCAAAGCTCATTGACACATATTGTGCCATAGGAGGTCAGATCTTCACTCCTTCAATAGAACTTATTTTCTTTTCAATGCACTCATATCTCTGCCAGAGTGGCAGTGTCTAATTGGTTGGGTTTCCTTTTATACAATACAGTGTTGTCCCCACTGCCTACATGTAGACCTGTACATGACACTTAAAAACAAATCTTTTTTATTTGTATGTTTTTTTTAATTTGTATGTGCGAGTATACTGCACTTTAAACTGAAGGGTTGTACACACGATTTCTGTCATTTCCTTTATTGCATAGTAATTTGAGTACATTGAGAGTACTTACAATACACGGTAGTGGGAACTTACCTAGCATCATTCAAACTCTGTCAAAGTTCAGAACAACACTCAGATATGAATGAATCAGGTAAATATTTGCCCACCCAGTTAACAGCATGTGCTTAAGGCAGCTAGCTTGCAAAGTGAAACAGGATTTGTCAGATTCAATGATTGCCTGTTGAGATGTTTGTTGAGCAAGTTGAACTAATTTACTCAGGTGTGCACATGAAGAATAAAGTGCATCCTGAGGAGAAATGTTAATGTTCTATACTACATGACCTTGTATAATGTAGGTCTGCATCCATTATAAGGCATTACTGGATGACTTACAGATGACTATGTAGATGTATATCCCCTTCAAGTCAATTATATAATTACAAAGAATTGTTCTTTAAAGAGAAATATCTTAACACCAGTTAGGCGAGATTCCAAAATGTTTTCCCCTCTTACAAAAAATTGCATTGACAATGACAGAAAGATTTAGGGCTATACATTTCAGTGCTTGACGTTTTAAGCTGGATATATTCCCTGAGATGGTAACTTGAATGAGTGCATTGTATCTTGTACTGAAAATTCGATTTATTTCATGTATTTGAAATGGTGTATCAACTTATAAAAGGAGTGCATTAAAATAGACAGCAAACTGATTTATTGTAGAATTTAACGACCCATTACTTTACTGCTATTGTGCATTCTATGGCATATTTTTACCCCTACGTGACTGACTCTCTAATGGAAGAGGGAAAATTGATTTGTAAATTATTCATTGTTTGTTATACTTCATTCATGTAGTAGCTAAGCTCATGATGATAGCCAGATATTTCTACACCACCCCATTCTCTTCTATATCCTCTTCTTTGAACAATAATAAGCAAGTGAGATTTATCTTTTTCTCTATTGTCCCCCTCCCTCTCTCATTCTCTTTCACTCCACCCCCTCCATCATTCACGCCCCCTCTACCCCGTCTCTCTCTTTTCTTATGATCTTGTCTGTCTTGTTTCTTCTCTTTCTGTTTCTCCTGTCTTAATGTCTTGTTTCTGTGTTACTATTTTCTTTACAGAATTACAGCTGAAACCTCACCACATACCCTTCAGATTATGTAGACAGTGGCCTGATCTTCTTGATAAATATACAACACACAGTGAAGAGGCAAAAGCAAATGGTAAGCACCCATCTTAGGTAATATCTTTTCTGCCTCTCCCCCATCCCCACTTCTTTCACATCTCTGTTTCTTTGGCATTTTTTTAATTTTCCTCTTCTTCTTCTTTCCTCTTTCTCTCTCTATTTCTTTCTTCCTTAAAAAAAAAAATCTATAAAAGCGGAATATTATTATTTATTATTATTCTTGTACCCTCACTTTCACATGTTGATAATAGTATGAGATATGATTATAACGCAAAGACTCTTCCTGTCATAATAAACACACCCTTTGCTCAGCATTGTCATTGTACAAGTTCTGTAATTTATGTGAGACAGGATGTTAATATCTCGTATACAGGAACTGGATTCTTGTTAAGAGGATGTGTATATCAAGAGGATTTGATTGTGACCTCTAGATATGGACCATTTCTCAGTGTTTTCACATGAATATACACTCTAGTTATCAAGCAATGGGCTTATTCCGCTGATTAATCTATTCAAGTTGAGAAACTCTCTATACCTACGCAAGATTAAGAATAATGCATGTTCAAATGAGTTGAGGAAGTTGCAATTTATAAATTATCTTGTTCTAAGAGCTGTATGAGGTAATACCTCAATCTTAAGGTTTTTATCTAGTTTGCTCCCATCTTCTTTATATCATAGATGAACCAGTTGTATCTTTCCAAAGAAATGCATTCTACCCCAAGGATTCAGAGAAAAAGGCGAGTACCTGTACTAAGATTGCATTTAGCCAAAGTCATGGTTAAAGTCCTTGTTAAACTGAAGGAAAAAAACATGAATCGGTAGGGATTATGACACAACATTATCATTAATTGAAATATTTTGCAGTGTGTTTAGATTAAGAATATACACTATGAATATGTTATATAACTCTACATGATAACATCAATAATATAGTGTAGTAGTAACAATTAGCCAGTTAGTTTTAAATGTATATTGATTTGAATGTCAAAGGACCAAACATTGGGTATTAACATATTCTTGTCATGGGAATGATGCTCTGTTAGAGAAACCCATTATTGAAAAGTGAAGTTCTTTCCATGGTATGAGAGGCAATGTGAAATCAATATAATTATGTGACCTCCTTTTCAATTATGATTTGAATTTCCAGGTCACGAATGGGAAGATAAAGAGTAGATTATTTGAGGAAGCAAAGGGTAACATTTTGAATGGGATGTACCCTTGTGAGGCTGAAGACTATGAATACCTAGGTGGTCTGCTAGCTTTCCTAGAGTATGGAGAATTCAATGCTGAAGTACATCAAATGGGATTCTTCAAGTAAGTATATAATAACAAAGATTATATAGCACCTGCTAGAACCAGAAGGGCATTAACTCCTGTAATTCATACAGGGTTAACTCCTTTCTGGCTCTCAACAGATGATATGTTAGGATAACGATGACAATCATGGGACAATAACATTTGAATTTAAATTTGAATTGATAATGGTGATGGTGATGGGTGATGGTGGTGATGATGATTGGTGGTGTTATTGATTGGTGGTGTTATTGATTGGTGGTGTTATTGATTGGTGGTGTTATTGATTGGTGGTGTTATTGATTGGTGGTGTTATTGATTGGTGGTGATGGTGATAATCATGAATGATGATGATGATGATTAGGAGGAGGATGAATTATGCATGAAGGGCTTGTTAACAATATGTAGGGGAAAACATGTTTTTGGTATTAGCCATGCTTATATTGACTGATGATCATGATTCAATGATCAAATGGAGAGGAAGGTTATATATACCGGTAGACTATATCATTTTAAGCAGACATCTGTTTTGGGTAATAAAATAAGACTGGTGTCATAAATGAAACTAAGTATCACTTAGCTTGGTACTGACTCTAAGAAACAAAATCATTTGTTTTAATTATTGTCACACCAATCCAATCAAAATGAATATGTACTCCTAAAGGGAGTATCTGAAAGTGTAAGAAACTGGTCATAAATATACTTGTATTTCCTCTTTTCTTTTTCCCCAGGGATAATGATCTGAAGAAGATCTTACCAACCTGTATGTTCAAAGGAGGTAGCCGTTGGTCCATCGTTAAAGGTCGTACAGGAGCAATGATGTCTGTAGAAGCTAGTATTCTGAGACATTGGAGTCATTTCTCAGAACAGAACACCTCCAGACAGGAATACCATCATCTCTTTCTTGAGTTCTGCTGGAAGCTACCATTCTATGGGTAGGTACAAGACATCAAGTCATCATAGTCATAATGGTGATTGTACTTCATTAGAGTTACATGCTTGAAATCTTCAATTATCTTGACTGATTCTACTGGATATTGAGTCAACTGAACCTGTTTTATATGTAGTTCTTTCCCTTTTCTTGCTATCCTTCGGTATCTCTTAGCTTTGTATGTTGAAGAGTACACACATTGACACACATTGACAAGAACATGTACATGTATCTCAAACTTTCCTTTAGTTTTAATATTAAGGGCCTCCAAACTTAATGTTAGTTATATTTGAGATTTGTACTAAGTAATATCCTACCAAGAAGACTTACCAATATTTTAATTTTATTTTACAGGTCTGTGTTTTTCAGGGGACAGATAGAAAAGACAGGACGTTTATCTGTCAAAGTTCGGGACTCTGCAGACAGGAAGGCCTTTGTCGGCATCAACAGAGATGGAGTATTTGTCATTGATCAACAGAAACAGGTTTGTTTTTGCATTTACATTTGCATTTACTACTCCATTTCCCATGTACTCCCATGAAATGTTGAGGATATCAGTATTTTGGTGCTATCAAATAACTAAAGTGATAAAACCCTCACCGATTTTCATATTATTTTATAACGGCTCATGTTCAAAACTATATAAAATTTCATTTATATTTATATTTATATTTATATTTATTTATATTCATTTATATTCAAATTACAAAAAAGTTTGAGCAAGCCAGAAGGCAAAAATTATGAGGAGAAATTGCTAAAAAACTGTACTGCTATTTGTAATGTTATGCAGTTTAAAAAGAAGAAAAAGAAGAATTGGAACCTGACTGCACAAGGTTTGATGTAAAGTGATATTTAATGTTAGTTTTGCTACAGTATTTTGCCATTTCAGCTGTTTAGACTTACTGGACTTCTTTCAAGAGTTTTATAATCTGGAATGTTTGTATCTCTTAGCAGAAGCCTCTTCTACCATGTCTCCCGGTTTGAGTTTGTTAACATGATATCTTTGTATGTTTGGCTTTCAGGAGCTTCTTCTAGGACTGAAGTATGATGAGTTATCATGGGAGTTCACAGAGCCTGCTAGGAAGGAGGTAGATTGTCTACCGTGTCTCTGGTTAGAGTTTGATAACAGGGAGAGAGGAAAGTGGCGCAGTAAAGTTTTACAGATCTTCTCCAGACAGGTAAGTCTTCATTATGGCATCCATCCTCATGTTTATCAGAATATTATAGATTCCAATCTATATTCAATAATTGGGTTTCAGAGGGCCTTTTGATATAAACAGGATGTGCTCTTTTGCCTGTAGACAAGGAAATTGGCTGCATCTGTTTTCTCTTAAATTTTTTATCTATTTCATATAAACTCACCAAAGGAATTACTTTAGTGTGTGTTGCAGGTTGTTGATGTAATTTCTGATGTTGATGGATATAAAGTATATATACATGAAAACATAGATGGTTTATCAAACAGAAGCTGTTCGGCTTGAGGAGTAACCTTTTGAAATGTAAGGTACTCGTACCATTTGGGGAATGCAAATTATTGAACAAATTAGATTGCATGCAATTATGTTGTTATTTTATACACTTGTAGATGACTATTATTATGATATATGAAACCTTTGTATTGCAGGCTGTCATGATGAATGCTTTCATTGAGGCATGTGTTGATGAGCTGAATAAACGAGATATGGAGAATGTTATTCAGAGAACAGATCATACTGTCATGGGAGGTCTGCTAAGGTAAATATTACCTTCATTCATTACGTTCAAGCATGATCCCAAATCTTGCTCTGCAGTATTCGCTTTAATATGACGTACACAATCAGTCTTGTAAAGCTTTTCACCGCAAATTGCTATTTTTCTTTCTTTATTCTCTTCAATATGATGTACAAAAAATAGCTTTCCCCGAATTTGCTATTTCTCTATCTATATTAGTTATCCTTTCTTTCTGAAGTGAAGAAACTATCAAACTCTTGTTTTCATAGTTTACCTTCTTCCAACCAGCTTGTTGATCAGTTATTTTGCTAGAGCTTTCTGTAGATCACATCTGTTTGCTTATTCTTGTTCACTTATCTTTTTGCCAAACCTATTTACAAACAAATACTCACAAAATATAAGTGAGCAAAGCACAGCTATGACAACCCACTCTGCTTTACTGGTTAATTCTGCAACAAAGTGTTTTATTCTAGATGTGTATTGCAACTAATGAGACAGTAAAGTCCACAATGAATATGAAAAGCAAATGTACGATTATGTGACATATATCAACTGTACACTATTACTGCAAAAAAAATGATGCTTTTTATTTTAGTAAGGATTAAACACTTTGCTTAGTTTAAAATTCAAATATTCATTGCATGCTGCAAGTACAACTGTAGACATTGTCACAAGCTCTAATGTACACAATGCCATATTGTTTTATGATCATGCAGCTCCACTTTTCCAAGAAGTAAACCTCATAAGTAAGTACACAGTAAGGCATCTTGCCCTGTGTCATTACATTGTTGTGCCATGATCTTAAACCTAACCCATGTGATGTGTGATGTTTGTGTTGATATTGGATATAAGAAAAGGATTTTCTGGGATTGTTGTGAATTAAAGTTTACCTTTACTCACTTAGGTTTAACTAATGCAAGTATACATGAAGGACTGCATTTAATACTTTTATATTGAGGCTTCTACTCTGAGAAAACTGGAATTAAAGCTCATCCTTCTAACTATGCTACTTTTTAAACATCACTACCTTTTCCACCTAGCTAATTCCCCGTAGTCAAATGGGTCCTTTATTCCCTGTATGTGTAAGCTGTCTATACAAACCCTCCTTCTAGGAAGTAGTCACAACAACCTGAGGGATTTACTAATCTCTTTTAATCCCATATTGACAGTTACAACTCTCCTCCTGTAGGGTTGAACCTTTTGATTGTGTTTTAAGACTCAAAGAGAGGATCAGTTTTGAGTCATGCATTGTTCCTTATTGTTAAGCACTGGGTATCATCTCTTGGGAAGTGTTCTTCACCAGTACTTCTAAAGTTCTAAAGTCTTTTGAAAAACAATTTCTTCCTAGAATTGTTGTGAGAGGGCAAATCACACAATAATTCTTTGACAGGCTGACAAAAAATCTTTTCAAGTACTCTACCATGACTTCAGAATCAGAAAATTATTGTACTTTGGACTAATTTGTAAATAAAGTACTGCAAAATAATGTTTATTGAATGCAGTATACATCCTGCATGCAATAAATCATTCCTCATTACTATTTGTTGGGTGATTCAAAATGTCATTAAAAGCCTTGTGCAAGTCCATACACACAGAGGAGAGCAAGCAAGAAAACAAAATGTATCATATGAATACTGACTTGTGTATGAATTTAACATTGTAATAGATAACTAGCACTCAGTATGTAATCTCTTCATTGGATTTAATTGCATGTTAACAGATTATCATAACTTTTGCTCTTGTTTTGTTTGTGCACATTAACTCTTTGACTAACAGCAATGAGAATAACAGTAGCACCGTAAACCAGGATGAACCTGATGCACCCATGTCACCACACAGGTATACCTACATCATGTCTCACATCAATATGCAGTGGGAAATATTATATAATATGGACTGGCCTTGAGGGAGATACAACATATATTTCCCAAACTAGACTCATATTGCCCCAGAGTCAAAGACCAGGGCAATATGGGTCTTGTGAGGGCAATATATGTGGTATCTCCCGAAAGACAGTCAATATTGGTACTTTTATCCAAATCAGACATCTAGAGCAAATACATAAATCAACCATGACAATCTCATAGAACTGAAAAAACTTTGTCAAACCAGCAATGTGCATCCAGTGCTTGACAAAATTTTTGATACACTGCAAACAGTGTACCTAATTTGGTGTGATTATTACGTCACAATAGAGTGTGCGCAAAGTGCGCAGGTTCTCGTACACATAATAGATGCGCAATGAGAATGCCAAAATCTGGCGCAGTGAATACAAGACTTTATTTCCTGCTTTTTTAACACGTAAAGTCCATAGGCTTTTCATGAGAGGGTAATATGGTCTCATGTTTACTGATTATCTCTTTTAGGATTACAACAAGTGTAATATGATTTTGTAAAACCACTCAGATGTCTGATGCGGGTAATAATATGCACTATCTTTACCAGGATTCTGTGATCATACATCACTATAGTAGCTTGACTTGCATGGTATCATAATCATGCATAACATGGATTTGGTATATTTACATGGATAATTCATTTTCATGAAATGGACTGAGATTTGAAGAAGGGTTTATGATATTACCATAATTAACGTTGTATAAACCGCCCTCGTGTATTAACCGCACCCCTCTTTTTAGTCCTTAATTTTTTTTTTTTGGTTTTTTTTTTGGCCGACTTTTTTTGGGGCTGACTTTTTTTTTGCCGACTTAAAAAACAGTAGAGGACCTAGGATAGAACCTTGTGGTGCACCGTGTAATAGAAGAAAAATTGGAGGAACTATTTTTATCAACTACATATTGAAATCTATCAGAAAGATTACTTTCAAACCAAGATGACAGACAAATTTGAGTGTTGTTCTAGTTTCCAAGTGGTGAGTCAACACACCGATTACCGAGCTGGGAGACATTGCCAGTCATAGCGTCAAGTCGGCAAAAGAATTTTTTTTTTTTTTTTTTTTTTTTGGTGTACAGTGTATAAACCGCACCCCCGACTTTAAATTTTTTTTTGAAATATTTTCCTTTTCTTGTAATGGAATCACCATTGGTTATGTCAATTTCAAATTAATATTTTCTTATCAATAAAATGTGACAGAGATATAGTAGTAATACATTAATATCCTTGTTTCATGTTGATTTCTTGTGCTTTACTGATAATTTAGTTTTTGTTTTTATCAGTTTTCTGTACATTATTATTTATTCTTTTTAATCTATTAAAAATTAATTTTTTTTAAAAGAAGAAGAAAATACTTCACTTGTTTTTAAAAGATCTTTCAGCAATATAGATCATTTATTACATCTTTATCAATAATTAAAAAGTAAACCTTGAGGAATATTTTCCATACATACATGATTATCAACCAGTTGATTTGTGATTATTACAGAGCTGCTCTTGATGCTACAGCACCAGTCTTTGGAACGTTACCAACCAGAGATCCTAAGACAGGATTGTGCAGCAAGATGGATAGGTTGTGTCTCTCTACATTCTCAAATACAGGTATGTTGCAAGAGATTGGAAATTTGGATTATGTGTTGTTTATCACCTAATAATGATTCATATTCAATAATTCAAGTATAAACATATGAATAAAGATGCCATTACTTGCAGGTATTACAAATTTCCCAAGGAAATCATATCTTAATAAATTTCTAATTAATGGGAAATTTTTCCCAATTTTATAACTCTTTTGGGATCCTTTTATCAACCATTCTCATAATAATTTGTCTGTTTACAGGTGAGCTTATTAGCATGAAGCCAAAGGTCAAGAGGTCGTTCACGTTCCATAGTCTGTTTGGTAGGTGAGCGTAACTCCATCTGGTTCAGAAGCACCATTTGATTGCTGACAAGAGCTCTAGAACATTTATTTACCAGGACAGACAGTCTGTGACCTTGATAATGACAATGGTTGAACAGTCATATTAGACATTGGATGGTGTCGGCCGTTAACATATTGCTGTAAAACAGTGAACTACATATGTATTTGGACGTCTGGAGACGATCCATAATAGACCAGTTGAATGCCGCTCCTAATGTTCACCTGTTCAATGGATGATTTGACTTGTATATCAAGCATGGAATCATTGTAATACTCATCACACTGACTACAGTTTGCTCCTCTGGACCTGATGCCAGGACTTCCTGTTCCATTTTATCAATGCAACTTGGATATAACAGTTACGAATCATAACTTTGCAATGATTTAGATTGAATAGGCCAATATATTATCAACTCAAAAAGGCTAGAACATTTTTTGTGTTGTATGATACAATAGGATATTGTCTTTTTTTCTTCAAAATCATGTTACTTAAATAGCCTAGGAGAGATGATACATTCAAATGATATCAACAACGACAAAAATTAGACTGATTTGGATACCTTATTAGATATTAAATGTTGTAAACCCTATCCTCATTGGATAGTAATTGTCATTAATTTTGTGTTTTTTTTCCTTGTACAATTTGAAAAAGTTCATGGCAGATTTTATTTAGTTTTATTCTCAATTTATCTTGGGTTTGAAATTTGCAATATGTTTCTTTTGACACTGCCCATTTCAAGTTTTGTGTTTTTTGACTATCCGCATATTTTATGTTGGGGATATGTTAATATTTAGAGTACTGAAATCCACTTTCACATACAGTTCATTGTACAGTAGTAAATAGTTATCTGACGGTGAAGACTTTTTGTCTTGACTAGTGTGTGTCATTGTCTATCCATGGAAGACTTAGCCAAGAATTCCCTGGTTTACACCCATAGGAAGTAATGAAATAATCTTCAGTTGGTTGCTCTGAGCGAAAGTTAGGTTCATCATTTTGTGATGTACATTTTACAATGTTGTATTACAAGGAAATGTGGTCTGCTGAAATAGTCATTCTCAGTTCTCATGTTGAAAATACTGATTTGATGTGGATCCATGTAAAGGAGATTATACACTTCCTGGTACACCTAGGTAAAAGGAGAGTACCAACATGATCAAAAACCTAAACAGAGAATGTTGAATGTATGTTAAATGTGCATTTAAAGGTATGTTAGTAATGTACAGGAATGTGTGCATTGTAGTATTGGTGAACAATTTGAATTGAATCTTAAAGGATAAAATGACGAAACACACTCAAGTTAGTGGGTGATTGATGTGGTGATTGGATAAAAATAATATTTTGATTATTTTAAATATATTATATGTGAATATAAACCAAAGTATATAATATTTGTGATCATGTCTATTGTATCAAAGCAACTCTTTCATGTAATTATCAGCAAAGTGGTGTAAATAAGAGTTTTAAAGTGTGATTTATATGTTGTATATTTGCCAATATGGTACTTAAACCCATACAAGAACAGTACTTACATGATTTTAAGATGGAACATAATGAATAATTTGGAATGGTTTTATGGATGGAATAATTGTATTTCTGCATATTTATGGGTGTGGTTTGAACTTAAATCACCTGGAAGTGGCTTTTAGACAGTTTGCAAGGGTTTATCCAACTGATATTATAGGTGGTTTAAGAAATAGAATTGAAAGTACTTGGATCATATTTGTGAGAAAATTTAAGATAGGCACTGCAAAACCAAAATCAGAATTCACACAATTTATCCTCTCCTGATAGTTAGCAAAATGTATGTCAATATTTGTTGTTCAAATACCGGTTAGTTTAATTTACTTTTATTAGCTTAAAAATTAGATCAAAATAATGTCTAGCCATTAGCTTTGTTTTTATCTAGATTCAACTTTTATTTTATTTTTAATTTTTTTTAAATTTCATTGCACTTAAATAATCCTTTATGTGAAGTGTTTTCTTTTTACCCATGTACTGAATATTAATTTCTTTTAATTTTGAAATGAATATTTTCTTCCTTGATGTCATGTGACCAAAGTAACTAAACCAATTATATTGTTTATATTTGGGCCAAGTTATGCAAAGTATATCCCAGCTATTGCTATGTCAGCTATTCTCCTGCAAGTTTTGATAATCACCTTTGTAGATTATTGGTAGCCTATGACACAGACTTTTGTAAATATTAGATTGTGCAATATACATTTATCCTTTCTGAAGAAAGTTTGATTAATTACCCAAAATAGTAAATAGTGACATAGTCCATGTATTGGATGTACCGGTAGTCTTGTAGTCTGGTTTGGGTATGTTGCAATGTCATCTCAGCTGGCTGGCTGCACAACATTGAATAATCTTAGTACACATATGATCATATGATGCACATTTGTGCAATATAGAATTAAGATTATCTAATTTTTATCATTTTTCTGAATGTGCATTTCCAGAACAATCTTTTTGTTGTGTTTGTGTGTCTGGCATGCTTCCATTTTTTCCTTCAAATCTTATTTTTATATTGATTTTTTATTATCTAATTGAATGATGATGTCCTGAATGACTGAAAACATTCTTGTTCATGCAAAATATAGTTACAGATAAACATGTATATTGCAGACTTGACATATTTGACTAAGGAGGTACTACATGTTACCTCCTCGCTTGAGGAAAACAAGTTGAATATTTAGCTGTTCTTGCTGTGCCATGATGTGATTTCCAAAATAATTTTCAAAATGTTTGATGCTAAAGTGATTCAACAGAACTTAATTGGTACCCGTGTTGCAAGGTCACTTTACAGATATAGTCTTTATTGTTGTTGCCTGGTTATGATCCTGTATAATATGCATTGCAAACTCATCCATTAAAACATACTAAACAATGAATTGGTTTTATATGTGTCTTTATTACCAAACCAGTCTTTAATTTTGTTTTGAAATATCTTTCTTGTGATGCAGACAAATTTACAAGGTGCTTTTTTTTTTGGGGGGGGGGGTTAGATTTTTGGATCTCAAATAGAAATTGAAGATGGTGTTGAGAGCTGATGTTACATATGAACTATAGAACTACCTGAGATAATAAGTTATCCATATGAGTGACATACTTTGAATATTAGATGAATGAGCTTCATCCAGTGTAAAATGCCCTTGTTTTTTAGGGAGCTCTTTAAATTTAATGAAGAAATAAGTGAAATTTCTAAGAAAACATTTAGGCACTCAGGAGCTCTTTCAGTTTTTCTCAGCTGTATTGCTCACCCTCCCATATATATATATATATATATATATATATATATATATATATATATTTCTGCTTTGTTGTAATCTTCATAGTCAAAGCAAAATACTTTGACTATACATAATCATTTGTTTATAATTACTTACTGATTATTTACTTGGAATTTTAGCGGAAATCTTCATATAATGGTACTGAGAGTGAGTGATGATGTTAATGAAAGTGAATAAAGAAATTAAAAGGCAGTACAAGTATATATGTAATTCTATTGATTTAATTTATTAACAATCATGATAGAACATATTTCTAAGTATATCAGAAATTCAAAAAAATGATTGCAAATTCATCAGGAATCAAACACACTTTTTTCCTATAAAAACAGTGAATAAAACCATAGCATGGAAGAACAAATGATTAGTATATCAATCCATTATACATATTCAACACCACTAAGTCCACTATTGAACAAAGACAGAGTTTTAGCATGTCAATTTGTTCAATGATATTCGATATTCTAGGACTAATCATTCTGAGCAATGTAAATACCGTATATAAAAATGGACTATTGCAACCGATGCCTGAGATAATCAGAAAATATAAGTAATATGTATCTTATGTTCGACATATACCCTCACCCAAATAGTAAGGAACAACATGTCTTTTTCCTAGACTGGCATGGTCTACTTTTGTAAGGGGAAAAAAAGAAGCTGCCGTTTATCTTTTATAGCAACATTCAATTGTGTCTACAGCATAATATTGATATGTCCTATTTGAAATTGATTGCTTTTATGTATTTTATCTTGGCTATATCTCCCAAGCTGTTTTCTATGTATAAAAAGTAGGTGCAGCACCACTAACTTGCCCATACTGAAACCAATTACATGTATTGTAACTTGACTGAAAGTTATCACAATCATACACATATTACTGCAACTTTTACAAATAAATCAAGTCCTTTGGCAGTAGTAATAAGTAGTACATATATCTGGTTTGAATGAAGACTAACAATTCAGAAAACCTGACCAAGATAAACAAAAATAATATGAGAGCAACACATTTTCCAATATAATAAATGAGTACTTCACACAGTAAAATGGCTACCCTTCTCCTTGATAGAGAGTGCCTACTAGAGGATCTTATCTACATGCTATGGAAGTGAAGAGATGGCCTTAAGTGAAAGGGAGGTTAAAACAGAAACAATTTACTTATAACCTACTTCAAAGTATGCAAACTTTTGCCAATATTAATTTAATACATATCAATTCAATGTTCATTATGCATTCAATATAATTGTTTAATTTCATATATTTTCTGTATACCTGTACATATGAAATGTTGAATTAAACCAAATTATTTTCATGAGAATGTATGATGAAAAAAAGATGCAGAAACCAATGAATCAAATCAAATCAAATAAGAGACAGGATTATAGTAAACTTGGATGACATAGACTATGTGATAATCTTTTGTGCCAACATGTCAATGGAGTAAATATTCAGTAAATTGGTATGCCAATTGCCAAAACATTTATTGGAGAAATGTGGTATATGTAAGATTTATAACCAGTTCCTCTGCTAAAAAAACATTTTATATTGCTGCACACATATATGCAGCTTGTGTAGAACAATGTAAAGACATTAAAATAATAATTCTAAAACATCTAAATAAAGGCAATGCAAATAATTATTTCAATCAATTTGTTAGATAAATTAAGCTGGTCATTTGATCCAATTGACCTCAGTCAGTGTCAGAGTCATATATAGACCAAGAACAAGTAGTGTGTGTGTATTGGGTTTTTACAGACGTGTATCAATCAGATTTGATTATTTACGTCTGGGGACCGACCGTTAACGTCACCATCCGAAAGACGTGACTCAGCTTCGAACCTGCGTCCTAGGCTGAATCAGTTTGTAACTTCCACTGTTAGCTGGATTACAGGCCCACGCCACAACGCCTAGTAAAAGAAAGGAGAGGTACTTTCATAGAGATAGACAGGGGAGGGGGGGGGGGGGGAAGACAGTAAAATATGCCATGATATGAAAATGTTCGAAATCAGAAATTTCATTCTGTTGAATGAGTCTCTCAAAGTAAAGATAATTGAAGAAAAGAAGAAAAAAAATCTACAAAGAAAATTAAATCTAAAACACCCTGATATATAATTAGCTCTCAGCTTCTTCCATAGAATAATCATTAATACATTTGGAATCAAAGTTATGCACACACTGTTAATAGATGTAATTTTACAGGCACAATATCGCATCTCTTTCTTGAATATATTGAATATATTGAATATATATTGAATATATTCTTGAATATTCTGAAATACTTTCTTGAATATAAACTTTACATTTATTTTTGTAATAATAATTGGATTCAATTAATTTCCTCATCAGAATATTCAAGATAGTTACATATAGATCACCTCATAGGTCCTGATATTTAAGGATGAAGGATATAACAAATGTAGAAAACCACAATCTCTTCATGGAAGACATTTACAATACTCTTTTAAATATGATGGTGAGGAAAACATTCTAATTAACTATTATATTTTACTCTCAGACCTTCAACAAAAATGGAAAAGATAAAAAATCTAACAAATTGTATAATCTACATTCCCACATTCTTGTTACGCAAATAGACGTATATTATTCACATTTTAAAAAGTGGCTAATTATGTATGTTATCACACCATTATATATGGATATTAGTGCCAGGTAAAAAAAGGAATCATATATTATCAGTCACAAGGTGGGCTATTGTGTTATCAAACTTTTAAAAAGTCACTCAAAACAAAGTGATTTTAAGCACTGATTTAAAAATAGAAATAATTGAAACCATAGATTCAAATCAGCATTGATATTGTTTTCTTTGCCAGCACTGATCACTCATATTTTAGCTATTTTTTTTCTCTATAAGTTGAATGTTACTGTGAATTGAACACAGCTTTTGGATCTCTATCAACTGCACCAAAGGTCACTTGCAGCTTTAGGTGATACTGTGTCTTTGAGTCCTTTGATACCAGATGGTGTCTGCATCCAGATGTGTTCTTCAGAAGACACTCTACTGTGCATCATTCCACAGCTAATGTCAATGTTGCAATGACGACCCATCTTTGGCACTTTGAAGTTGGCCTTGGGCTTGAACCAGGTTGGGTTACAGGATCTAGGAGCATGGGCAGTGATGACCATGTTTGTGAGGGGTGGCAGAGGGCTGTCTCCAAGCGGAGAACTTGTGATGAGGGACCTTGCAACACTCCTAACACAATGTTTCACTGAGAGTGTTTGAGCTGTTTGTTCATTGTTCAAGAATCGTATGTGATACACCTCCTTTGGGCTTATGACTGTAGAACCAAGGAGGACAATGATATGAGATACATCGGTATCCTGGAAGAGAGAATCTATATTCACAAACAGATCTTGACTTTCCTTGAGTAACTGTGTCATCCGCTTCTTGAACAGGGTATGTTTGTTGTCATTTGATTGAACCTAGGTTTGAAAATAAAAGAGACAAAAATGAACAATTTATTGTAGAATATAAATTTATAATTAAAATGAACTCACTATTTCTGCCCAACATCGTAGCATAGCATTATGGCCAAGATACACAGTGCCTAATTTCCTTCTCTCTGTCTCTCTCTCAAAGTCATTCGATTGAGGGAAACAGGCCCCAGAAAAGTCTGGTGGGGTGCGGGCGCGCGCCACTCCAGCAAAGCATAGAGAGTCAATGATAATGCGCATTGACCTCAAGCACTGCACTACGTGTTAATAGGCAGAATTTGAATACATGAACAGTCAATACACTCACAACACACAAATGCACACAATCATGACGATGTGGCTGATCGGCAAGTTTGACAGTAGACTCACAATTTTAATTTTTAAATTATTCTTTCAAACATCAGAAAGTTGAAAAAATTGTATTTTACTGCTATTTAGGTGTCATCAATCGTCACTAAATAAAGTACCGATTTTGTACAGTGCCAGTGGTGTTTGAAATGTTGAGAATCAATAGAGCAGCTTTAATACAGTCAGGATAGTAATGCAGGTATGCGTGTGTTCAGTTAGCGACTGTAAGATTACAGGCGCTAACTGAACACACGCGCGCGCCCGCACCCCACCGTCAGTACGGCATGCAATTGTAATGTGCTGCAGTTTGAAGTAAATCCTGAGAGAAAGTGCATAGAATTTTATAAGTCTTTGTTTTCATGAAAAATACTCAGAAAAAGATAAGAAAATTGACACGAAACAGGTAACAAACATATTGACTTTTAAATCATGACCTTTATTTGGACATTTGATGAATGTTTACTCCCCTTTCGGTATGTTTTAGTAGGGTATCTCCACGCCGGAGTTACGGGTCAAATTTTGGCTAGACCCTCTAGACTTCTTTAACTAGCGCCACTTTTTTCCACAACCACCAAAACAGCCACACGCAAAATTCAATACATGGGACTTGTATACTCACTTCCGGTCGCTCATACTGAAAATATAGCTGATCAAATGGCAGAGGTATTTGTTCTCGGTGGTAAAGAAGGTATTTTAGGATCTCTGTAACTATTCTACTTTTAATAGTTTGAGTGACAAAGCCATTTAAAGAAATGTTACACGTAGATCCCGTATCGCCTTTCGTTGCCATTTTCTCCTCTGTCGATGACGTGAAGCTGCGGCCTTTATTTTCGAAATTTCCGCTAAGCAAATATACACGTACCGTAGGCGTAGAGGGCGTAGAGGAAAATTAGGAACGAAGAGCGAATAATCCACAACAAGTTATAACTAAAGACGTTTTTATCAGTTGAGTTTACCATGGAATAGTGTAATGTATGCTTGAATCTTCACAATTCTGTATTCCAATAACTTTTGAAGATGTATTCTGGGTGGGCTTCGTTGCAAGAGGCGATCGAATCGGACCAAAGCAACCACAGTGTTCTCCATACATTTCCCGAAACTGTGGGGAGAGATGTGGCCGTATCTGTTGTGAAGCAGTTAGCCGCAAGTACGGCGTCGCTGGCAGCTCTCCAGCAGAGGGGGGATGGGTCTTCCGCCTGTAATCCGCTGGAATCGGAAAAACAAGTGGAGTGGACTATGGAGGTAATTATAGACTAAATTAGAACTTAATCCATAAAATAACAGTCGGAACATGTCTAAACAAAATTGAAAATAGATTTACTCTAGTCTTAAAGATAAACTTGAGTTGTGGTAATGCGATTGCATTGTGAAAGAAAAGGTGTGGAATGGGATCAGAAAAGTTGATCATATAGCATGTAAGTAATGGTGTGTAATGCAAGGTTCTGGAGTCATCAAAATCATCATAAATTTGGCAGAGTCTTGGTAAAGTAACAATCACTTACACAGAAAGATTTATATGGGACAACACACATTGTGTCGGGGCTAGTACTACCCTGATTTCCTTATCTTTCTAGAATCTATGCTCATTACTTAGCCAGTATACATTTTCTTCCAAAATTGTTTGGCACATGACATTTATTTGTAATCTTGAACATTCAGTGTAAGTTTCATTAGATTCTGTGAGAATTCATTTTCTTTTTTTACCAGAACTCAAGTTTATCTTTAACGTCTTAGTTCTTACTCTTATTCCTAGTCTAGTCTTACTGTGATTCTTCATCATGTTCTTAGGCTTTAGAATTTGACAGAAAAATGTTGAATAAGAAATTAATAAAGCATTAAAGGGCGTGTAGCTATGCAAACACTGGTTAACACCATCTACGACTTCTTTTGGACAACTTCGCGTAAATATATGGACTTGACTGACAGTCAGCGCACGCCAGCTTTCGCGAAACAGACCGAAGTTCTCACGCTTCGGTTTTCCCAAGACGGGAAAAGTCAATTAAAAAAGCAGAGTTCAATGCCTTTCCCAAGAACGACATTGGTGCACACGGAGGGTTTAAGAAGCTATCAATACACGTCTCAATCCCAATAATTTTAACAGAGACAACGGGATAGATATCCCTGAATTTTGGTTGCGTACGATACGCCGCCATGACGCTCCCCGTCCAGCCGGCCCGCTTCGAGCCAGCGCCCCGTTGGATGGTTGAGCACGCCATTGTTCTCGCCCGAAAGGCGAGCCCGTTGATTGGTTGAGCACCTGTGTGCTCTGACCAATAGAAGTGTAGCAGCGGCACACGAAACGTTGTGATCTTTTAGATCCCTTGTTGACCATACATTGAGAGACAAACAAATGTCCCTAGCGAGATCATACAATTGTTTGTACGATTTTAGTCATATACTTTTGCAGGCTATAAATGAAAATTTAAAATTTTTATGTAGTATACAGCTGCTATCGACTCAAGCATTCTTGCTTATGATAGTTGGCCTCTGCATTTATCTTGATTATTTTTTACTTACCTCCATACTTTTAAACTTTCAATTACCGGTATGCATTTTTATTTGTGTGTATTTAAGTTGTCACTCTTTACACTGTATGTAAATCAATTATATTATACTATTATTGTTATTTGAATGTTTTATCTTTGATTCATCAATAGATGCAGAAACATCTGCTAAAAAAAAGATACTGTATCCCCTTTGCAGCTAACATCAAATTCTGTAGAACTTTGCAGGAATTTATGTCATATATCTTAGCTGTGAAATTTAAACTTTAGCAGTGTCCTATTATTCAAATTATGCAAGGAAACCCGTTAATAAATTTTGAAATTCCAATTTATCATCTGCACCAGAATTTGAAGTTGGCTAATGTTTCAAACACACTTGACAGATTTTTGTTTGTTATCCTTACACAAGGTTATTTGCTATGGGCTGAGCCTTCCCTTGAATGAACATGAAGCAATCCGAGATTGTGTCAGTGTATACTGTGAATGGTTGAAAGCATTAACCATCCCTCAACCTACCTTACCCACACCACTCAGTAAAGATCCTAACCCATACATACAGAAGATCTTCCAGCATCTTGTCAATCTATTCAAACCAAGACAACAAGGTAAGTAACAACAGAAGAAAAGATGATAAGTCATCATTTTACAGTCCTATAGAATGTTGAACTTATTTCAAGATTGAAGAAAGACACTAATAATAATATTCTAAAAAATGAATGAATGCAATGATTGCTGACGATATTCAGGGCTCCACATTTTCATTTTTTGAAAGAGGGTCAGAAGTCTTATTTAATATTATGTAAACATGACATATTTGTTTTTACAAATTATATTTTGGGGATCAGGCCTTACATTTGGGTGCCCATATGTTCCGGTTGCCCTCTAGTGTCAAGCCCTGCAGTTTTCCTTCCAATTTTGTGAAAATGCAGAGGGAATACCTATACATATATGTTGATAGTTGTCTTTCCAATGTATTATTCTAGGTTTTTTTTTTTTTTTTTCTTTCTTTTTTCCAGGTATGAGTGATACCAACAAGCAAGCAGTGTTATGCCATCGTGTATTACGCTCCATTCAGTCGGTAGCCACAGAGAGTATCGTCATGACCAAACACACCTGGGAAGTTCTTCTAAGGTTCCTGCTCTCTATCAACCACACTCTCCTCTCTCCTCCGCTAGAGTCAGGTACTGCAATTGGATAGTTCATTGTACCTCTGTATGTGATCTACCGTATGTGCTGCGAAAAGCATTGTGGAGCCATGATTAGATACAGTATCATGTGCAATCTGCTGACCAAAGTCTAGATTTCAAAGGGTCGTAGTTATATTTTCTTTGCAGTAAAGATACAAAATAGCAACTTGTAGATAATGTTGCACTACTAATTTTACTTGAAAAGGTGTATTTTGTATTTCTATTTGCAATGCAGGGAGTCTAGCAGAGCAGTTATGTGAGCGTTTGCTAAGTGTTCTGTTTGAAGTATGGCTGCTAGCCTGTGCTCGATGCTTCCCGTCACCTACACTGTGGAGAACCTTCCGTGAGATGTGTTGTACCTGGCGCCATCATCCTGCTACTGTAGCTCAATGGAATCGCATCAATAAAGTGCTCACTGCTCAGCTCATTCAAGTCCTCTATGGACCTATATTCCCACCACTCAAACTTGGTAAGACTGGTCAAGTGTTCAGGGAGACAAATGATAATTTTAGTGTTGCTTTATTTCTTACAGTATATTTAAAAAAAAACGTCTGATCATACCCTCATGTGCTACAAGTCATATTTGATTTTTTCCTGTTGTGCATTATGTTCATAAATGTTATAAAATCAGGTACTTCATGAATCCAATATTAAAAATGACTTTGTGTATTCTTTGCTAAGGTGATGATGAAGGTCGTATCATACCTCCAGAGCTTGATAATGATGGCTTGGCTCAGGCTTGGTTCAGATTCCTACACATCCTAGGTAACCCTGTTGATCTGTGCCATCCAGAAATCATCGGCAGAACACCCAAGTTTGTTGCTTCTATCAACCAAGGAAAGAAATTCCCAGACCAGCATTCCTGTCTACAAGCTTTGCCTGACATTTTCCTCAAAGCCATGAAAGGGTTATCAGTACTTGTGGATGCATATCTAGGTAAGTTTCATACAATACATTGCAATTTAATAGCCTGTCTTTGATTACAAGTTAAATCCTGAATTACACCTCATATTTGCATGTAAGTTTAAAAGATTATATGGAGACGTAGATAATATTAGATTACAGTCGCACAAATAGAGACATGCTGTTTATTGAAAGCATTAAAACAAATGAATGATTTTTATTTTGAGTTGTGGTTTGATTATTGTATTTCTATTGTTCAGGTTATCCTCCAGATCGCCTTGGTCACATCACCGACCCCTCTCAAGGAATACCATCACGTTCTCCTACCATCCCAAGCGCTGCACCATTCAATGCTGCATCCAAAGCAAAGGGCGTACCTTCAGCTGGAGGCAGGGGCACGTCTTCTACCAATAGCGGTATCCGAGGAGGAGTCAAGAGTAACATCCTACACACCGGGATGCTTCCTGGTCCTAGTCATTCTGAGTGTAACAGTATTCTTCATCTGTTTGGAGCATGGCTCTTTGAAGCAGCCCTTATGGGATGTAAGTTCCATGGAGCGGCCACGCCCGCCCCTTTCCTCCCACGGAGGTCTGGCTCTCTTTTTGTGACCCCATCATCATCTTCGTCAGCTGCTGCTGCATCAGCTCTGAGTAATACCGGTAGTTTCTCCAACACCAGCACCATAAACTTCACTTCCTCTTCCACCACCACCGCTACCACTTCCACCAATGCTTCTACTAACAGTAATGCTTCTACTAATTCTCATCGTACTCAGAGTGTTGGTATGTTGCGTCATACACATTCAGGGTTGGCATACAACACATGAATACAAAACAAATATAGTAAATCAGAAGCAAAAAGCTGTTTGTGCCTAGTTATTACATATAACAAGGCACACTGTTTATCTGGGGGGAAAAAGTGACATATCTCAAAGTGGACCAGTTGGAACTGTATATGTGATACAAAGAATTAAATAATACTGTAGTCAAAATTTAGTATTCAGACAATGCAGTTGGAAAGAACCAATGCATATATACAAAAAAACCCACAACAATTCTACTTCCAGTCCTTGTTGTCACCAGTGGTTCTGTTTGTCATACAATACTATCATTTCTGTTCCATGTTCTGTTCCATGTTTTAAAAAATTGTTTTAAATAATCATGTTTTGCATGCTTTGTTAGGAATATTTGTGGATTATTGCTTTGTAAGCCAACCCTGTTCATAATCATGTCAATTTCATTTACACATGAATATTCTGATTTAGTTGGTTTAGTTGGTTCTTAGTAATTGCTATGAATAGTATGACTCACGCAAATGCAGCTGTCCAAATTTTATCTTGATTGTTTTATCATATCTTTTCTTTTCTTGTTCACATGGTTCATACAAATTTCATTTGAAATGTAGTATATGTTTTTATACATCTACATGTAGTAAGGGAAATTATAGTCTTTCTATCATTTTTAAAGTCCTCTTGTTTGTTCATTTTAAATTCCTTTAGATAGTTGAAGAAAAAAAAAGCTGTTTTGGCCTAGACCTATACCCCTTTTCTCTTGTTTGCATGCTTCTTTGTCACCATGCTTGATATATAAAAAGTTGTTAATTACAGTAAGAATTATTAACTTTTGTTTATGAGCAATAGCGATCTAATCAGTATAATACAAAATATGTTGTCATGTTTTCATACAAAATGTTATAATATCCAAATATTTTCATGTCCAGATTTTTAGAAGTTTTTAAAAGTCATGAAGCAACTTAGGATTGGAGTTTGAATCCTCTGTACCTATGGGGAACAAGCATGATCCTCAAAGAATCCTTATACAAATTTTAAATGGAACAATATATCCCTTTTTACTACAAAGTAATCTTTTCTTCTGTGTTCTTTCTGAAATAGCCAGCCAGCTAGCACAGGCTCTAATTTGCTGTATTGTTTTCTGTCCAATGTTTAATACCTTCACCATGTTGTTTAGAGTGTACCAATCACCTAACAAATAATGTGTGTACAGCTAGAATGTATAAGATCAATCTATAAAAAAGTTAACCTTGCTTTCTATGGGCTAACAGATACGGAGTATGAAGTAAACAAAGAATAGCATAAAACCACACACAGAGAACCCAACTTGGACTTGGGTTCAGTCTACTCACAAGACGAGATGGTATTTAAACTTGCAAAATCTTTATACAAAAATAATACTTGAAGCTAATTGTTTTATTATAGTATGACATCATGACATGGAATTAGTAACATACAAAACAAAGTATTTTGGGTGATTTGTGCATCACTTTTAAAGTGCCAAGTTGCAGGTGTTTGATTACAGGGCCTATTACATGTTAGTCAAGAGCCTAGACATTCTAGATACTTTATTACACAATCTGAATGACAGCTTTGTATCAGCATACCACACTCTTAGTATGCATAGTTATTAATGTCTGTGATATTCTTCACACTGCACTTCTTAGATGTACATGTATTTGTTCATTAATGTAGAAGAACTCTTCAGATTTGAAGGGAAGGTAATGGTCGCAAAATAAGTCTCATTAAGTGCATTTCGTCCACTTATTTTGTTATTAGCAACTGTAAGTGAAGCATATTTCATCCAATTTCACTAGATTTAGATATAAAAAAACATATCATAAAATCTTTTGTGTGTAATATGTATGTATTTGTGATATTTTGAAACAGTTGTCAAATTTCAAGAACAGATTCAGCTGTAAAATAAGAGATGCTTTGTGTCAATCTATTTACTAATCACAGTTAATACTTTGTTTTTAATCATCACAATATCAATACGTGAAACTATTAACAGCTGCTTCTGCTACTTACGTCCGTCCACATCAAATCTCATTCAGCATGCACTCACATACATGTAGTAGTTGCATCGGGCAGTTAGTAAGCCTACGCTTAACCCACTAAAATATTTGGCCACAATGGTGTTTTAAAAGATTATTGTTATTGATATAATCCAAGCACTGCTGGCCTTCAGCTAATGATACTGTACTCAACTGTTGTATTTGAATATGGGAAGTGATGGTCAAAATCAGTGTCTTAATATGACTAACTGTCAAATTTCTTTTGAAATTTTGTTAATGTCACTAATTTCATGCTTTTTAAACATTATTTTTCACAACACTGAGCACCTTTAGAGAGAAACCAATTCAGTCCAAGAGTTTGTATTATTGTCATTACTGGAAAACCAGAAACTTCTGCAACATGAAACAGAAATTCTTTTCCATTTGCTTTAACAATAACAAAGATCATGTCACAGCAGAATTATACATAGCAAAGAAGTATACAATGACACATATGCATTATATGATCACAAAACACTATACATAGTGCAAAAATATAGTATTTATTTATAGCATGAAATATTAATATTTACAATATATGTGAAGTTTCTGGGTTTTATAGAATCAATTTATGATTTAAATCTGTTCCTGGATATTACCAATCCACATAATCCACTTTAAATAAACATCATGTATTATGATTCTCAAGCTATGAAATGCTGCTTTCATAACAAATATATGTGTATTAGTTTAGTCACACACTTTTGTGGTTGACTGACTTAATCTTTTTAATGTGTATGCAGCTATTGTTTTAATGCTTATTACTTTCCTGTGTTCATTCTGAATAGAGCGTAATCTGCAGGAAGTAGAGAATAATCCTTTCAATTTGTATTATCCTCCAGATTAGTCATTCTTGTTCACTAAATACTATTTCATCGCAGTATTTTACTCATAGCTCATGTAGATGTAGGCATTGGAGATGAGTTTTCTTTCTGCTTTTCTTTCTTGCGAACATTAAAAAAAAAGAAAAAAAAGTAGAAAGTAGAAGCAAAAGTTATGAAGAAATCTTTTACTCAGCATGAGGACTGCACCATATATATCATCACAGGCTTATGAAAGGTTGTCATCGTATTGGGGTTATTCATCATATCAAGAAACTAGTTCTCTGATGTTGTAAATGAGTGACCTGTCAACAGTCACATCATGGATGATCTCTGGTAGATCTAAGAGTGTTAACTCATCCTCTGACTCAGTACTCACTATCAAGATTATTGGGTCATGTATGTGCTCTCTACCTCCAAGAAGACAACAATCCTGTTGCTACATCAGTGTTTGCAAGGCACCTGGAACAGAAGGATCATCTTCAGTGGTGGTTACAAAGTATTATTTAATTCAACACATTTACGATAAGCTGTGCAAGTACTACCTACCCATATTGATAACCTTTGTTGTCCTACTATCCTGAAGGTCGTATGATGCGTCGAGCCCAGTCCATACCTTCGTCTTCAGATGCCCCTCATGTCCGTGAAGGTCATGAGCGTGAGGCCATCTCCTCACCAGGTGCTCCTTCAGCTCTCCTGGTACCAGACCGTCTCAGCTCACCAGAGAGCTATGAGGAAGGACGTGCAGAGGCTTGTGGGACGCTGTGTCGTATCTTCACCAGTCGTAAGGCGGCAGAGAGCATCCTGCCTATGTACCTATCTAGATTCTATCTCACACTCACCCAGGGACTATCTACCAATGCAAGACAGGTCAGTTCATACTTCATTACTCTTTTAAGGTTGTTCAATTTAAGTAAACATTGATTTTCTAGAGGTTGGGATAGTGTGACAGGAGATATAGCCATTGCACAAATTGAATTTAATGTTGAAATGAATTTGCGTATCAAATGCGTAGTAAAACGGAGCACTTGAAAAAGGTAATAATTATGAATAGTTGTTTTCATTCTCTATTTCCTCTTAGCAACACAACTGATGGAAAGAGTAAATTTGCATGAATAATGTATTCTAGATTTCACCCTGCCTCACCTCTTTATTCTTTGGAATGGTTCCTGTAAAGTGCATTACATGTATCTCATTTTAGAGTGCAGTAAACAAAACCTTCAGTAATTTTCGTCTTTAATGTAACTTATTTGGGGATTATACAACATGACCTTATATCCTTATCTTGCAGCCTGTGAGTGGTCTGGTGTTATCTAACATCCTCTACAACTCTCATAACTTGCTACGTGTTGACCTGACAGGGGTCAAGGTCCTCATACCGTACCTCCTCTCTGCTATGGATCTAGTTATTCCGGAGACTGATCTTCGTTTCAAGTGAGTCAAACTAGATATCTGCATGTATAATCTATGACCAGGCCTGATAATTACCTGATGTAAATCGGCTTCCCATTTTTTTCCCCCTTGATTTTACCCCTATTTTTCCTGTATTTTCCTGATTTTTTCCTATTTTCCCCTCAATTTTCTTTCTCAAAAGGGGGGAATGTTGTTCGATGCCTTTTTTTTTTAGTGCCCACCCCTGTATGACTTCGGTAGTATTTTTCAGGACTTATTCCTATTTAATTATTACGTCGTGTTAAGGTATTTCATAGCAAATTCAAACAAGATGGGTGAAAAGTTACTGGTTAACAAGCCTTTTTAAGGATTTCTGACAATTGAATAAATAAATGAATTATTGAAGAAAATAGATATATACATGTAAACAGATGGACATCCAAAAATAATGAATTGATTAATTAATCTTATTCTATTTGGGTTCAGAATTAATGAATATTAATTGATATTGTATGATTTTTTTTCTTTGAACAGATCATTAGTTCCTAAGAACGAGCTTCGTCGAGCCTCAATCCATCTCCTTCTATCTATGTTGTGTTTGCCTCATCATTTCAAAGATCTCACCATTCAGAGTAAGTTTATCTTTTATCTATCAAATGGTCATATCATTAAAAAACATGCAATTTTTCATATACAGTAATTATAATATAAATGACATTTGGCGAGTATGTCATCCTATTTTCCACAATGTAAATTAGATTAGAGACTGGATGTGAACACCTTCATACTTAGATTAAAAACTTGTTGTAGCTACCGGTAGTTGTTTTTCCTTTCTGCCTTGGTGCAAGTTTATTTGTTGCTTGTTTTCTTATATGGTTAGTTTTATTTATATGCATGCATGCTCCATAAAGCAATCTCAGGATATTCCTTTTAATTGAAATTTGCATTGTTTTGTTGAAGGTATCATTCAGAATGATGCTGATGATTGCAAGCCTGAGATGACATTCATGAGTCTGAAACCTCAGCTGGTTGATCTTATGATCAGTGGATTCCGGTGTGAAAGTAACCCTCAGAATGCACAAATGTTATTAGGTAAGTCACTTCACATCTCTGTAGTGGTGAATATGCTTTCAAAAGTAATTAAACCTTAATCGTTTGATGCCAATGAATGATTAAAATGTATATCATGAAATTAATTTCTTGCCGGGGGGGAGGGGGGGGGGGCACCGTGTGGAAAAGAGGACACTTTTTTCTTTTTTTTTTAGTCCCCCAAAAATCGCAACAACTCAGCCAGCCGCTAAATAAGCGGGGGGGGGGGGGGGGGGTAAGAGGACACTTTTTTCTCTTTTTTTTTGTGGTCACGAAATTTTTAAATTTGACATTTTGCTCCGTTGGGGGGGGTGGTAAGGTCACCTTTTTAGGTCAGCCATTGGCATATTTTTTTATTTTTTTTTAAATAAAATAAATATTAAAAAAAAAAAATTGGCCAGGGGGGGCATGCCCCTTTTTTTTAGTACATTTTGGGCGAATTTAGGGCTGATTTTAACAGATTTTTTGGGCCGGGGGGGGGGGGGGGGCACGTGCCTCCTGTGCCCCCCCTCCTCTTCCCCTGGATCCGCCACTGAAATGATGCTTAAGTATGACAGATTTTGACATTAATCCATCCACATAAGTAACATGATATATGAACATTTCAGTTTTATGAAGTATGACATTGTTCTCTCATTCACTAAGACTTTTGTTACCACAATAATTGAGAAACAAATTTGAAAAGGGTGACATAATAGAATTTGAATACATCACGTTATATGTCAAAGGTCACAGGGTCCTTAATTAATTAACCATTGGATGTGCAGTCACTTTCATGTAACCTATTATGATTGCTTGCTTACAGGTGCTATGTACATGTGTATCCTAGACTCTGCTATGAGTGAGTCAGTGGAAGCTAAGACCAGCAATTCAGAGACACCTTCAAGGAAAGAATCTACAAGGTATAAAACAACTTCATATTGAATAACCAGTTACTTCATATACAATGTCATGTTGAACAATAATGATCAAGAACTACAGTAATGTATTGAAATAAATGAGTTGTGCAAATCAACTACTTTCAGATGGAAACGTTTAATTTTTACTCTCCTCTCCCTCTCTCTCTCTCTCTCTCTCTCTCTCTCTCTCTCTCTCTCCCCTCTCTCTTTCTATTTCTGTCTTTCTCTCTCTCTCTCTCTCTCTCTATCCTACAGTAGTGTGAATGACAGTGAAGAGACCGCAGAGAATGCTCCACCAGGCAGTTCACTCAGTGGTAGCTTGTTTGGTGAGTCTTGGACATTTTATACTACATTCTTGTCTTAGTTGTGTTTGATTTTTATCAGATTGTAGCATCTATTTTGTGTAGGAGGGAAAGTTGCGATAAAATAAAACAAGCCAGCACAAAACATTAGCGTACATGTATTAGGTATCATAGGGTATTGGATGTTGTAGTCGGTGAATGTAAATGAAACGGTATACAATGGTCTGCGTCATTATCAGCAGCATCGATCATGCATTGCCCTAATTCATATTTCCATTATTTTATTTTTGTTTATGTGGCCAATAGGATTAGACTGAAACAGAAACCATTCCATACATCAGACTTGCTCTTTTGAATAATAATGGTGGGTTCTTGTATAGCGCTCATGTCAGTCAGATTTGACCCTCCTGGCGCTCCCGATTATTACCCTGGCTTTAGCACGGCTGCCATACGGCGCTCTAGCATTTCAAGGAATAAATTCCTACCAGGTACCCATTTACCTCACCTGGGTGGAGTGTGGCAAATGTAGATCAATGTTTTGCCAAAGGACATTAGTGCGGCGGCAGGACTCGAACCGCGGACCTTGTGATCGACAGTCAAACAAGATAATGAATCTCAAGAGATATTCCTTATCTATGCTATTCAACCTTGAGCTGTCTTTGATGTATGGAATAGTTTTGTTTCAGTTCAAAGCCTCATATAAACCTTTACATTTATATCCCTAATCCACCAATATTGCAAGAAGCTTTTATTATTTGATTAGCTATCAACAATATATATGAGTTATATGGCATGAATGATTCCTGGTCTGTTGTTAGCTAGTCACTATACAATAAAGATACATGTACCTACTCCTACCTCGTTTGTAGCTTTAATTGATGCCGCGTTCCAGGAAACATCAAATACCCCCATCACCACAGGTAACGATCCTCAACAAAGATAATCTTCATCATATCAAATCTTTATGTTTTAACCACTTGCTGTGCTCTATGTGGCTTTGTGATCATAAACCTTGTTATTGTTTTCATTCTCTGTCTTTCTCTCTCTCTCTCTCTGTCTTTGCTCTCATTGGCATTATAATTCTCCACATGCCAATCTAAAGAAGATACCTTGTCAGATAGATTATTCAGGAAGTAGATCCAAGTGAAGCCCTTTGAAAAATCCTGTGTTTTCCCAGATTATTTTCCTAGTTCCCCATTTATGCTGGTTGACAATTTCTAATGGCTCAATTTATTTTATATAAAAAGTTCAAATGGCCAACTTCTCACGATGGAGTTTTATTTCAATGCCTGTCTTACTTCCGGCTTTTATCGTCCCTTTTTTCTCAGAATCAAAATGTCATTATTGATAGTTTGTTTATTTGTTTCTTATCATCATCAATTTAAAAAAAAACTTGAGCAGATCTATCACGAATGGCAACATATAAGACGGACTTTAGGCAATATTAAGGATAAATCAATATTTGACAGTGGTTTTTATCCCAAAGATTTTAGACATTATTCTTGACCTTAATTGCCATGTTTATTTGTTTGTAAACAAATCTAGCACAGGAAATGTCAGAATGGCATGTGTTTGTATTGTTCATAACATTGTATTGACTTGTTCCTGTTGAAAGATATGTATGCTTCGGGGAAATAAACAAGATAAAATGCATGTTTGTCTCAAATTCAAAATGTATAGCTTTTTGTCTTCTATTTATAAACACTAGCAAAAAATGATATATTTGTAATTCTAACACTATCAAATGATTATCTTGTAATGTTTTTAAAGTTATTAAGGATGCCTCATAAGATTTGAATATTGAAAGTGGGATATTGCACTCCTATCGATTGGCTAAAATGTGTGACATTTTTATAATCTGAGTTTTTCCTATTATGTATGACTTCTTTAAAATAACAACTTCTTTCTGTTCCTTCATGATTTGAGGGGTTATACATTAATGTTAACACTTTGATATTATATGGCACTATACTTTATAGGTCTCTAATGATTTCATGTTATTATTCCTTGATTAATCATTACGTCTTCTCTCTCTCTCTCTCTCTCTCTCTCTCTCTCTCTCTCATATTTTTCAACACCTTTATCAAGAACCTTATGGATTTAAAATATTTTCTTCAAACACATTATCCACTAGAGTCAAAAGGTTGTCAAGTCATTTCATCTTACATACCACTAGTGTCTTTGTAGATCTCTACAGACAATATGTGGTGCTCCTTGTTGTATTCAGATATTACCATTTTCCTCCCATTTCAGTCATTATTCATGAGTATGAATGTCCTCTGTACATCTAGTTAGGTCAATGATATCAAATTGATTGTTCCATTAGAACTCATTAGTCCTCAAAGTTTTGGTCATGGTTACATAGGACAAAGTAGATACACATACGGATTGACTGATAATGTTTGATATAAACAAGAGGACAAGAAATAAATAAGATTCCTAACACATGCTCACAGCTTGTATTGATGTATATAATTGGTAGCTTTACCAAAGTCAGTTCTCCTTGTGAATATTTAAATCCTAATCCACATATGGCTCTTTTTTAACTCTATAACAATTCAGCCTTACATGTATGTTTGATATGTAGGCTAAACCAACACTTTTCTATAGTATGAGTTATGTGATCACCATTATTTGCAAAGGTGTATAGACATTATTGGCAGCTATGTCAAAGGAACACAGATCTGGGTTGGAAAAAAATGAAAAATATAATTAAAACAAATTTCATATCTGGTTTAATACCATTATATGTTTAAAAATGCATTTGCTTCTAGTATGCATGTACGTTGTACTGCGTAGCTTCTAATTCACATATAAAGTAGATTAATTGATCTGATTAAAAATGGAAACTAACTCTTAATTGAATGAAAGTGGTAAATGTAAATTAACACCCTATCTTTTCTAATCATACTCATTTGTAAGAAAGAAATGTAGATAAAGAGAGCAGAGTGAGAGAGAGAGAGAGAGAGAGAGAGAGAGAGAGAGAGAGAGAGAGATTGAGTGACAGAGTAAGAAGGATACAGACAGAGATAAGTAGTTATTAGAAAGATCATTGTGGTGCATCATATTTTCTCCTTTTTTTTCTTTCTTCGATGCAACAACTTTATGAAAGACATGCACTCTTTTGTCATTTGCTTCAAAATGGGAACTATACATCTAGACTATATACTATGATGATAGATATCCTTTGTATACACATTATGTTCCTGGAGTCTTTGTCTTTCACATGTCTTTCAACTTCCACATACAATCTTTCTCTTCCAGTTTAATACTTGTTTTTCTCACTCTGATGTCTGTATTATATTGCTACTTTCCTACTTTGTATAACATCTCTGTTTGTATTCTTTGAATCTCAAGTGATTCACCCTGGGAAAAATATTCGCTGGCATCAACTATTGAATGCTTTTAAAGTTTTTATTTCATCTCTGCCTGAAAATTTGAATTTCAAACCTCGTGATCCATTAGGTTTTTCTATAGAAATTTATCTTTACTTATTCAACATGGATTTCTTACCTTCACATTATTTTTAATCTTTGATGATGTTGCTGTGCTCACTCTTTCACCCTAGATTTGATAGCATTGCATGAGTTATTTGGCACCTAATGTTAATACATGTCATTAATGTCATATCCAATGCAGGGGCTGGTATTGAACTGGTACAAAATCAGTTTAATTGTTATCATTTAGTTTTTACTTACTACCACTGTCTTTAAAAGCGATGCATATTTAGAAAATAGAAATGTCATTTCATTAAGAATAAAACAAATGAACACATGTAATTGCACTGCAGGAATTACTTTTATTACAAGATGTATCCATTGACGATCTTCTTCTGTAGTATATAACAAATATTTCATAACTAACATACATTGAATTAATGACCAAGTAATTCATCTTTTTTAATTACTGAAAGTTAAGCCTTGGTGATTGTTCATACCAGTAACAGATACAGCATGGGCCATCTTTGTAAGATGTTGTCATCTCGTCTTTCAACAACTGATGTCAACCTGGAGTAAGGATTGTGGTGTTGCTATGGCAGCATTAGAACTACTCTCTGGGGTTGCTAGGATACCCATGAAAGTACAAGGTCAGCAAGTCTTTCTTTGTTAGTTGTTATGGATATGACTTATGGTAATGAATTAGAGGGGGAAATACACATTAATTGATATGCTAATGTATTCAAGTACAGATGATAAAATAAAATATGAAGATATAGAAGAACTTTAATGATTGATTACGAAATGCATTGTACTTTTTGCTGGTAATGTCAAAAATGTTATTGCAACATTATAAGTGATACATATCGTACCTCGTTTTATAATTCTTTACTCAAAAAGTTGTAAACTTGAATTCTGTTAAGATCTCTGTAAACGAGTTGTTCCTTGATGATCATAGCCCCTTCTACTTTGTAGGTCCCATCATATTTATCTCGGTTAAATCAGTTTTCTGACCACTTATCTTTATGTTATTTGTTATGTATTATTGATTGTTATTTTATCAACAAAAAACAAACAAACAAAAACTTGTACTTTATTTTGAAATGTATATGTAACATGAGAAATATGAAAATAATGAAATAAAATGAAATTTTAATTTTATGGCTCTGCACACAAGTTTTGTGCAGGATAGTATGGCTCTGTTAACTGTCATATCTCCATGTTATTTTATTCTTTGTTATAGATCCACTAGAATGCAAGAGGAATGTGAAGTGGATTTGTGATCATATCGCCAAGCAGTGCAATCAACCATCAGTATATCATTCAAGAGATCTTCATTCCATCATCGTAGCTGCCTTCAACTGTCTCACTGTATGGGTGGTAGAACATAGCTATCTGCTCAAGGATAGAGTAAGTTGGATTATATCAATAATACAAGTTTGATATCACAATACAACATTCCCATTAAATACAGTATAGACTAGAGCAAGCAGGATGAAGGATTCAGCTTTAATGGCTTGTGTCCATATAAGTCAGTCAATAACCACATACACTCTCCCACGGCATTATAAAATCCTATTATTTGTATAAAATGGATGACTCTTTTCACCTGCAAAGAGGGAATACTGTAGGGCCTCTAAATTGCTTTATATAATCAGTATAGATCTTCACACAATGGATCCTCTTGGTATCCGGAGTATATCCATTGAAAATTTATATTGTCAGCATTATCAAAGCGTCAAACTTCATGCAATAGCAACAAATCATCAGTAATTACTTGAAGCAAAATGGTGAAAATAGACATAATTGAACAAAATAAGTTGAAATGACTTCTTCATTCATTTCAATTACTGCATGATCATCAAGAGCAGATCTATGATTGTCAGTCTCTAGCAGTTTGCATGTTACTTTTTGTGTAATGATGAACGGTAATGACATCTAATTTCAGGAGACTCTTCAGATTGTATTGGAGGTAGTAGAGCTTGGTATCTCAGGGACTAAATCCCAACCTAAAGCTAGTATCCCAGCTGTACTCAAACAAGCCAAGGAACTCAAACCAACCTCCACAAGGGTTAAGAATGCTGCCCAGGGTGTGCTCTCATGTATCCTCAATCAACTGGTAGGTCATGCTTCTTACTATTCAGAGTGTTTGAAGGATGAATTGGTGTAGTTTTTATTTTGTTACTTAGGCATGTACACATAACCTGATTCTAGTATCTGTGGATTATGTATTAATCCCTAATTCTCAAGATATATAAAGCTTTTATTTGAAGGAATGGAAGTGTATCTTTCCAATTCAATTTCAATTCAATTTGTTCAATTTCAATTTGTTCACATTTCCCAAAAAACATTACAAATCAATTATAAACGTTTACAACAATTTAGGAATACATATTGGAAACAGAGGGGTCCACTAAAAAGCAATGCTTGTACAAGTGTGGACACCTCAATATGATACTGGGAATAATGAGTAATTGAATTAACAAGTCCGTAACTAGTGTGTTCAGTTGGTGTCCTCATATTTAATGATAGTTATCTTTGCTTCAATAGCTCAAGTATGTGGAATATTTCTGATGCTCATATTAAAAGCATCATTATATGGTTAATAATACTCATTTTAACTTCATACTTTTTAGACTTAAGTAATTTTGTGCTACCTAAGATTTGTGAATCATGGGCAATACACCAGTTTACGGTTATGGGCGCCATTTTAATTTACGGGTTAATAAACCATTGACCTCTAGAGGTCAGTGGTTTACGCGTAAATTAAGATAGCGCCCATGCAAATATGATGTGAGGGCACAGCGCAGGCAGTGTCATCAATGTTTTCAGATGCGCATATAATGTTGCGTCACTGCCTGCACTGTGCGCTCACATCGTATTTGCATGGGCGCCGTCTTAATTTACACGGAAACTGACCTCTAGAGGTCAGTGATTTGTTTACCCGCAAGTTAACCGCAAGTTAAAATGGCGCCAATGTCAGCGCATGCACACTGTTGTAACCGTAAACTGGTGTATTAACTTTCCTAACCTTTTCTCTTGTGTCTTGAAGGGTTCCTTCCCAGCCCCATGTGGACCATCTACAGTAGTCTCTCTCTTAGATGAGACCTCCCTACTCAAGTACGTTGACCTTCCTAACCCTGAGGTCAAACCAACATTCAAATATTTTGTGATGGATAACTCCATCCTACTTGCCATGCTAGAGGAGCCTCTCAAGTTTACCAAAGGTACTTTCTGTTCTTGTGTGTTTATGGGATTTCTTGAATATTTGTTAAATGTTTTTATTCAAAGATTATTTCATTCTGTGAATCAGTATATTTATGAAATGGTTTCTTGTAATATTGTCAACTCATACTCTACTTTCTTCACAACACTTTTATTTGTGCATAAGGCATCATAACTGATGAATTGATTCCAGTATTTGTTGTTGTTGTTGTTGTTGTTATTGTTGTTTTGTTTTCTATGCTTGGAATGCAAACTAGGGGGAAAAAAACTCTTTAACAACAAAGTCTGCTTTCTACTGAAGATCTTAACAAGAATATAATATACAAACATTTAGTTTGCTCATTTAGTATCCTTCCGCAAACTACACACCTGTGAACACAGATTTAGGCAAAATTATACATTTTTTCCCTAATGTTAATTTATTGTATATGGTAATATCTTTCATAATTTCTATTGTATTTTCAGAGTTACTGCCAACAGTGACAGTTATCATCCGTGGTCCAACTGGTCGTCATGTTTGGACCTTCCAGCTTCGTCATTCATCCAGAAAAGATAAGGTTAGAATCATTTCATTCTGACAGAAAGAATCTAATTTATCTCTCATAGTAATATCAAAATTGTGCACAAACTAGTGGTTAACATAAAAGTATTTCACACAATTTTAAATCAGAAAATAAAAATAAAATACACCAGCTTTGAGTCTTTGTATAAGATTCTATTAGGATGATTGCTTTAAAAAAATTATTTTGATTTTTGATTCTGATTTTGATTTTGATTTTTTTTTTTTTTTTTTGTTTAAATACATTTTATTAGATAATCTGAGATGATATTGTTTGAAACTAGTCTGTTTACATTGAGTTCTAATGTTGATTGATCCATAGGAAACAGCTGAAGCTCGTTTGATCTACCCCGAGAGACCTCAACCTAATGATAGTATGGGAACACACCATGAGATTACATCCAAGTACTTTCCAGATTCTATCAACAAGATTCCAATCACCAAAGCGTAAGAACTCTCCTACCATTATTACATAATTTTCTTTTACACTCCATTTCCATATTGCATTTATCATAAAGTTATTATTGTGATGTGAAGCACATACTCTTGTGTTGTGAGAGTACTTGGGGGGAAATACAGAGATCAATCTTATGGTGAAATATGCTTTGTTTGATAATTGAAGATTAGTAATTTATCAACACCTTGAAAGTGTACAGCCTAGAGTGCATTGGCTTTGTATTTCATTTGACCAAGTGTTCTATACATGTAAACATTCTACTCTAATATTTCTATGTTGAATGACATACATGTAAGTAAAGTGTCAGTAGATTGGTAGGACTCATTATACAGCCAATATTACGTGTATGTCATTGAAGACGTTGCATCTGATTGGTAGATTTGATTTGACTACCTAATGATATCAGGGTCCTTTTAAGTCAGGATTTTTTTTACAGCAATTATGTGCATTCAAGATCAAGGTTTTCCAAAAAAAAGATTGAAGAAAAGCAATGAGGCGAAAATTCCTTTAAATGAAGGTAATTTGCCATGTCATTGTAATAGGTATCATTTGTCATATTGTCTTCAGAATCTGTAGTAAATCATATATTATTTATTTACATCTCTTATTCCCAGGGACCAAAGCATACCTAGCCTGGATGAGATTGAGACAGAGGAATCTCATGAAGATCACGTAACCTTAGGTAAACTACTCCAAGATCAGATGGAATATGAGAAGCTTGTAAGTGATACAGCGCATGAAGAGACTGAGAGAGTTAGTTATCCTAATCCACAGACTGAATCCAGACCACCTAAACCATGTACAGAGTTCAGTCCAGCTAGACTGCTGTTATCACATCTAGGATATCTCAACATAGAAAGCTTACAGGTAGGTTCATTCTGTGATCTCACAGATAAAACTTCCTATTTTGAAACTCAACTGACATTTACAACAACAAAAATCAACCATTATTAATCTAGCATGAAATCATTTTATGAAAAAAGGGTCCTAGTGATGAAGAAATGGAATACCAAATGATCTAGTAAATATATCTTATGACAGAAGGAGAACAACAGGACACTACATGTAACATATTTCTTTCCAATTTCATTTTGCTACTTAAACTGTACTTGAGCTTTAATGTTGATAGTTTATATGTTATTGAGCTTAAACATTCATTTGATGCAGGGCCCTGAGAATTCAAGTCTTCCTCCAGCATTGGTAGCTATAGATGATACCCAAGCTGGTTTCACCCCTGACCTACTTCATCTTGATGAGATACCAAGCAGAACCTTTGATACAGCATTCATCTTCTATGTGAAAACTGGACAGAAGAAAGCTGAAGACATTCTCTTTAATGTGGTGAGTAACCTATTTCCAGTAGCCCTGATTTTTGTTAATTTGATTGTGTGTTTTTTTAGTTGTTACATTCAGAGATGGCAAAGAGTCATATCACTCCATCTCACATGAGGAAGACAGTTTAAATATAATTGAGTTGGAAATTCTTACTTTCTTCTCCAAGTGTTAAGTTACTTCCTGCATCCCCTCTCTGATGTATTGTCATCTAATCTTTTGTTATTTTGTGAAGACATTTGTCAGGAGCTTGTGCCTCAAGTAGTTTTTGTTTTGTTTAGTTTTAATTAAAAGAATAGTCAAGTGTTATTATCATTGTTATTGATATTAAATTGATGTAACATGGCTAATAATGGCTTTTGGTTTCTCTTTCATATCTAAAAGAAATCTAAGGACAATGTACAATATCAGTTCCTTGAGTTTCTGCAAGCCCTTGGATGGCCTGTTGTGATTGGTCAGCATGCTGGATGGACAGGTCACATGACTACATCTTGGAAGATACCAGACTTTGATGCTAACACCAAGACTCAGAGCAATGGTATGGATTACAGTATACTACACAATTCACTCCTAGATACTTATCAAATGATTAATCTAATGTAGTCGCATTTGATTAATTTGCTAAGACTATCTCACCTTTTTAAAATTAAATAGCATCTTAATAGTTTCGAGTACTATCCAACAATTTGTTAGTACACAGTTTAATTGACATTGTTAATTAAAGGGACTAATCTATAATGTCTCCTTGTTTTATCAAGCAACAAGAAGCTAGGAGTTTTGCTGTATAAAACAAATGATGCATGTTTTCATTCATTCATTAAATTATCTATCCACTGTCATTGAAGCTGTATGCATCTTCTATACTCGACCTTTCAACTTGGTATGAAAGATGCACACATCATCAACTCGAGTAGAGATAGATTGTATAATGAAATTTTGTGCATGTATCATTTGTATATTGCATCAATGTAGGATTCATTACGTTAGCTATTTTTTTCTATCATAAAATTGTCATGGAACTTAAAATTGAGAATATAGTTGGGTTACATTTATGAATGTATTGCTGATAACACAAATAATAATGTAGTACATGAAAATGATAGTCCAAATAGTCCAAATTAGATCAGTAAGGCTTAAACTGAGCCAAATGATAACTTTTCATTGAGACGTAAGAAGACCTATTTATATATCTAAATATAGCTGTTCAGTTAATAGGTGATGTAATCTGTATAATTTAGTACTCTGAAACCATTTGAATTAATCTTTAAACATGTATAATATAAATGAGTTGCATAAATCCCATTGATTCAATCTTATTTGATGATGTCCACAGGTAATGTAAAGGAAGAGTTGAGTCATGGAGGGAGTCTGTACAGTGGGAAGAAACAAGTTCTTTACTTTGCTGACTTTTCATCAGAGATTGCCTTTGTTGTTCCAACCGATGATGAACCCAAAGTAGCTTCAAATGATGGTAAAACTTGTCTGTATTATTTCTTCTTTATATGAACTATTTTAGATTTGTGAGTTTCAGTTGCTGTTAATTTCCAGTCAAGAGTAAGATGCTTTTTGATAATAATAATAAATAATAATAATAAAAACGTTACTTATAAAGCACTTACCAGCGCTTGATGGGATTGTTAAAGAAAAAAATCTTTTCAGATTTTGTTCCCAGTTGTTGATAAATTGCAGGTATGTGCATGATTCAAATTAGCATGTGCAACTGTGCTTTGCGTAATGCCAACTTTTTGCCGGGGGTTCACAAATTCTATAAACCTCTGTTGTTTACAAAGTGAGAGATGGCCTCAATTTGGAAGTTTCTGTCAAATACTTGAAACATGGATGAAATATGAAATATCTGGCACGTGTACAGAATGAGACCATACTCAACCAAGTTTGATTGAAATGTCCTCTCTACCAGGAGTTCACCTTATCTTTAAGGTTGATATAGTATGATCAACATGCATTGATGCCTCCCTGTTTATGTATGTATGACTGTGTTTATTCCTACTATAAAGATGCCACCCAGCTATCGCCAGTCCCTGAAGAACCTAACCCTGCACAACCCCCATCCTCATCTACCCAACAAGGTGTTCAACCACGTCCTGCAGACCTAGAGGCTAGTGGATCCAGTAGTAACAGCTCCTTAGCTGGATCCTTAGCAGGCTCCTTGGAGCGGCCATCAAGGAAGTTCTCCACTAAGGGAGTCAATGCTACTCCTCCTGAACTCAAGGTCTTAGTTGTATGGCTGGAGAACTTTGAAGATCATCAAACTTTCCCCCTTGGTAAGCTCCTCCTTTGTCTTAGTCATGTAACATATTAGTAACATATTATACACTTGGTACCTGATCAGACAGGTATTCATTTGTTCAAGGTTTTATTTCTTCAGAGATGTAGAGGTAGAGGCAGTTTACACTAGGTTTAGGGTTATGGTTAAAGCTTAGTGTTGAGTCCATGGTTGATGTTAAGTATATTTGAATACAATTGGTCGAAAATTGTTTGAGTGTCGTTGGACCACTCCATATTTGACTTAAAACCACTAGAAGTCTTCTTATTTCTAGTCTGTTTAGTAAATATAAAAAAACCTTCTAGAGTGGTATCGATCTGTTTGTCAGACATGTATACTGCAGATTAATTATTGGCCCATGTCACATGTGGTATTGTTTTCAAAAAATGTGAAAGGCTGCTCCACAAATTCTCATTGCAGATAATGGTAGAGTCAATGATATCATTTCGATTATTGTAGTCTTGTATGGGGAGGGGCTAGCTCGTGTCATTTAAACAGGCTATATACTTTACAAAAGAAAGCCATTCATCTATGCTCAAACTCCCATTATCTTGCCCATACCCCGCTGTTGTTTAAGAAACTGAAGATATTAAATTTCTCTGATAATATAACAATTAAAACAGGAGTCTTTACGTACCGTTATTCAAATTTTTTGTTACCATCCGTGTTTGATAATTACTTTGTTACAGTTGACAAGAAACATAATGTTAACACAAGACAAAAAAATAAAATTTTCTTGCCATATGCACGTTTAACCCTTACTGTACTGGGGGGGGGCCTGGGAGGCCCCCCCCTCAACATTTTCGGAGATTGCGCCGCAACCGCTTGGAATTTTGAATAGTCGTTTCATGACTTTTTTCCCTCAAGTCTTACGCACATTTTGATACCATTTTCGTCGAAATCGGATATACCTGTAAGGCGTTACATAACAATTAGTATGCGCATGTCATCAAAAAAAAAAAAAAAAAATTAAAAATCGCATCAAAATTTGCATAAATTATCATTATTAATTACATTAAAATAACTTTTTTGTGTTAGAAAAGAAGTTTCATATGAATAATGAGTTTCAACATTCAAAAAGTGGAGTTTGACACGTTTTCTGTAAAATGCATAAAATTAGCGCATTTTGCATAATTAATTAGGCTAACAAAAAAAATTTGCATATTCGGAAAAAACTAATTATACCATCTTGTTCCTTATGTAAATATCTACAAATATGCAAATTTTCGTGTTCATCGGACAATCGACGGCCGAGATCATAGGGGGGGGGGGGCCTCCCAGGCCCCCCCCCCCCCCCCCCCCCAGTCAGAGGCTGCTCAAAATAGCCCAGTACAGTAAGGGTTAAAGTTACGAAAGGTAAATTCTATTCAACAAAAAGGAGGGAAATTATGGAATAATATTGACAACTCAATCAAACATGTGACCACTCTCAGTTCTTTCAAGTCGAAATTCAAGTTGCGTCTTCTTGCCACATATATATGACTTCCTATGATGCATACAATTACCATATAAATGATGTCGTTCTGTATTATTATTGTGTTTTAGTTTGTAATGTCCTGTATACGTCTTGCATTTTGTTTTATTGTGAATTTTAATGTTTTGTATTTTCCACATTTGTCATTTATGTTATGGGTCCACCCACTTCTCTCAAGCCATCGGCTTTATCGGGTGTTAAACGATCCAGTACAATTCTCAATGTATATATATTGTATGTGATTTTTTATGAAATAATAAATTGAATTGAATTGAATTGGTCAGGGGTGAATAATCGAGAGTGTTTCTTTCTTACAGCTGATCTGCTCCACAAGACAAGTACAGGCTCTGAAAACCTGACAACCAGTAACAACTCATTAAGCAAGACACCTGAACCCTCTATCATGATCATCTATATACACCTACTCAAGAGTGGACTCTTCCGTATTCATATACAGAGCAGGTAAGGGCATGGGATTGATCCATTAATTAGATAGGGAAATGAATTGTGATGTCCCTTGCTGTAGTTACATCATTTTAACGTATAGGCGAGAAGAGAGATTTTTTATTCTCATCACTTCAACTGATGAGAATCACATCACTTCAACTGATGAGAATAAGTCAAAAGCGTTTGTGAAGTTAAAACCATGCTCCTTTTGTGTGCATCCTGTGTAATGTTGCGAACTATATATATTTACTACACATATATATATGTACAGGTACGAGTAGTTTCTAGCTCAAAAGAATCCATTGAAATTCATGAGTTTCATTCGTTTGATTCCTGCTGTGGTCAAGTATTCTGCCAGCATTGTGAAAGCAAGTTTTAATCATCACACCATTTATAAGTCTACTGCCAAACTGTTTCTATAAAATCTCAATAATTTGCTTTACTTGATAGAATAGTATATCATGTTCCTGTATTGTCTTGTTCTCTTCTAGTTGTACACTAGCTATCCCCTTGGTTGATGGTATGGTTGTGAGTAGGAGAACACTAGGGACGTTGGTCAGACAGACGGTAGTTAACACATGCAATAGGAAACGCCTGGAGAGTGAAAAGTAAGTACTTCATTCTCTTCTTCACTTTCACTTTCACTTGTCTCCACTCAATCTAGATTATTGTTTTGCCGAGTAATGAATATTAAAAAGGGTTGCCAGTTAAAGTGAGTGAACCTTTAAACGCAATTGCATGAACAATTTTCTTATGGTATATAAATGAAATAATTCTCCATTTTGTATTCATTATTACCGGTATATATATATATATATATATTTTTTTTTGGGGGGGGGGGAGAATTGGCGGGGAGACATGTTTTTAACATGAATTTGAAACATATGAGATTTTTTGCTTCTTGGGGGATTTTTTTTTTTTTTTTTACTTGTGAGGGGAAATTACACCTCAGCTACAGCTCTGGGAGTTTTTTATTTTCATAGTCATGAAATAGACAAGTAAACTATTAAAAGTTGAATCGTAATGATATAAAATGGGGAGAATCTTAGTCTCATACTTTGGCTTTATACTGTTTATGCAGGTACTCCCCTCCTCATGTACGGAGACGTCAGAGAATTCAAGAGATGGTTCAGAAGTACCAACGAAAGCAGAGTGTTTCAGAGTTCTATACCAGTCTATTTACATCTTGAAACCAAGAGCTCTGAACATTACTTGATGTGATGGACTTCTATGTTAGACAGGGAAGATGAGATTGTCTCCATTACCGGTAGTTTCAGATCGATGCATCCTCTACCAGTTTCTACAAATCACAAAACCCAAGGGTTGGGCCAAGGGATAGATAGGTATTAGTATATCTATAACTAAGATGAATTTGTACTGGTCCGTTTCTGGTAGGAAATGGCAGCTAGAAGGCTAGTTTCCATTTCTTCCATCAGAGCAGAGGATAACTTGTTTTATGTTGATAGTGAAGAAGATGGAACATGGGGCTACCTGTATAGCAAACCATTAGTCATTGAGGACTGTGACCGGTGTAGCACTGGTGATCTATACACTCTCTAGTCCTTGATAGTAACCAATGTTTATGGCATGAATATATCTCTTTACTTAATTTGTTGCATTAAAACATGTATTCAGAATCTTTAGCTATTGTGAATATGTACTTATGATGACCGAGCTTAAGAACAAGGCATCTGTAGTCTATTTCAGTTGTATGCAGTGCCATCCTTGGCACAACGTGGGTTGGAGATTGCCCTTACTCTCTCTCTCTCTCTCTCTCTCTCTCTCTCTCTCTCTCTCTCTCTCTCTCTCTCTCACTCACTATCGTTTTCCACCTCCTAATGAATGAAGGCTAATGTCATGTTGATCACAATTTCTGAGCAATTTTGTTTAAAGTGCTCCAGCTTCTCACACTCAAAGTAAGAACATACATAAGATACCTTGCCTGGAGTGGGTGACCTTGACTGATCTCTCATCGCTCTTTGATGAAGGACACCAGTCATTCTGTTGTACAGATTCATGGATTGAGACCCCTTGTTTTTCCACAATCAAATACGCCTATTCCATCTGTCATTTCCCTCACCTGACATCAACCTCGGACACTTCATCCATAAGCACCAGCTCTTTTACGCTATGTCAAGGCCATCCATAAATTGTTTGTTGAGTTTGCTGGTATCATTTATAGTACTCCGTAGCCAACCTGATATTTGCTAATCTCATAAGAGTATATTGATCAGCCTCTTGATTAAGGCGTCTCTGGCAAAACTTTAAGCAACCCGTCTTTATGATTAAACTCTGGTGGCCACGACAATTTACCTGCCCACCCAATCCATAATACTTCCATCTGCCTCTGCCTTGCCAATGTGAATTTCATCTGGGAAGCTTCTAGCAAGTCCCTCAACCCATATCTTTTATATTATTTTTGACCAAATCAAAATACTCCAGGTTCAGGTCTCTCTGTATTGTACTCAGCGGTGGCTTCTAAGACACTTGAACACCAGTGGAGCATTGATCATGCCTCTCTGTTTCAGATCATGTTTTTCAATATGTAATAGTCTCTTACCTATGCCAAACCAGATGTCCAATCAAAATTGTATTGTTGCGAACAGCATGGCACTGATAGAATAACGCACATGCACGGGCAGGTCTTCTTGTGATGAAACTATTAGTAATTCTTTCAAGGGAAAGTAATTCACATCTTGGGCTAGCCTATTTACAATGTATATATCATCATTTAAGTTACCGGTATACACATTTCAGATATGATTAACAATAGAGGCTTCTTTGTATTGACATTTACTTTTCCCATTTGGTTTGAGGGATTATAACAATTCTTGTTTGCTGCTGAGGACATAAAATATTTTTGTAGAGATATTTTCAAACAAAACGATGGTAAGTTTGTAGAATTTGATCCTTCACCAGGCTTAGCTTTGCATGATATATTTCTGTACAATGTTAAAGCATATTTCCTAAATTTCTGACTGAAGAAGCCCAGCTATTTACCCGAGATATTATGTTCAGTGGATTAAAATGAGTAAGTCCAAATAGAAGTTTCATTGAAGGGACCTCCCTTTCAGTTGACAAAACTGCACATCTTAGGAGGCAGTAATCTTGCCGACTATGGTTTAGTCTTCTTTTTGTTTGTCATTCTTTATGAGAATTTTGGTAGACAAGACTGTTTGAAACTTTCTGCCTTGAGATGGGAAAGATGGAGTGAATCAAGTTCACTGTTGGTGAAAATTAGTCTAAAGTGTATATGCTATGTCATGTTATAATGTGCAATCTATAATAATGTTGTTTTGTATCTCTGAGAGTGCATGTAATAATACTATTGTATAGCTGTAATAAAATGTATTATCTATTCACCTAAATACCATGTTTAACATATTGTTTATCTGTATTGTGTCTTAGATTTGCTGACTTGTAATACTTTCTTCTCCAAAATGCTCAACATATTCTCTCGATTATAGTAAAGGCTTATAAACTTATTACTATTACATTCACCTGTTCATATTAATAAACTTCAATTGCAGACTGGATATGTATCGACTTGTTACAGGTGAATGTAGTATGTCACTATGCAAAGCATTCATAACTTTAAATGAATAGCACACAAAAAAGGATACAAAAATAGTCTATTGTCATTTTCCAGAATATTTCTATATATCATAAATATTTTGTGTTCCTGTCATTTTTTTTTTTTTTGAGGGGATCATGCTCCGAAACTTGCATATGGTATGTTTGGAGCTAGAAGGGCATTGACTGTGATATATGAGTTAGTGATCTTCTGGCTCCAGACAGACTATATGATCATACAGTACTTCAGTATAAGTACAATACAATGAACTGTATCCCATCACAAGTCTTTCATCAATTTACTTCTAGAAATGAATAATCTCTTGATATGACCATTGAGTAATGGTAGCAATATCATAAAGAACTATTTAACAATGGTCACATTGAAATATATTTAATTTTGGAAGAAATAAAGAGATAGAAGACATGTCACATGGGAAAAACATCTCTCATAATTTCTGAATAAATTTGTTGTAGTTTGCCATCACTGTATGTTTTCCTTGTACCTCACAAACAGATCAACCAAACTCAATAATACACCATTCATGACATTGAAATCACACAGAACACAAGGAAGAGATTAGATGTCTTTGTGGAGAAGTTAGATACTACAGCCAGTTTTAATTTGCCTCATTCAGGTTAAGACTTTGATTATGTAACAAAGTTTCACCAAAAAAGTAAATAAAACAAATAATCATCACCATGCAAATGTTCACTTTGACCAAATCCGCTCTCCATTATAAAAATTTACAGGTTTCTTAATATTTCGTTCAAATCACCAATCAAAAAGAACAAATTAATCCTATAAAGATCTGAACAAGCCATGTGTGGAGACATGTGTGAGCAAGGTTTATTTGGCACATCATCCATACCTTCCTATAAACACAATCCTTAGTGTGCAAGAACCGGACTTAAACCATTCAGATAACACTAAACGGTACAAATCTGGATTTAAAAAACATGAGGGAAAAATCTCACACAAGATCTGCCAACCACAATAGAGCCTTGACGTTAAAGCCAGAACATAGTACTCTTCCAAGTTTGTGAATACAATGAAGAGCATACTCATTTACCGTAATGTGGAATCTGTTGTTGAATGAAGTCAATAAATACATAATGGTGGTAAAAAATATAACTTGTCTTGAGCAAATAGATCTCATTAAAACAAAAATACATGGAAGCAATTATCTGATGCAGTAAAACTGCCACTATACACACTACATACCAATGGTTACATCCTCTTTCTTCTTACCCTTCATTCCCCCTCAATCTTATGAGAAAAAGAAATTGTGTAGATAGTGTAGACTTGTAACTTGAAAAGCAATCACAAAGTCATTGGCAAGGTTAATTGCTGGGTTCCTATCTGATTTCTTTCCTATTAAACTTTTGCTTACATGTCATGGCAGTAGAAAATCAAGATTCTCCATCTCACCATCTCTCAGATTATCTTCAGACAAAACCTCTCAAAATATACCTGAAAATAACATAAGTTTTACTGACTAACTTCATAAACGGATGAATATCTGAATAAGATGACAAATGGTGCATGAGAAGAGTTATGATGAGAATTCATCACAAATAAAGGGAAACGTTATCAATATTCTTACATCATTGGGTTCATTATGGATAGAATCCAGCATTATAGCCAGCTGTGAACATAGAGGAATAGTGATGAAGTGTAATACTTTTCAGCAGGTTGGTGATTTATGTGTTTGAGTGTAGAATAGGAAGAGTAAGTATATGAATATATTGGCACAATGACCAGGTTTTATAAAGTATTTATTGATTGTGGAACATTTTATTCAGAGGACCAAACATGGCAGATCAACATGGTTTATCACAACTGCATTAAACATCGCTAATCATATATAAATAACGAAGGATATACATTACATGTATTCACTAGTAAATACTCTGAATAAAAAAGAAAAAAGATGTGGGTATCTCGTTATGTGCATACATCGTGTTCATATATTCTGTATACAGAGCAGGCATAGAAATTCTTGTAAATACAATTTTCAGGTGTGTATTTCCATAGTGTACATACATGCTCACTTTGTAAAAAGGTATATCATTGGACTTATACAGAATAATACATACATGTATAGACATTACTTACCTATGTACAATTATATACACTTGCAGACAAGGATACATGACCTTCAATATTATCAATGAGAATCACATTTATGAAAATATATTCAATACAATATGATTGGGTCAAAGCTAGTGAGGTGCCATTACTTGGTGTAATCTTACAGGGTGCCTAAGCAATAAACTTCAAAGTAAATGCATGATGATGATAATGATGATGATATTGACAACATAGGATAGGTATCAAAAGCAGCATGCAGGAGCATTTATCACTCTGTTGCAATCAGTTGCCTTAAACTCAAGGGATGGGGTGGGTATCGCACAATAAATAAAACACTTAATGCATCACCTAGAGAAAATGAAAAGTTGAGAGACTTGATTGTAAGGATATAAAGTTCATTATATATATATACAGATATATCTATTTACATAAAAATTGAGAGCCATCATGAAATTAGTGAGCAAATTTTCAGTAAAAATGTGTTGGCCGTTTACACACTGACTAAAAGCCTAAGAAGAAAAGGGGAAATGTATATAAAACCGTTAATCAATACATGAGAATTCTACATGACAAAGTAAAACATCCATTTGACAAAAATTCCAAGAAAATATATATTTATAAAAAATGTTGTCTTCATTATCAAAGTCATCAAGCATTCCAATTCAATTACCTCCTAAGCATAATTACAGTTATTGCAAAGAGGTTTACAAAAAAGAAGGATTGCTGAATCGTTAAGAAACAAACAGCTGGGCACCAGTATTGACTTCCTCCTTCCACTAAGCCATTAGCATCCATCTTAGAGCTTGGTTATGATTCATCATAGTCGCCTCCATACAACCGGCTCCTTGCTAATCAGACAAGTCCATCATCTATGACAGCAGTAGGCAAGGACTGACCACAGCACTGACCACAGGACTGACTGACCAAACAATGATGATATATCACCACGGATGGAAGCTGCTAGGGTATCGCTGGCAGTGTTATGAAGGTGGGAAGCCAAGGAAGAGACTGAGCAACCAAGTGGAAAAGATATTGCTTCATCTCTATACATTCTACCAATGTCACTTTAAAATCTTTCAGATTAGCAATTTGCATGTATTACTTGTCTGCCTGGTAATGGAAGTCTTTGCCAGACTCGCATCAAAGCCATTTTCCATACCCATCCTTCAACCAAGAATGTATCAATCCTACTCATACAAACATTCCATTGTGTTGAGATACTTTATGCACATGCTCGAATTTAATTAAAGGCCCAATTCTTTTTCACTTGATATTACCAAGGATGTGTGTGTGTATACGTGATGCATCATGAAGCATTACCTTATCCCTTCTCCTTCCCTTCCGGCCACATATCTCAAAGTCCACTACCACCATTCATTCTCTCTCCCTTGAAGAGAAGAGGAACTCTAAATGTTTACTCGAGAACGCCGGACTCTGAACCTCCCGTTAGCTTCATGAACATGTCCATGTCAAGCACCTGGTTCTTATCTTGCTTGCGTAGCGCCAAGAAGATAGATCCACCAATGTACTCATGGACGATCTTACAATCGCAGGTAAGACAAGCCATCTGAATCTGTTCATCCTCCATACCAATGATCAGTTCTCTTGTCTCCCAGTTCACGTTCCAGTGAGTCATTGTGCTGTAACGCCATGTCTTCTGAAGATCACCTGTGTTGATGTCCATCTTGATCATGCGGTTATAAGCCAAGCCAAGCAGCTCCTATCAATCAAATATAAAAAATATCACATTTGTGTAAAATTAATGGCAACTGACATTTCTACATTGTCAAAGAATGACCACAAACTAAACAGAGAGCACATTTTCAATGAGAAAAATGCAAGATTCAACCTTTAGAAATAGTCATGCATGGTAGGGAAAGTTTCCTTTGGAATATATGGGCCTCCTTTTATATCTTTTTTAAAAAAAAATTAGAGATGGTACTCTGAAACCGATTTTATCTTTAATTTCAGGGAAACTTATTGTAAAATATCTGAATTAAGATGCATCATTGCTTAATGTCTGCCTAACTAAATATAGTTCAGAAGACAACGGCACAAAATCCAACAAACGTTTTAAGTTTGTTACGACAATAATGATTCCTTCACTGAATACAAGTCTGATAATCTTTTAAACCCTAATACCCAGGACTAAATTCACATGTATACACAAGATCATGAGTGTAATTAGGTATACATTTATGTTATTAATGTTTATAACTGTGAAACATAAGAAAAGACAACCATTCCCAAATTGATACTTCCCTAATCAAGGCCAAATGTTGGTTTATGATTACAACATAACATTTATCAGACTTTAGTTTCATATATCTGTATGCAAAACCACAAGTTTATTCCCTTGATATAACTTTCCCACATGTTTCCCCTTAATCACTGCTGATATTACAACATAACCGAGGAAAGGAAATAATTATATAAACAAATTTTTGAGCAGAGGAAATCATGCGGTCTCAAATTAATATGAGTCTTTGGCATAGTGCTTGCTGTAGTGACATGGCATAATATGAGCTCCAGTTATCCAATCAATCTACACGTTGACTCATTCAAAAGGAAGTTCCAATTAGCAGGATTTTCCTTACATATTAGTTTGGCTGATGATATCAAAACAAGAAATGCCATGTCTGTCTGATTTGGTTAGAGGATTTCTATCAGGGTTTTCCATAAGTGTATGCATGATTCACTTTGTGCAATGACTCAAAATAAATAAATAAACAGATATGAAAATAACTAAGTAACTAAATTGATAAAAAAAATAAATACAAAATGAATAGATGGATGAATAAATTTAAAAAAATAGATGAAATAAGCAGCTTGGTTGATTTTGCACAGGGTTGTCCGACTATTCCTAAATAATCTTTCAAAACCATACAGAGACAAACAATGCGAAATATATTAGAGGAAACCACTGGACCATAATTCTGAAAATACATTTATTTATGGCATTCCTTTCTCATTGTTTGATCACATGGTCTAAATATATCTTGCACAAACTGAATCATTGGAAGCATGCATCATTGCATACATTCCTGGATGGTAAATGATATCCTTAATGGCCATCATACCTGACAAAAATCACTGTATCAAAGCACTATTTTTCAGATAGCAGGTGTTCATTGTACCTTCCATGTACATATCAATTTACACAAAAAGGAATGCATTGATTTGGAGTTGATATAGGAGGAAATTATGCATTTACGTCATGGAATGTTTCCAAATTTGGAAAGGTGAAAGTACTAGCTCATCACCATGTGATAAATACTTAAAGGGAGAATAGAATCATGGTTAGATTTGATTTGTTTAAAGGACAACATTATGGGGGAAATAGTATACAAATATACAATGACACTCGAGGATCTAGCTGAGATGGCCCGAAGGAGAATAGTACTAATGATGTTCCTGAGTGCGAAAAGTTTTAGCTTGTTCCGAGAATGAGTCATTTTATATTTGTAATATATCTCACATTCAGAAAAGAAATAAAAGAAAATTGCACGGCTCAAATAAAAGGATGTTTAGCTGGTCCATGCCACCTATACAGGTTCTGCATTAGTGTAGTGCAGTTTACGCACTGAATAAATTTTATGGCTTGAGCGCCGTGACACTGCACAAGTGGCTGTGCGCATGCATTTGAAATGAGGGGGGGGGGGGGGGGGGGGGACGCGCGCGCGCATAGTCCCTTTTTTCCCTAGGGAAAAAAGGTACTATGCGTGACGTCAGCAATAAAAGATGAACTATTCCGACACTTCTAATGCAACAATCTTACGATAAGGGATATAATACTGATTATCCATCTTTCCAGAAACTATTTGGTAGAGGGTAGTTACAGACCCACCCAAGCAAGATACTTACATCTTTCCTAGTGCCATGTGTGCGTACTACAAAGAAGGTGATGCCATACTCTGGGAGTGCTTGCCATGCCTTGATGTAGTTCAGTTTAGCATCAATGAGTGACAAGGTTTGTAGTCCTGAATGGGCATCTAGGATACTCCTGGCAATCTGACATACAACAAAACAAAACATAACAAATTATATTATCAGATCATGATTCTGGTAGCACAGTTCACCTGTATACTGTATTGCCATACCATAGACATCACAACAACTTACACGCAACTGCCTGTGAATTTTACTCTTCATTTAAAAGATACAATGATTTCCATACCTACCTCACTTGCTTTCATCTACATCTACATGTTACTTGGTTGACAATTACCATTTTAATCATACACCGTAGTAACATCTTTAAGCAATGTACAGCATCATTATCATTACAACACCTAAACTTTGATCAGTTGAGCATTACTTTTCTAGCATACAGATGGTAGTTAAAGTTTAAGTTGTACTATTGGTGAGCTTACCTCTTTGGCTTTGTATTTCTTGAGTGCTCTAGGGCTGACAAAGTTCTCTGGCTTGAGTTCAGGCATATCAGTGGGTATGATAGGGTTGTTACTGTCCTTCTTACTCTGTTGCATGCTCAGGAAAGCTTTGATTTCTTCTACTTCTAATGAGTATGTACTATCAGCCATTGATTTACCCTTGGATGCCAGTCTACATGCTGCCATCCACTTGGCATACTGATCCTCCTGTATAAACACACCAACAAGGAACATTAATGCTAACTACTTTCAAACTGCTGTTTTTCAGTCACATATTATTTTCACAGTTAATGAAAATAGATACAGTATTAAACTGGACATTATGATAAAATGGTTACTATGCTTTATATACTCAAAAGGATGTAAAATAACATATTAACTACTTCTGTCAAATTGCATTAAATTTTCATATAATGAATCATTATCATGCAAATTCAGAGGCTTACATAAGGCTGGGATACTGGCTCACAGGTATGTTTTAATTCTTGATATTCATTAACAGTTCATATTTTGTTCTGGAGATTATATATATACATATATGAAGTTTCAGAAATATTTATCCATTTCAACCAAACACAAATATTAATTTCTAAGTCTTTAAACTCCAAAACTTATTATACAATAGTACAATGAACTACCAAAATGAATGAGTACATTGCAATATGGCCCTACAGTGAAGGAATCTATGATTTCACATTGAATGAACCCTTCCATTCAGGCAAGAATGCTGTAGAAATTACATGATCCCAGGTCAGGGCATTAGATTGGAAGGAAGGTCATGCTAAACTATGCTCATTATTACCATCAAGGATTTCTAATGACGTCAATGTTTTTCTCAAAGTCAACTCTTTAAAGACTTAATAGGTACTATAAGAAAGAAAAAATGCAAGATATTTCTAATGACTCATTCTACTAAAATTGATCTTTCAAGTATGAACGTAACATTCATCAAAGTCATGGACTTGATCACAAGGCCTGGTTTCCATGGGACAACATAAAACTGCCTTGGAAAAAAATAAGGGAACAGTGTAGCAAAATAAAACCCAATTTACAGGTATAGTGAATGGCAAGGTAAGAGGGGCGGGTTTACAATGTCATTTATGCAAGGGGCCTAATACATAAAGGACAGGAGTTTGGAATTCTCATCCAGAATGAAAATATAAGAAAGTGAGATAACTTACGGAATCACATCTCAAGATAAGTTCTTGTGTTCCTTCTGGTGATACTGAGAGTAGTTTGATACAGAACTTCTCAGCTGCTATGCTCACATCAGGAGAAGCTTCACAACCTATCAACAAACAAACAGACAAAAGAAATGTTGTCAAACCTCTTGACTACCTACTCACTTCTCTACTACCCATAGGCTTAATACAAAGACCATCTAATGATCCCATTAGCAACATTTGGTTTAAAGAGGAATGACTCATCAATTTCTATGTCGTGTAGCTGTATAACATAAATATAAACATAAATGAACACATATTTTTCTCAAACATTCTTTATGGCTTTCTTCTCCTCTTTCCTTTATATGGAGTATTACATATGACTTTAATGAAAAACAACTCATGTGGAATTCTTTTTTTTTAAAACATATTTGGAAAATTGACTTTGAAGACTCTATGAAATTAATTGTGGCAAGTAAGATGTGTTTCTTTTAATCACCCAACACATCTATCCCATTACATATTGGGTCATGAAAAATAGAAGATTTGATACCTGATTAAGGAATAGCATGGGCTAAATGTACAGGAAACTTTTAAGGATAATTTCCTACATATTTCCAACTTGTCAATTGCTATTACTCCTTTTCGGAAAAAGCCTTGTTATTTCATACTTCTCTTCCTTCATATCATATTCATGAACCCGTCTCCTTCAATATCATAACTCACTTCAGAACTTTGGCATCCTTAAGCTCTTATTAACTTCATATCCCCTTCATCTATACCTGTCCTGTCTTGTCTTTCATTACATCTACCTCACACATGAATTGTCAATTTCATTGTCCATAAGAGCTCCAATCTAAATCCTCTTATTTCTAACTGACTGGAAGCAATGAACACGAAGCTATGGGAGCACGAGCTATGTCTTACTCAACTACTCATCAAGACAGGTGCGAGGCAGAAGGCCCCAAACACAGTTTGGGGTAAATTTTTATCTTTTTTTCATAGTTTTGTATTGAAAGGAGAAACATTGGTAGAGAGAAGTAATATCAGACTATTGTGTGACATGTACTTGTAGCTAGTACTACGATAGAAACTTGAAAACAATATTTTCTTAAAATGTCCACTCAGTCACTCTGCATCCAGTCATGTCCTACTGCTATGCACATGACATGCTTTATTCCTCTAAATGAGTGGGTAGTTGATGAGCTAGCTTCTCAATCTAAATGTCTGGGCTTGTTAGCGCATTTCAAGCAGCAAAAGTGTACGACCCCCTAGGAGGAGTCAAACATGGGAATGTCAAAATGATTGGCTCCCTATGGAGTACAATGTTTGAAAATAGACCTGTCCAGGCCACAGCCCACCCGTTCATAGGGAGAGCAAAGAGATGTGGGTCTGTATGGTATTATTATCATCATGCTGCTCTCTCAAAAGGCATCTATGTTCATGCAAATGTGTGTGTGATGCTATGCACTATTTACCCTCACATACTTTTCCAGAAATCTTAAATGAACAACCAATGAAAATAGTTGGAATGTGCACACAAATTGTATTTCATATTATCAATTTGCATATTATAAGACACTGTTAAGTGCTCTTATTCTTTAGTATCAACTGTAAAAGTACATTTACAGTTTTTCTAAGCTCTACTTATACCAAAATACTTTGATTAGCTGTAACAGGTTAGGCCCAACTGACACTTACTAACCAAAATGTTCTCTTCTTGTATCATCATATGAAATGTATTGCTATTGATAAATTTATAAAAACAAATCAAATCAATCAAATCTCTCTCTCTCTCTCTCTCTCTCTCTCTCTCTCTCTCTCTCTACCCCCCCCCCCCTCTCTCCCTCTTTTACATTATCTCTCTCTATACATATATCCCTTTACACACTTAAATACCAGTACCACTTTCTCTTTCTCCCCATATCTCCTGTACTTTAATCTTTAATATTCAACCCATTTTACATCTGTGTTTTTATCTTATTGACAACACTCGTCTCTTTTTCTTTATTTTATTGCTCCAACTTTAATTGTGTTCTTTTTTTTATATAATCTATTCTTACATGGGCTACAACATTTTTTGGTATGCCTAGCAAACTATTTTTTAAATTGTAGAATGCAATATTATTTACACCTCAACATATATTTTGTTACCTATATCTTTATGTGATACTTCACTGTTTTATGCCATTTTAAAACTTTTTTTATACTATCAGATTTTATGTTATATTTATACAATGCTTTTTATGATGGTTTGCAAAATAAATATGAAATGAATGAAGTGAAATGCATTTATATCTCAGTCAAACTGATTTCAGATAGACCAATTTGACAAACTAAATGCCATTTGCCTTCAAACATCATGTTTCTTCAGTGTATCGTTGGTCTCATATCAGTCTATTCAATATGACTGGGGAATAACACTTTTCTGCTTCTCAGCTGATGATTTATAGAAGGTGATTGGAAAGTACAAGCTAAATTACATGACAGATGGTTACTACCCCTATCTATAATAGATTGCATGCGAGCGAGCTAGCTAGTCTTTGCTCCAGACTGACTGACTGACTGACTCACCTTTGAGATTGATTCTCTGGATAGCTTGTCCATTACTCTCTTCTTCATTCTTATAAGATGACAGGTGCAGGTCACGGAACACAAACCACGCCTTCTTATAACCCTTCAATGTGAACTTCTTGGGCCTAATCAAGTAAAGTAAAGTATACACAATATGTGATTAACACAGAGATGCTTTAAAAATTACAGACTGGAGGAACGTATGAAATTCTATCTTCATCACTTAATATTTGAAATATATTACACTGGACGTATGTCAATAGGAAATGGTATAAAGTGGATATATCTACTAATATTACACAGTGCTCAGTAAGACGACCATCACAAGCAGGGATTATTTTACACCAAACATTTCCCTCCCAGGTCGCAGCGCATTTGTACAAAACACAGAGGAATGCAGGGGACCATCAAAACACAGGGTTCATATTATGATTGAACATAGAGGCATCCTTCCTTCCTCTCTCCCACATGTCTGATGTAGCTAGCCCACTCTGTATCTGAGAAACACATTAGTGTCTGCTAGCTAGGACTCGCATTGATTCACAGGCAAATCATTCAGTTGACATTCCAAAATGAAAGATTCTTATCCTCCTACAGCATTCTACACTACTGAATCATGCTCTCTCTCCCTACCTCTATAGGCCTGTCTTCATCATCTCGAGTTTGCCAAATAGCCCGCTATTTCTGATTTGGGAAATAATCCTGAAGTTACAAATCGCGCCTTCATCAGCTCGAAATTCGACCTTGAAACTTGAAACTCAAGCTCGAGAAATTATCTCGAGATATTTTCTCAGCATTCGCGCATAGTGCAAGTCTTCGGGCTGGTGAAGACGCACAGACAAATACCCGGTAGTTGGATATTTTGCAAACTAGCCCAAGATATCTTGGGATGATTATCTTGACCAAATATCCCGCTAATTGCAACTTTAGGCTGATGAAGACACAAATTAACTGGATAATTTGCGATCGGGATAGTTCAAATAGCGGGATATTTGACAATCTCAAGCTGATGAAGACAGGCCTTATGGGAACAACTGCTTTTCTTCTTGACTCAGGCATATACTCAACTTCTTCTTATAAACATCATACTACCTATTCAAACAAAATCTATTCTACCTATGACCTCTGAAGAATTCTGGGCCCTGTCTTTAGAAGAGTTACGATTGATCCAAATCAATCACAAGTCCTCCAATCAATCACAAGTTTGCAGTCTCCTATGTCTTATGTACATAGTTGCGATGGATATCAATCACAAATAAGTTGAGATTTTAAATCAACTGTTTGTAAGACAGCCCAAGGCTTAACAAATTATTAGTCTGAATATTGTTTTCTTTCATGAATCCATTTTGTACAATCAAGTTTCTGACATGATAGTAGCACAATGAAAGTACTTTTGTGAACAGACATTTTTAATTTTTTTAAATCAATATTGACAATATAGGTACTTGAACTTGGCAATGTTGAAACAATGTCTGAATTTGGTACTTTCTTTATTCATCAATTTTCTAACTTTCTTGCTGTTCAAGTGGATAGAACAAGAAAGTTAGAAAATTGATGAATAAAGAAAGTACCAAATTGTGGATATGACAAAATCATAGTTATTGCACCACATTTCCACAATCAAATATTAATACAAAATTGATACAAGAGAAACAGATATTGTGGAATTCTCAAGGGCACACTTTACATGCAGTCAGACAAGACCTGTTTGAATCAAATCATTGAAAGCAAGCAATTACAAGCAGCAACCACACACTGAAATGCTGCTGGTATCCCCCTGATATATTTCATAAAGATTATAAAGGAACCAACATAAACTGATGACAAGGTCGATTACAATTTTTCACAAATATTCCTAGGTATATTGTGTGTATCTATTCGAGAGAGCACATCTGTTGCAACAAAACAGTTAACCACACACAGGAGTTAAAAGAGTAGTATGACAGACAGAAGGGAAGCTAATACTAGAGGCAACCTTTGATGACATACCTTCTATTTAGATTTGATCTCTATGCTATGCACACTAGGTGTAATACTATCAGCTCTCTCCCTACACAAACCCAGCTGTCACCTATAACTATAAACCTCTATTAATAGGACCTCTCAGCCCAGCTCACTCACTGAAGGATATAACATATGTCTCAGAGAAGAAAGATCTTACTATCATACAAGCTTTGCAAGGCTAAGGATGAGTCATAGTGCATAGGAATCAAGGGAATCATACTTTCTGCTTTTTAGAAAGAAAATATTATATCCATTTGTAGAGTTTGCTATGAAAACTATAATGTATTGCTTGGTTTAATTCAATTCATTCATGCTATGTACATCCTGAAGATATATTTCATGAAGAAAACAAACACATTTTATGAGGGGGTGAGCTAGGTTTGAATAATAATAATGATTTAAAAATTAAAAAAACAGTGCTTACCATCAAAGTCTCTAGGCGCTATAACAACAACATACAATGATAAACAATGACATATTAAACAAAACAAAAAATTACAAAGAAAACTACCTATCACAATACATATGAAATTAGAGAATACTTACTTCAGATACCTCAATACTCCTGAAAGTTCTGGTACTGAAGTGATGTCCGTCTAGAAAGATAGAAAGAATTACAAAATATTTCACAAAGGATATTCAAAATTAAAGATTACAGCAAGAGAGCAAATATTTAAAAACATTTCTAAAGTATGCTAAGGTAGAGCTTAACTACTGAATCACATATGAAAGAATGCTCTATATTTATGGATCAAAGTGAAAAAATCCTGATCAAATATATAAGATGGATGTAAGACATCATTTTTATCCATATTTTGAATATTACTCGTTTAAAATATATGAAATATATCCTATTTGCTTTAATGCAAATTTCTAATGAACAAAACCTTTTTTTATCATGGTAAACTGTAAATTACATGAATGTAAAAGGAGAAAAAAGTGGAAGAAAAATAATATTCTATGTTAATTAAGGAACATAAATTTGCAATAACATTCAAATTTGACTGACTGCTATCATGAAACCAATAACCAACATCAATATCACATTATATTTGAAACATATCCCATGAGATCAGATCTTCTATGGTGTTGTTTTGATTGATATAATTGACTTGGGGGAGGAGGGGTAGCTCTCTCTCTCTCTCTCTCTCTCTGCAGTATCATTTTCCATATCTCATTCACACAGAGCCGACAGAGGCTTGCCTGCGTGGTAGTCGAGCGCTACAGTCAACAGAGATTTTGTTTGTATTGAAATTCATCATGCATCTCTATGCATGCCCCATTTAACAGAAAATGGACCGCCACCATTAAGCTTTAATCCAATCAACAATGAAGGTGATTAAAGCCAACATGATGGATAGAAAGATAGAAATCTCATACTCTAAAACCTATTATCATTATATTATATATCAACCGCCATACAATGGATAAGCACCATGGACCATAATACTGTATCAATGATCGTGACTTCTTTGTACAAAAAGAGTAAAGCTTTGGTATTCCTCTACCTTTATTCAGCAATCATGCTACTTTATAAATAGATTTGCAAACACATATTTTTTTACTCGCAAACTGCATTCTATTCATAAATATTATATTTGTTTTCATCTACTTACAAATCAAAACACCAATTCAAGTACAATACTATCACAGATCTAGACCAAACACTTCATACAAATTTGCTTGTTGTCATAACAATCTACCACAACAACAGTAAAGATTCAAGTCAGATATAAAAGAGAATGAATTATTTCTAAAAAATTGTGGTAGAAAATACCCAAGAGCCTTTTTAGAAGTCCACATATGATATCCTCCACAGGATTTCTCTGAACATATATAACAACTTAAAGGGTAAGTCCACTCCAAAAAATAATTTGCTTTTAATAAATGCAGAAAAACAGGAGAAACAGAGCCAGAAAAAAAAATGAGTAAAATTGGATGACAAATATGAATTTTATTTAACGTATGAAAAACTTTTTTTAATTGGTTTGTCTGATTGTTCTGCTTCTATTTAAAGTAAGTTATTTTTGGTGTGGACTTGCCCTTTAAGTTCAAACTTTGAACTACTTATTTTTACAATTTTGTTGGAGATGATGAACATGCAAGACTACTTATATTTTCCTTCATAAAAATAAAAACAAAAAACATGTTCTATGTCAGATTACAAATACTAAATGAAACTTCCCTTTCAAGAATTAATTTTACAGGATTTGATATAAATTTAATTATTCTATCACAAATATTTTCTTACAATAGAAGATTTATTTTTCAATATTGGAAAATGTAAAAGCAAATACAGCTTCTTAAGAAATATGTGTGCAGACTTCAGATGAACAAAAAGATTTGACATTGCAGAATTGAGATCCTTGACTAAAGCCATCATTGAATGAAAACTGAAACAAAATAATTATAGCTCCTCATAAATCAATGTGATTAGCTATCAATAATGATTATGCCTACATTTGTCAGAATGAAGTATATAAGTGCTTGCCAGTGACAATAACTTATAGGAACTTAGAAAATACTGACGACTAGCTTCAACAATCAATAGTTGATGAAAGTCCCATCTAAAACTTCATATCATGATTACAAACATTGCAAGCCAAAATCTGACCTCCCCTCTAACTCTAAGGCTTATTGTCTGAATGTGTCAATGTTCATTGAAAGCTCATTGAAATGTAGTTGTGCATGATATTAACAACTTCCTTTCTTCCTGATAACAAACAATGTGATTCACTGAACAGTCCTTCTCTCAAATGGCTTCTGACCTCTAAATAGTACATGGTTAGAGAATCTTGACAGGATAAAGAAAGGCTGAAATCGCCCTCATGAAAACATTTATCACACAGTCTATTGTGAAAAATGATTCTCAAAGTCATCAACTCTAATGCGGTCCATTAAATGACCTTATATTATCTACAAAATGAACATCTGTTGAAGTAATGATGTAACATCATGCATTTATCATTTCAATATTTATTAAAATTGTTAGGGGCTTTGTTGTTTTTAGTTGAATTCCTTCCAAGATTATTTTTTTCATAAATTATTTTGTATTTGGACTGACAAGACCATATGTTTTAGAATACAAAGAAACCCTCAACAAATGCTTTAATACGTTTAACAGCCTTACAAAATCCAAGGGCAGGCCTCAAATACAGGTACCGACCGACCGAGCGGTATGTCAGTGACAAGGCACTGCTTCCTGTGACAGGGCAAGACCTTTCAAAGGAAAGCAGTATAATTGGAATACGGATGAAGAGTGGATGTCATTACCTAAATGCTTGTGCAATAACCTTGAAGCTTACCTTAAAGACTGATAATTGGTCAAGGATTGGATTTAAGTGTATCTTTATCCATGAGATGGGGAATAATTCTCTTATTAGATTAGATTTGTCAAGGTTCCTAAGCCATAAATGTACTGGACAGAGTGGGGAAGGGGTAAGGGGATGCAACAATGTGATACAGCTTCACTACCAACCAATGACAAAATACCCTGCACTAAAGGTGACCCCCCCCCCCCCCATGTAAAACAAGAGCTATTGTACATGGAAAAGGGTCCCCAAAAAGCAGAATTTTAACACATAACCAACTTGTGCACCTCCAGCAAACATGTAAACAACTTGTAACCCTCAAGGAACATCTTCCTAATCCAAGTCACCTAAAAAAAAAATAATACAGATACCTACAAAGGGTGATTATTTTGATAAAGATGCTTTGACAGTTCAACCTTCCATATGTAAAGATCTAAAGCTCTGGAGTGCGGAGACTCTTCTATATTTATACATCATTACATGTAGATCTAAAGCTCGTAAGTTGGGAGACCCTTCCATGTTTCAATATCTAAAGCTACAAAGTGTGTTGATACTTACATGTCCTGGAGATACAGTCTGTCCCTCTAATGAGACTTGAAGATTTGTAAGAGCTTTATCAATGTCATCCTGACCATCTGACGGACCATCTACTTCCTGCTGAGGCTTCTGGGATTGCATGCTAACTTGTAACTAGAATGGCAATAAAAGACAGACAGACAAAGAGGGAGAGAGAGAGAGAGAGAGAGAGAGAGAGAGAGAGAAAGACAGAGAGAAAGAGACAGAGAGAGAGAGAGAAGATGATAAGAGAAATGTGATTAAAAAACATGCTAAAGGTGAATTCTTACATTAATAAATTGTTGAACTCCAAACCTGCCATTTTCCTTGAACTTGGCAAATTATACTGATGACGTGGATGTTACCAAGGACATTTGAATGTTGTTTGTGACAAGAAAAACATTCATGGCATAGCCACCTGTCCATAATAAAAGAAAAAAGTATAGGTCTTCCATTGTTCATTGCATACATGATCACTTATGCCAAGCATATGACCTACCAACATATTTTTTTTTTTTTTTTTTTTTTTTTTTTTTTAGGGGGGGGGGGGGGTGGGGGAGGAGTTCATTTTGTGGAAAATCATCCCACTCTGTGATAAACATGATAATACAAGTAGTACCTTAATTGTTACTCTGAATTATTGAAATTATACTAGGAAAGAGATTTGATGTCATGATCAAGTTTAATAGTCAAATTCAAGGAATTAAACTGATGTTCTCTACAGTACTATGTCCTTTCTCAGTCTCAGCAAGAAACATGATGCATCAAAGTACAAGTCCCAAGTAAGGTTTAGTCATAGCAACTAAACATTTTTAAGGACAGAAGAGTACATTTTCCATTCCCTTCTTTCCTCCATGTTCACATCTTCACTGCAGGTGAAGTTCCTGAACCTAAAAGCCCTTTTCATACATGTAATCTGCTTACCTAAGGAACACAATGCGTTCTTAATTGGCACTGAGACAACACCACTTTACAACCACCCTTACTGTTCCCCAAGAATAGCTTTTGTTGGACAAAAATAGCGCTCAAGGATGATGATACAATTCTGGAGAGGAAATAACCCCTCAAAGCTAGTACACACTTTAAAGAGAGTCATCAGGCACCTTGTCAATGCATTAGGAAGGTTAACATACATTGTTTGTATATTTTCTATTTCAGCATTATTCGAAATCAAAGATAATTTGTGGTAAAAATACAGAATGCATCATACATTCAAAAGCTGTAATTCTAATTCAATTCAAATCTCTTTGTATTTCTCATAAACTCATATATAATCAAAAGAAATCTAAGAAAACATCCAGCAAAATTTCCATTTTTCATTGAATATATGTTAGAAAACAAGGAAAGGTTTAATGGATTTTGATACTTGGACCTTTAAGTTCAATGTTTCACTTTGCTGTTACCCTACCCTGGCCTTGGTTGTATAATGTGCAATCTCAGAGGAAGGTGTGAAGTTAGATGCTATTTCCCAGCCCACACTCATACATAACATATGCAATCAGCCTTCATAATGAGAGTACTTGTCAGGTTTCACAATATCTGTCTAGGCTTCTACCACCTTCATTAACATTTAAGGAGTTTCATATTGTCCATGGGCTCACACACACAAACTGTGGTATTTAACAGAGTGTGTACTAAATGAAGAAGAGTTAAGATTAAATAATCTCTTTATCATCCATATAGGCTAATCATTGCTTCTGTTACTTTCTGCCATTCATATCAATCAAATTGGACAAGGCTACAAATACACTGTTCAAGTGAATGCATGGTTCATGGTTCTGAGTACTGCCATGACACAAATGTCCTTTGGCAAAACATTAGATCTACTTTTGCCACATCGGCTCAGGTGAGGTAAATGGGTACCTGGCAGGAATTAATTCATTGAAATGCTAGAGGCAGAGCGCCATTAATGGCAGCCTTGCTAAAGGGGGGGGGGTGGGAGTAATAATTGGGGAGCGCCAGGAGTGTCAAGTTTGACAGACATGAGTGCTATATTATTTTATCGATTTTGTATTGCTTTTCTCCAATATCTTTTTCCCTAGCTCCTGAAAAGTTACAAAGTATGTGGGAAAATTTTGAACTTAAAATTTCTTTCTTTTGTTTAACGTAATGCAACTGCATTCCATATATTCCTTTTTGTAGGACATGTTTGCAATTCTGTCATGGAAATATGGCATGTTAGTTTAGAATTCAAATTGACATGACTTACAAATTGAAAATATTCAATTTCTAGATTATTTTTTTGCAGCTACTCAGGAAGAACAGTCATAGTTCATTGCGGCCAAAACAAATTAGTTCAACTGTGAACCAACTAAAGTATTTTACATCATAAAAGCCAAAACCCTTCAATAAAAATTAAAGAAAGGGAAAAGTGCAATGAGTAGAGGGGGCAAATTTACAGCGGACTAAAGGGAAATCTTGTTTTCTGACAGTTGGTCAAAAGAGCTGCCGTTTGTAACGCCCAAGACCACAAATAATATTGGAACAATCGTTTCTCCCGCACTATGACAGGAGTGACATGAAGTTGACCCGCACCCAATTCCCATGGAATGTATTTCTTTAGATGAAGACATTTGATCTTGGTAGTGGGGCAGTCAAGGTGTTTCACAAGAAACGTAAATCACTCACAATTAGGAGGTCATGACCCTCTTCAATAGATCTACTCCAGGACTTTCTATAAAACTTCTTTCTCCTTCTACTACTCTACCTAGCCTACCACAGCCACATGTCTGCTCATAAATTCCTTCTTCATACAAACATACAGGACAAGCAGAAAGAACTCCTTGGGACAAGCAAGCAAGCAGAAATAGAAGAACGTGCAATTACAGTGATGTGTCAAGTTATCATATTATCTGCTTGAAGCCAGAAGGGCATTATACTCATATACTATAACACACATGAGTAATGCCTTCCTGGCTCTGAACAGACAATATACATTGTGGGCCTGACTGATCTCCTTTAAATTAGCCATTCTTGAAAATTTAATCTAAAACTCTCTTATCTTGAAAATAATGATCTTTTGTATTATAACTAACATGAGAACATATATTGTACATTGTGACTGGCACCGTAGTAGGTCCACGGTGGCACTACCTGAATAACTGAAGGCCTAATCTTCTTTTCACTTGAATTTTTGTAGATTCTTTTTGAGAAGAGAATAGTATCATTTTCTTTTAGCCAACAAGATAGGGCAAGTTCAATGAACTACAGCAATATTACGGAGGCCTATGATGTTTTATATTTGGCAAGTAGGATTGTGTCTTTCAAACTTTAAACATCATCAATTCCAAAGGTTCTATGGTCCGTAACCAGCATAAACAAGACCTTTCAAAAAGGCAATTAAACAGTTGAAATAACCCTGTCTACATCCATCATCTTATGATAAAGACATTAGTATGTTTACCTGTAGAGCAGCAAACATCATCATTTCTTCATGTGTACATTCGACCTCTTCTCGAAGGATAGACCATTTAGCTTGTTCATAGATCTGGTTTATCCTCACTGAGTCTGCTCTCACATGTTTGATGTCAGAGCTACCAGGCTGAGGAAGATTGTAGAACACGTAGTACTTAAAGCGCAGCATCAGGGTATCATTCTCTCGCACATCTTGCTCCATCAATGATTTGTTAGAGTCAAGCCATCTGATAATTCAGAAAAAGAAACAGATATAACTTATGTTAATGATTGATACCATACACATTTTCCACCAAAAATATCATGACAAGAGAAAGATATAACATCTCATTCAATCAATTCAATTCAATTCTTTTTATATTCATCCAAATTCACAAGAATACCCGGAAATTTGTGATCAGTGAAAAGTGTAGCTGCTTCAGATGAAATTATCAATACACCATTATACATTGAAGCAACTAAAATACAACAAATTGCATTGTAGTCAATAGAAAATTACTTCCATAATTAGTTTATTAGAAATATTTATCATTTGTATTACTTTTATAAAATGCCTAATGTCCCTTGCATGAAATTGCCTTGTTCAAATATGCCATAAACATGACTACACCTACCTATCGGTCATAAATTGATCAGCATAGCATAGTTCTTATCAAATGAATTACTGTAGCATCTTTGTCAAACATACTTGAACTTTGGACAGTGTTCACACAGCACTACCATTTCTACAGGTAAATGAGTAGAACATACTGTATGCAGTATTGTAGCAGTTTTATAGCACACTTTGCTGCATACAGGCTGTATGATGTGTGATATTATTCATAAAATATATGTCGCAACCTTAGTAGGCCGGTATACAAGAATGGGGGTCTTTTTCGGTTTAGATTCTACCAAAATATGACAATTCATAATGAGATTAATAAAGTCTTTAAAAAAATTAAAAGGTAAAGAACCAATTTACATTTTACACTACTAATTCAGTGGTAATACTGATTTTTACTGACTTGTGACTGTTCCTCTTCATGTCTTTGGTCACTTTTCATTTTCAGTATCAGAATTAATATTCCAATAGGCAATCTGAGTGCCAATATCATTTCATTTTTTATCAATATTCTATATCATGTAGCTACAATTGTAGCTGTGCAGCAAACATATTTCACCACAAGTTTGCAACGAACCGTTCGGTTGGGTCCATTCTCAACATAGTTAGAGGTATGCTTTCAAATGTGACCTTTGTATTAACTAGCCTTATCACATACCTCACATACCATTGACCAGTCCCTTCTCATTGACTCATTTCTGACCTATTTCCACATCACAGCTAGCTCCTGTCTCTGTCTCTTTCTCTTTCACTTGATGGCTAATTTACTGTACTATAATGGGGAGTTCACTTGCTTTGCATGAGAGATAAGGACCATATGGGAATCCCAATGATGCATTCATCAGACATGTTCCTCCATCTCTAATGTGTGCCTTCTCCTCACATCATCTTCATTCCATTCAAACTTAAAGGTACACGTATGACCGTACGGTATGTATGATAATGATATTTAACCAGTCATAGCCCATAGGGGTACTACACAGCAGAACAATCCATATCATTTGTCAATCATTTTTATTACTAATTTATTTTTTAAGACAATGACAAGTATAACTTTATATTTTCTATACCTGCTTCGCGTATAGGCCCTCATAATTTTTCTTCTTTCTAATATGATCCAGTTTCCCTCAAACTTTGGTGACAGTTGAAATAGCTAATGAGATATGTAGTTTTTGTAATGTATGCTTAAAAGTACAGAAGGTACCTACCATACAACTCAACCTTTCATTTAACTAAATGTTCATCTTTTTACAGAAGAAATATAATCTAGTCAAATCAGAATCCTATCAAAATCAAAAGCAACACAGTGATACGATTAGGACTTCAAAATAAGAATGTCTTTAATATGGCTTTCAAATATTAGACTTCTTGGTCGTGTACACCAAGCAGAAAGGCCCCCATACTACCGGGCTCTCTGATGCCAAACCATGTTGCAAAGAGAAATAGTTTTGTGGCCCCTCGGATAAAAATATGGAGACAGTGGCTGAATAATGTGATTTGTGGGTCTTCATCTCATTATCTGTTTGACTGCACTGAAACCTAATAACAATAGATTATTTTAGATCTACATAAGAGGCAAGGTTGTCTCCTGATTCAACTATTCTTTTGATCTAGAGCCCAACTCATTGACTTCTAAATCCAAACCATTCATACAAAACTTTTCAATTTCAGAATACCCGGTAGATGCAAAACCATTTTAGATGTAAAGCTGTGGTCATGATTGTCCCTGATTTTAATTTATTGTCTTTTGACCGTTTATAATTCAGTTACAATATTTAGGCTCATTTGAAAGCAAGACTATACGTATATGTCTGGATGGTGAAACATGATTCAGGTAGAGGCCTATCCATAGGTGATCTTTTCTTGAATACAGAGTATCCATCCAGCTGGAATGACCAGAGTCACAAAACACATCAGTTTGGGAGAGGAACAAGTAGATCAAAGGAAAAGATGACACATTGTCATATTATTCTCTTCTACATAAGTTTATCTCTATTTCTTTATACTATTCAAGATATAGTTAGATGCTGCTCGGAAGTGTCGGCTTGCAAGCCTGCTGTTTAAGATATAGTTAAAGATACAGAACACAATCTAACCCATTCTCCGCAAAAACAGCCTTCACAAATTGCATCTGGATGTAGAAATGAATAGCACACTTCAATTAAATCAAATCTTCAGAACAGCTGAAAAAGAGTCTAATATCTTGTCTCCTCAATATAAACAAACAGCTGTCTACCCTAGTCTAGCCAGCAGGCAAAGCACATGTTTGATGTCTCCATAAACAACCCATAAGTCAATAAAGAGATTGACAAATGAAATCATAAAAATATATCTTGGGGTTAAAAGGTGAAATCAATATCCATTCCACAAATCCTTGGTATTATATTCTAGTTTAAGTTCATAGTTCACCCTTATTGCATATATTGTATTCTACAGTTGTACAACACTTTTCCTGAAAGAGAAGATACATGTAGTTACAAAACACCATAAGTCATAAGAAGTCCATACTACCAAGAAGGGTGGGACGGACTATAGATCTCAGTTAGAATTTCCATGTTCAATGGATTTCTAGCATTTGGTTGAAACCCTCACAAGCAATCAGGTAAACACTTCAAAATAATGCTTGAACTTTTACATCGCCATGGTTTCACCTGCAGCCTCAAATCTTGCTATGACTGCAGATCTGTCTTCTAGAGGGTAACATGATACCTTGCACCCATCTTTAGACAAACCAGACTGTGTTATATGTAAATACAGTCTGTCTCAAAGCTCCAGCATGAGTGTACATTAATCGCAATGTAATATTTACACATCTCCTCTACACGACATGTTTTCATTTCTGTACCACGTGTGCTTTAATATGAACTGTACACAGACAAAACAATGTGCCTCACAAACAAGTCTTCATTATTTGGCATTATGAGTAAGAAATACTGTACAAAGTCCACTTGCCTTCATGATTATATTCCTTTCTTTTCAGAATCTATTCATGTCCCTATATATAGATACACATGATTCTCTGCGGTTTATGGTTTTTGACAAGAAACTCCAGAAACGAATGTGAAAGTAGAGTCCTAAATGATTGATAATCACATAGTACTGTTTGTTGATTTGTGATAATGTACATTTTTTGAGCAAAGAATTAAGCAAAGCTCTATATACATGTACCATACTACCATGTAGGCCCATCATGAAAGCTTGAATAGACTCTCTGTTCTTTCTTCTTCCTTAATTCTCTTGCTAGAATTCAAATTGTTATCTGATTTCTACTAACTTGTTCTATCTTCATGAAATCTCAGCCTAACATACACTTGCAGTTTTTAATCTTAAGACTTTATATATGCATCCCCTCTTGAACCCCTAGTTATTCATCATCTTTTAGAGCTAGAAGCTTTCCATCATCACCTGACTACCACCAATATCTCCTTAGATCTTTGTTGCACACTTACTCCAGGCTACATCATTAAAGACACCTCCTAGCTTGTGATGGAGTCATATTTATATTTCCCAGAAATCATAATACCTATTGTTAATTTCCCGTCTACCATTACCACATGGCTAGGGGGCAAACGTCAAAAGTGGAAGGGGTGTCTGAAATAATCAATTTGATGTTTATACTTTTGTTAAAGGTTACAAAAAGGATGAAGAGTAAAGGTTTGTAAATGGAATAAGGAGGAAACAATATTGTCAGGCCAGAAAGAATTCTTTGAATCAGTTTTCTTGATTCAAAATTGTAAAGCTACTGATATAATATGAAGGACATACATTCTGGTTTGAGACCATCTTGTAACACCCCATGTATGACCTACACATGGGACTAAGATGGGACATACGAAGACTGTGTAGATAATATTATACTAACCTGATTACAAATTATAGAGAACGAAACGTCCCATGTTGGGCAATGATGACTACTACACCTGCACACGCTAGAGAACATCCATGAGGTTCTAATCTAATTAATACATCCATGCTCTCATACTCAAAGTCACTTATACCCTTTTCACATCTATTTTTCTTAACCCCGGACTATCCTTAACCCCATACTATCCTTAACCCCATACTATTTTTTTTGCTGTTCACATCTATTTTCTTAACCCCGGACTATGTGCTTAGCCGGGGTTAAGAAATTTCACGCGATTCACACTACGTTCGCCTTAGCCCCGGACTATTCGATAGCTCATGAATATTAATGCTTTTGCTACCGCGCATGCGCCTTTCGACTAAATGAAGGGGAAAAACCCGCGCGCTAAATTCAATATAAATATAAATTCAACTCTTTGCTTGTGGTAAAAAGACCAACAATATACAGTACGGTACGTAATAATTTTAGCTCGCTCGTGTTGTGTTATCCAGCCTTGCGCAAAGCGTTTTCCCTTTATTATTTTACCGATACAAATCAATTACCCATTTTTCATCCAATTCACTTGATAAATTTACCTACGTAAATATGACTGATAATGATAAATGCAATAAAAAATTATGAGCTACATGTTCTTTCACTATTTTTTTAAATCAATTTTATAATAAAGATTTTTTCATAATGACCTCTGCCTCGTAAAAGACTAAACGTCAATACAGAGAGCATGCATGCGTAACGTGAACTGCATGCATAGCGCGCGATAA